ATTTTGTCTTATACCTGGGACTCCATCTGTTATATGTTTACACAGTCACTGCTGTTGTTGTATCCCTACAGAAAATATTTACAAATACATATGTGTGTGTCCATAGAAGTTGTTTTTCAACATTATTTGTTGCGATATAAAAGTGTTAAAGTCTAAACCCTTTGACATTTTGTATCAACTCAAAATGTACATGCATGTACTCTTTATCACTGTTCATGTGGAATAATAATATAATCCACGCAAGAATGCTGGTTTCACTTACGATTTTCAATGTTGGCGCATGTACATTTACATAAAATGACTGCAAAGTGGAGGGCCCCACAACAGATGAAATTTTCTAGAGCATTCAAATTATATTTGAGATTTCTGTATATTTGAGTTCACTATTGCCTCTTTATTTGATTCATATATTGTCTGCACATCTGATAAGAATCTTCAAGCTGTGGATTGATACTCTTCAAGAAATAAAATTGTGTTTTCTATTCCATTGAATCATGGTAGGGCCTCACTGCTGATAAAAGCCTAATAATAAGCCTAATATGCCTGAATTTAAGCAGTTTGAGACAAATAAACTCACTTGAGAGTTGAAGCTTTATTGCATTTCCATGGAGATGGCATGGAAGGAAGAGAGAGCATCACACTATCTTGTGAAGTGCTCGCTGCTCGTCAATAGTCAATCGAAGTAAACATGCATAATGTATGATGATGTGTTTTCTTGTCCTTTGCACTATGTACATGTAGGTTTAATACAACATGGGCAAGCAGGCATGTTATGTGTACAATAGTGTTTTGTTTTTTAACATACCGGTACTGTTTTGTGTGTTGTACTTTTTATTATAACGTATGCCCATACATTTTTTTGTTGTTTCTTAAGAAAGAAATAAATGAAATGATATTACATGATGGCTCCACAAAAGCTTTCTTTTTTAGGTGGGAGGAGGGGGAGGGGGGGGGGGGGGAGGCTGAAATGTATGCATGAGCCCATTCTAAATATCATAAAATTGCTGAGTTCCAGATTTAATTTTTTTGGCCCATATGCCCTGTGTGCCTTTGTAACCTTGTACATGTTTGTATAATGCAGAGTCATTTGGATTGTAATTTGATGTTGCTAACTTTCTTAACCTATAAACGCAAACAATATGGTATGTTGAAATGGCATCGTCCCTTCTTGTTTTTGTTGTTCGCAATAAACATCAAACTCTTTTAATACTTGTATTCCTGTTCCTTCCAAAATGACTATAGCTATGTAATTGTCGCATGAATCCTCTATGCCCTCCAAGAACTACGACTTTGAGGAAAGTGTGTTTTAGAAATTAATCCAATAAATGAAGCCAAATGTTTTACCTGCCAGCTAGCTAGCCGACTGCCATCGAAAGTTCAACAAACTTTAGGTGTCGCCTAACATCCTTCATATTAATCATAGACAAATCTCTTTGTTCTTGATTGACTCCGCCTGTATTTATGTCTGCAGATTGTGTCTGTCCTTTTGTGAGTGCAGTTTTGCAGTTGCTGTAAAAGGGAATGTGTTGTTGTTGTCGGTGACATTGAGTTTGTTCCAAATATTTCTTGATTGGAGCATGTTGTCACTGTGAATTAGGAGAGAAAGATGCTTTTCGGAGCTGTTTGGCAACTCACTTTTCTGATCTGAACTAGTTATGTCATTATCACATACTGTTCTACATTACATTCATGTATTATTATTGAATAGTGCATGTTGAGTGTAAAAACAGATGCCTGGATATGTATCAAAGTGGAATTTGTAGTAATAGATGTGCTGGTTTTCTGCAATCCAATTGTTCTCCCTTCCCTTTTTATGTCACATACATGTACATACATGTAGAATGAATATTATGAATGTTGTTAGCAGTTGTGTTTTGATGATTTCGATGTTTGATATATGTTCTTGTAAATGTATGTACATGTAATACCCTATTATATCTGTACCGTGAAGACCTTTCACTTATCTGCACTAAAGGAGATTGTTGCAGTTTTCATCCTTTTTTTTAAAATTGTTTTGGTTTCTATCCTAAGTTTCAATATTTCTGATGCATACTGTAGGTCTATTTTTTTTAATATATATACACTGTAGAATGTAATCATATCCATGTAATGATACATATTCAGGACATATTCTTTGACCTAAATGGCTATATCCAATTGTACATAATGTGATGAAGATCTGCTGTATATGCTGCACATCTAGAGCATATTGTAAATTTATTGATTACTTTAGTATTTGACTCTTGCAAAACATTCAATTCTTGTCTACCAGTAGACCCATTTAGGAACCTCAAGTCTACCTTGCACCATGTTTTGAAGTAGTGTTTGGTGTTTCACAAATTGATGAAATGCACCTTCATGTGACAGCCATTCTGATCTATCAACTTCCTTGTATACTGTCAAGCTGTATCTAATCTCAGCTAGGCCTCGTACATGTTGTGACAGTGAGGAGAACCGAAAGGAACAGTGCAAGTACTTTTAGATTGACTCACAAGGTTCATTATAATGGTCTCCTACAGACGTACGCTGTGATAAGAAAGTAACAACCCACGATATACATGTAGGCAGAGTTTTGACCACAACAATACATAGCTAGTCCAACATGTATTAAAGGTAAAGACCAGTTATGGTCATGCGATTGCATTGTGAAATAAACGTTGTGGAATCGATCAGAAAAGGTTGATCATCTAGCATCTAGCATCTGCAAGGTTCTGGAATCATCAAAATGATAAGAAATTTGGCCCATTCTTCGTAAAGTTACAAGCACTATACACAGAAAGATGTATATGGGACTACCCTATATCTCTCACAGACCATGAGAGAAACAAATTTACCAAATATATGAATTAGTAGGCGGTTTCCCGGCAAATTTTGTTATCATCATGTATTAGTCAAAACATATTCTTTCACATGATTGGTAATGAGAGCTTCCATTTCATTTTTTGAAATTGGGGCATTTCCAATACTGGTCTTTACCTTTAATCACACATTGCTTTTATTTCTCTTCATTAATTCTTAAGTCGACTCTACTTGTCTCCTTGTATGCGTGTGAAATACAGTGTATAGCCTATATACATGTATGTTGTATATACATGTATATATCTGATTTTGTTGTTGTTGCATCCTGTGAATTTTAGCACCAATATTGTTTTTGTATTTGTTTTGATGGGGGAGAGTATTTCTGCATGAGCTTTGTGTTCTGTATGAATATGAAAATATTCAGTTTTATTACTGTTTTGGTGTATTTGTATGTTTGATTTTCTCCTTGTTCAAATCTACCTTTCACTATTCCTTGATTCAAGAGAGTAATATGATGACATAAATATACCACGTAAAACAGTGTTTTTGCACATTTTGTTTTTGCATATTTTAAATGTCTGTTCCATAGAAAGTGTATGGTACAATATTTTTGCATTATCTTCTTGTTTATTTTTCTACCCTTTCATAATTCCATGACTCAGTCTAGAGCAGTATGGTTAGAAAAATAAACATGCCTCAACCCATCCTTTTCCTGATTTGATATAGAGCTTCCTCATGCACTGAAAAGCATGCACTCTGACCTTTTAGTCAAGTACAAGTAGCCCTCTTTGTGCAGAATTTTTACAATTAGGCGACTTTCACGATCATGATTGATGGTTGATTCCTATAAAAAGGTTAAGGTAGGGAAGGGGGGGGGGGGGGTGTGATGGAGGATTTTTATTGTCTTGGTACCAGGGTTCATCAGTTGGTGCAGGTGAAAGGCATCATTTATGGCCAGCTATAAATAAAGAGGGGATATTTATGAGTGGTAGATAAAACAAAATGGTGGCACGTTCTCCTTCCTGACCTGCCTGCATGCGCTGGTCAATGACTTATGTATGAATATGAGGACAGCCCTTGTACACGATTTTAGGCCCATGATTATATATCTTAAGGGTCGTCAGTCAATTTCAAGTCCATCTGGCCAGCTAAGCTATCTGATGTAGAACTTGATACAGGATTTGATCTGAGTACTAAGGTTACTTGACTTGAGCTTGCAAGGGTTCCCCACAAGCTTGGACAAATCCTCTCCTTGTAAGGATATCAAGCTTGGATTAATCCTCAAGAGCAAGATTATCGTACTAATTTTTTGTTTAAATGGATTTTCATGAAATATGTTCTGACCCCTCCTTGCTTAATGATAACAAAATTGTCCAACAACATACTGTAACATATATGAAAATCCATAAGAACCTACAGATTTGTTTGACTGGAAAAAAAAAATGAGATGATACATTATTTATGGACGTTTTATGTAGATTGCATCAATTTTTCCATCAGAACACTCTTTGTTTTCAATACAGATCCAAAATTGTGAGTTCCTAAAATTGAGCTTACAAGACCCCCATGCTTTTGCTGATATACAGTGTTGCAGGTGAAATGGTATTAGTGCCTTTGAGCATTTACGAGAGTCTGAAAGGCTACTTTGGGCTCTGTGTATATGCTATAGTGTATTGCAATGCATTGTTTGGTATTCATGGAAAGTAGTCTCTGGAGTCCTTTGTGACGTTGACAACCAAAGGAAGACCCTTGATAAACAAATCAATAATGTGTGTGTGTGTTTGTATGTTAATCCCCAGGGACAGACCTCACTGCTTGGTTTTCATGGAAAGTAGTCTCTGGAGTCCTTTGAGTCCTTTGATGTTGACAACCAAAGGAAGACCCTTGATAAACTGTGTGTGTGTTTGTATTTGAATCCCCATGCAGGGACAGACCTCACTGCTGGATCAGGTCAAGATATACTCTGGGATTGCCATAGCTGCAGTCTCTTGAGTCATTTGATGTTGACAACCAAAGGAAGACCCTTGATAAACAAATCAATAATGTGTGTGTGTGTTTATATGTTAATCCCCAGGGACAGACCTCACTGCTTGGTATTCATGGAAAGTAGTCTCTGGAGTCCTTTGAGTCCTTTGATGTTGACAACCAAAGGAAGACCCTTGATAAACTATGTGTGTGTTTGTATTTGAATCCCCATGCAGGGACAGACCTCACTGCTGGATCAGATCAAGGTATACTCTGGGATTGCCATAGCTGCAGGCACAGCTATAGAGGATAGGAGACTACCACCACCAGAGGGAGGAGACTCCCAGGACGAGGATGTCATCGCCATTGAGACGAGTACAAGGGTCACCAGGTCACAGCAGGATGAGACCGACATGGGCACAATGCTCACACCAGAATGTAAGTTCACTGTCTTGCATTGACTTGTGTCAACATTACATTTAAAGGGCTAGTCACATTTCATCAATAACGATAACAACAACATTAGTTAACAAAGTGTAGAAAAAGTATTGGATACCACTGTTGATCACTAATATATGCTAATACGCCTTTAACATCGATTATCTTGGATCCAATGTGTTTTTGACCTAGAGCTATCATATCATCATCTGTACAGTTCTGGTTATCTGTAATGCGACCGGTCCTTAAGACGTAATCATTCTTTAATTCCTAAAGCTCTTCTGGTCTTAAGTCGGTTACCTTGCACTTCAAGACAATTAGATTCAGTTTTACTTATAAATACAACAGATTTTATTAATTTGGATCCATTGTGATTGGCTTCTGAAATTCAAGCTTGAGAGTACAACTCAATTTCAAGTGTAGAGATCACAGAAGAGAATCAAATGTTACAAATCAAAACAAACGCCTCTCTAGCTCTGCGCTCCATGGCTTTCAGCCAGCAAGACGATATTTTGTTCTTCCAGTATGATATTGAAGGGCCCCAATTCTTTTAGTAAGATCTCAAATTGCATACTCCTGAATCTTGTAGAGGAAATCTCCCTGAGCCTGTCTGCATCACGTTCCTCCCCCTAAGAAATAAGGCCTTATGCTCAAGTTTTTCGACGAGCCTGTTGCGTGAGAAATGTAAACACTGGGACTTCCTCCTCCCTTATGGTGAATGTATTTATAGATATGTCTCTCTCGTTCTTCCCCGATATTGCTGGCTGTATCTGTCTCTATCCATGAATGTCGACATGTATCCTTCTTTTTCATTCGTTTCTCCCTGGTTTAGTGTATTACCCATTCTTAATAGTCTGGCATCCACAAATATCTTCGCTTTCTTCAAATCATTCCCCCCCCCCCCTATTTTTCACGGATACCCTCTCTCTTTCTTTCTCTCATTTAGTTTCTCATTACACTTTTTCCTTTTTTCACACAGTTCACTCTCTTTCTCTCTCTTTCTCTCTCTTTCTTTCTCTCTCCTCTATTTGTCTCCCTTCACTCTCTTTCTCTTTCTCCTTTCGCTCGTTCCCTCCCTCAATTGCCATCTTCCCTCTATTTTGTTTCTTTCCTCTCACCGTTATCCTCAAGTTTGTCTTTTTTTTAAATCCTCCATTCTTCATTCTCAAAGTTATCCACTCCCACGTTTTCTCTCCCTCTTCTCCTTTCCTCAATTTCTCTTGATCTCTTGCTGATCTCGCCATTCCTTCCTTCCCTCTCTCCTACTCGTGTCACCTTCAGAGCTGTCTACCCAACCTCTTCCTGAGCTTGAAGAGGAAACAATCCATTATAATTAGTTCTTGTATATTGTTCACTGAGTGACAAGCAATATGGACGAGGGATTGCAGCAGCTCCGCAAAGTTCCGCAAACCGGAGCTGAGCGTGCGACTGAATCCATGCCCTAGGCTGCAAGATGTTATATTAGGATGTTTACCATTAGAGCTAGCCATCTCATGCCATTGGCTCTGCCTAGCTGTAGCTGTGACTCTGAAGAACATTTTATTGCATGCATGGATCGTGGCAGCCATGCTACATTGCATGACAAGGATAGGCACTAGAATTTATCCAGCTGTGTGAGATATAATTTGGTTCAACCTGTTGATGTAGATAGAATATTGCATTTATTTCTAAACATAATTATGAGGGCATCGGTATTATAGATTGTTCTCACCCTATCAAAATTGATGTCAGCAACTATTAAAAGTGTCATCTAGTTTGCTGCTCGTTATGAGATACAACAAATTGAAGCGTTCCAAAGAAAAACAAAATATTGACATGTTTGAGAGTGCATAATGCTCCCCCCCCCCCCCCCTCTTGTGTTCACCATTCTTTTCTTTTTTTCTTCAAGAAAATTGAAGATATCCGTGGTAGAATGTTCAACTCTGTATGAGTTTATAAATATTTTCATAATACTGAAAAATCATCTCATCAATACCTAATACCTATTTATTATCATCATTACATTTTTACCGATGCAAATATCATTAGTAGCACAGAATCTTAAAACACATTTTTGTTTCTATGGAAACAATTTCTAAAGCTCTTTTATGTTAAATATTGATCCTATATTCTAAGGGCCTCTCTGGATACAATTAGTACAAGCTTTGATCTGCAAGAATGAGAACACGATATGAATTGAGAACATGATATTTGTTGAGAACATAATATGATATCGAGAACGTGATATAATATTGTGAATATGATATGATAAGCAATATGAATATCAAGGAACAGTTGGAGACAGCAGAGCTTAAAGTCTAAATAACCAGGAAGTCATTCCCTGATCGATTCTTTCCTCTTTGTCTTCTTCCTTTGACCTCAGTACACGACCTTGACTACGGCGCATCGACCCACGGAGATCTTCTGCAGAGCTTAGATAAGCTAGATAACAGGTTACGAGAGGAGAGAGAACATGAACACTACCTACGCAGCGGCGAATCGGAATGGGGCCACGAAGACATCCACCAGCAACCTGACAACGATTGGGACCGGGACGATCGACCCGACAAGGACCTGGAGTACTTGATCAGCGACCAGTACGAGGATCAGCCCCCGCAGCCCAAGCCCCGTGCCAAGCCCCGGTCTCCGCCCAGGAGGAAACCCACCCCGCCCACGCATCCTATAGTAGACCAGGACAGTGAGAGCAGTGATGTGGAGAGACCGGCCACGCTACGGAGATCCACCTCGCTCAGGTCATCCGGCAAGTCACGCACGTACTCGTCTACAGAAAACCTGTCTACCTCCAGAGGGCGCTATGCATCGACGGAGAATCTTACCAAGAGGCAGTTGAGTCGCAGACAAGAGGTAATGGATATGGACAGTGGTGATGATTACAGTACATAAGATAAAAAGGACTTCATTTTTAAAGGGACAGGCTTGCAGAATAGGATATTGGAAGATAAAAAGAGTGTTTGTAGTGAGGATTGTCATCTAAGCTGTGATGGTATGAGGGTGTATTTACCTAACGTTGTAAATATTTTCTCATTATATCACACAAGTTGTAGCATCGTATATAATCTTAGTCAAAATTTGACGTTGGTGTGACTGTGAGTGGGTACATGGACATGTATCCAGCTACATGTATCAAACTTTATAATTTACGTCAGGTGGTGGTGAATATGTCACCATCTGAAAGACCACTTCCAGAATGTACCTGGTCATCATGTACATGTAGGCATACCTTAGAGTTGACCAACTTTTCAAAAGTAAGGTTCTTAAACTTAGAAATCTATCTGGCTGGCCGGACTGATGTGCATGTGTATAAGAATCCCAAGCAGTAGTTTTAAACTTTTTATAAAAGTCAATTATCCTTTTATTTTTTATAAAAGTCAATTATGATTGTTGCAAATAATTAAGGTAAAAGCACTTTGTAACGAAGGATGCTGCACCTTTTAGAGCTGTGATATTTTCACATTCTTTTTTTGAACACCCTATCAGGGGGATCTACCTTCACCGACACAAAAAACATTTTTCTGCATGTTTGGAAGATTATCTGTTTTAATTTGATAACTTGAAATTGAAAATGGATTGCCAAGTATAAATAAATCTCACAATAATAAACATGTAAATACACTTATGAGAGGAAAATTTGATGTAGAAATATATTAATGTAATTTGATACACTCTATTGGAATGCCATCATGTGAGTCTAAAATTGGAAAGGGAAATGAGATATGTGTAACGGATTCTGAAAATATGGCAGCACTGCTATCGCATGTAGACTAGCTGCTGGAAATGTAAATCTGTGAATTCAGAGCTCACGTTTTCTGGGAATTCTGGCAGTCTGTAAACAAAATTGCGATTCTTCCTGTCTCCACATGAATGTTTATGCCAAGATTTCCTTGTTTTTGAGCAAATCTGTGATCAACCTTGCCCTCTTGTAAAAAAAAGTTTAGAGACAAAGGAGAAATGTAGTGAATACTTGTTAGGACTTGTAAAATAACCAGCATTTGCTGTAAATATGAAGTACTTAGTATGTTTGAAATTATATTCTTGTGTTGTATAGTGTGCAGTGTTTGGAGTGTAGTTTGCATGTTTATGAAGGGTATATGGATTTCATGACATCAAGTTACTTTAATCTTTGTTATATTTGCAAATATTCACTAATATAGCAAATATGTTAATGATGATAAAAGAAAATGTAGACCACCAAACATGTTTGTGTAGAGGTACATATTGAAATTATATGAAGTTTAAGAAGATCGAGTTGCTAATGTACTTAAAATATGAGTCACTGACTTCCTGAAACTATCATTTGAATGCCTACACCAGGTCCAATTTTGCAATTTTCTAAAGAATGTCAATTGTCAAGCCTATTGTGTTAAAATACTTGGAGGCACTCATGTCTTTATTTTATTAGCTTACAATTCTCTTTGTAAACTAAGGATTTAAACTTGAAATATAGTTTTTCATTTTGCTAACAAAACTATCACTAACAAAACACCTCTATTTATATTAAATTTCACACCAATCACTTTGGAGTCTTGAAAATTCCGCAAGGCTCCACACCATCTTTCCTTGTGGGGGAATCGGATCAAAATGTCTAGGATTCTTGTTCTACAAGCCCTTGTTCACATTTGAATATTTTATGGGTTTTAGATGATTTTAATCCTGCTTTGTACACACTATCACTGCCCTAATATACTTAGCATCTTACCTCTAACTCATCCATTGATTCACTAACATCATTTCTGTTTTGTTTGCCTGCATTCTATCTATCATTTTGCATGTTTATAATTTTCCATTTGCTTTTCTTTCCCTTCTTCTTTTTATTTCGCTCCATGTCAGATGATGAGCAGGTCCCTTCGCCATTCCACCCGGCAAACCTCGAACCGGGACGCTCAAGAGAGACGTCCACCCTCCCACCAGAAGTGAAGCACCTCACCCCTCCCCTAGTGTCCCTCACTCGCACTTCAGAGAGACGATAGAAATCATCTCGGTACTCATGCAATGTATTTAAGGGCTAGAACATATGGCTCCAGTTACAATGTGTAAAGTCTCAGTACATGTCAAACAGAAGTTCTTCAAGAGAGGATCAAAATAATTGCTGTACTTACATGTATGTAACCTCTTAAATTGCAGAAACATAAGACTCAAAAGAGGATCAAAATAATTTCTGTACCTACTTGAAGGCCTATATGTAATGTCTTAAAATGACAGAAACATAAGGCTTTACGTGTAAAGAGAGTTTAATGCTGGCGGTAAAAAGTCATGTTGTTTGCGAATCAAAACTGAATGTTCTGAAACTTCCACTTGCACCTTTGAGAGATGAGGGATAGCAATTATTTCCGTACTGACACTTTGTAATTTCCAGAACATAAGTGGAGATATGGGCTGCATGAAGTCTGTATGAGTCAGAAGTGAACCCTTTCTCTTTTATTTGTTAGAGATGATTTCTGTACTTACGCAATGTATCAACAGCCAAAAGAAAATGGGCAGTGTGAGTCTCTCTATCTTTAAATGAGTGAAAGTTCTTAGCTCTTCCTTCTGAATTTCAAAAACTTATTGAAATAACTTCTCTACTTATGCAGTCAATGTAATGAGTAGAACATGAACATACAGGCAGGTAGCGTAATGTCTCAGTAGGTCTAAGCGTATCGGGTGTTCCCCTGATACTCAAGACTTTCGAGCTGCTCTTGAAGATTACGTTATCTCTCAAGGATTCATTTGTCCATGAAGGATGTAAACCTCAAGGTGTTTCTTGCTATTGGTGTGAAGTTGATGGATAATTTAAGCTCATTGGTAAAGCTAGTCATCAAGGAATATGTACTTTTATGGTCCATGAAATATGTCTTGGTCTGAATAGCGTTGCTGAAGTAGTCCTTTATGACTGTACGACTACATGAAGATTTAACACTTGTACTACAGTTATGGGCGATCTGACAGCGGGATTCTGTCTGTACCAAAGCTACTATTGTGAAGTTTGTACTTAAAATAATGAAACGCCAAAATATCTTTGCTGACATTGTTTAAATCACAACTCTCGCTCATTTGGCAAGCCAAGACTTTTGTTAATGTGTTTTGCTATTTTTTCAGTTGTCCAACATTAATTGAAGTAATTTTATGAGTTGTAATACATTTGTAAAATGGTCTCTGATTTGATTATGCATGTGCTTCTTGTATCGGAGGAAGTAAGTCACAATTTGGATGGCAGTCGGTTATTTGATCAAATACCAGCCTACCATTAGCCAATCAGAATCAACCATTCTAATGAAGTCTTCTAAGAGGTAGCTTTTCATTGGTTGTTGGAAAGTGGACTTGATCGTAAACCGCATATGGTGAATGTTCTATCAAACTTTCCTGCAACTGTGCGAGTCCACTGGTCAGGTCTCGTTTATATGTTTAAATTCTAAAACCACAGTTCTTGTATGAGTTTGTTGGAACTAAAACGTTATAGAAGTAGGAAGACAAATATTAGTCACAAAAAAGTAAGGATTTTAAAAAGGACGTGTGAACATAATAAGAAATGAGATAAAGTTGCCAAAAATTGATCAAGTCTGAAGCAGTTGTACTGTGGGAGGCAGTTTATGGATCAAATGCCAACATTGAGGTCAGATAGTAATTTATTGAGATTAGACGATATTGAGATCAACATGGCAACTTTGACACTGAAGATACATGTATAAAGATTGAGGTCAGCTCTAATTACGAAGGTCTAATCAAATGTTCACATTGAGAATTTTTCCGTGGAGATCATTGCTTATAAAAAGCTATCAAGATTTAGGACAGATGTAAATTCATCTGTGAAGGTCTTATGAAAAATCTTGTGAACAAATAGTCATTTTTGATAATCATCTACGTTATATACATCCCAATCTTTGAAGGGGTGTCTTTAATCTTATATAACACCTTGAGCAACAAAGCAAAGTATTTCAGGGTATTTTGAAGTTACACATAGTTATAGCAGAGTGACTTTAAGATCTGATCGAAGGACATTTTTTTATAAGCAAAGCTCCTCTTTTCTTGGCTGTTAACTTTTTATGACCTAATTATTAGGGAACAACCTTGCATAATGTTTTTGATAGAGAGATGTTTTGAAATTATCCTTGAAATATCAGAGATTCATGTTATAATCTAACAGTGTTTGGTCACGAAGAGTATTAAAGGCTTACATACCTTTCAAAGCCCTTGTTTTGATATAGAGGTTAGATGTTGGATCAGTAAGGCCAGATAATGTTATAGTGTTTCGTACCTTGCAGTGCTGTTGGTAAATTATAACAACAAGATTCTGTTGTGGAAATGAGAATGGTCAGATAAATTGAGAAGTAGTTAAAAAAATCCCTGCACCATTTCAGAAACCATTATCAAACATAATTTATGCACTTTTACAATGGATTTGTTGTTGTTAAAGAAGTATTCTAGAAAGTCCCACAATCCCCCCTTCCATTCTGTTGGTGCTGTTGAAGCGGCTTGTTAGCGTTCTTCAGTATCATGTGTTGGGTACTCTATGGCCCTGTCTGTACTTTCTAAACAGTCACTGTCAGCTGGACAGATATACAATGTGCTCAAGGTCAGCAGAGCAACATGAACTCAATCCCAGGATATCAATCTAGATGAAGGGCAAGTCCAAAAATATCTTCAATTCAACTATCTCCCCCCTCCCCCACCTGCATTTTGTTGATGTACGAGTAGCAGCCTGTTCACTATTGTCAGTATCATGTGTTGACTACTGTATGGCTATGTCTATACTGGGTAAACAGTCACTGTCAGCTGGACAGATATATACAATGAGTGGTCCAGGTCATGGGATGCAACAGGAATTCTGTTCAAGGATCTCATTCTAATTAAAGGCCAATTCCAAAAGGATGTAGTCACATTAAGAATGTACTTATTTAAAGAATGTGCTTTTACTTTAAAAACTTGCTTTTAAATACCAAGTCAAAGATTATAGTTTACATGAGGAATTGGTATGTTAACAGCCCTATTACCATAAATAATTGTCTATGAATCTATTATATTTACTCAGCTTTGAGCTATAGCTATTAAGTTTGTCTATGAATCTATGAATCTATTATATTTACTCAGCTTTGAGCTATAGCTATTAAGTTTCTTGTTGAACTTGCCTCTGGGTTTTTACTCTGACATTCAAGAACCGACCAATACAGGAATTGAAGATTTGGAAAGGGGCAGGGTTATACATGGTGTAAGCAAACTGATTGAGTCACATAGAAGAAGAAAAATTGTTGTGGTAAAATTTAAAAATTATTCTCGAGTTACAAGAAGATACATTGCGATGAAATGACTATCGTCATGTTGGGGTTATTTAAGGTCATTTTGCGGAATGTTCAGGTCACTACCCTGTTACTGTATGGGAAATCTAGGCATTTCTTCACTCTCAATGCTAGCTGTGTCGATTCTGTGCTATAACCTTACGCAAGACGTTGGTAGTGCACTCAAAGTTCAAATGTTGCAACTGATAATTGTTTGATTCCGCCTACCAAATATAAATCATACCGAACCAGAGCGTGACCTCTGTCCAGAGTGTTCTTCTTTAGAACTTTCCAGGGCATCATTTCACAAAATCATCATAAGTACAAGTTCACCCACATCCCATTGAAACGTGTGTTAATTTTGAGACACGCGTTTCGGCGGGAAGTCGGTGAACTTGCACTTATGAGGTTATGTGAAAAGCAGCCTGATCAATGTATTACAACCAGAGAGGACCCTGGTTCGGGGAATAAAGATACATCTATATATAGGGTACCCTAATCACCTTGGCAAACCATTGAGAGCTAAAGGACGTGTTTAGCCTGAGATTCCAACACAGGGTATGTGATACAGGAAGTGGGCTATGAAGCAAATTAAACGCAGGACCGCACTGAGGTAACCCGAGTCGAGACAAGGATCTCCCTTCAGCCGATTGAATATCTATGCAAAGGACACTACGCTATACGTTAAAGATAGAGGCTCGGAATGATTACATGGCATAGCTGCCAACCATTTAGATTTTGGAGGAATGATTCCTGTTTTTGGCTTTTTAATTAATGTTACGATCGACCCTTACATTTCTGTCTTCTTTCGAAAACGTCTGCGTAAAAATTGCCGTCTACAAAATGGACTGTAATCCTAATTTTGACATGCAAGTTCTTAAATTTTGTAGGTACCAAATTAACATGTATCATTTGTAGTTATGATACATGTTTAATTGGGTTATTACATATCTCAATCAGTTATGATTATTTAAGTCTTGGGATCAACCATTAACATCACTATCTGGAAAAGGCAATTCAGTTTTGAACAGAGGTTTTTCAGAGTGTGTGTTATGGCAAAGACAGAGAGCTAACCTTAATGCAGACCAAATCACATTTCGCAAACATCTGTTTTAAGTTCTCAAACATCTAACATTTGCTTTGCAATGCACTATTCATAAATGTCCAAGTAATTTTGTTTTAATTTCATAATTATGTATAGATGTGCGATTTGAACTGTATACGTATACTGGCACCTGAAACAAAATCTAATCTTTTAAGAGACAAAGAACTTAAGGGGTACATAACGATTAATTTCCCCTGTGAAAAGTTATAAGTGAACTTGCAACATGTAAGGTATAAGGCTTGCCGTTTGAATACAATAACGAAATGCTTGTAGGATTAATGTATAATGAATGTTTAGATATAAATATGACTTATGTGTACATAATATGGGGTCGACAATCCATATCAAATACTGCAATTTTGACTGGATTACGACGTGAATTCAAATATTATTGGGAAATCTGTGCATTATTTTTGTCATCATTGTCTGTATATATGTAAGCTGTGTACGATGCAAAATTATAATGTATTGATTCTGTTGGATTGATCAAGCACTTGGTAACTAAAGCATTCTTTAATCTTTGCTTGAAACGGAAGCTTTTGGTGTACAAGATGTACAAGTATTAAAAGCATTGCACCATTATACTATATACTATATACTGTTGCTATAACAGTTACACCCATTGTGCAAACATCCTAGTTTACCCCCTTGGAGTATATTTTGCTTCATGCTTAATGCATTGGATCACACGCTGCCTTGCTTTTTTCACTATCTGGATGTACAAATTTGGAATCATATACAGTTTTGTTTTTATATTGAAATTATTTCTTAATCTATGTGAGACCAAAATAAACTGGTAATACCCCATCCTGTCACTTTCAACTTGGTGCATCATCTGTTCAGCGCCAGAAGGGCATTGACTTCTGCATTAAAGCCATACTGTACGAGAAGCTCATCCGCGAAGTCCCCTCTTAGCGCCATCTCAAGTCAGCTGTAGCAGTGTGGTCCCCTAACTCCCTGCTTCCCGAGCTGTGCTATTGGTTCTCGCATCCAGTCCTCTGTCTGCGAAGTGGGAATGAGGTATTGGGTTACGCGCTGTTCGCAAGTTGACCATGAGATGGCGCTGTGCAATGAACAGTACGCTAGGGCAGAAAGTGCAGTGCAGTATCGCTTTAAAGCATATAAGTTGATATTTTTCTGGTTCCAAACAATATGCAGAGTAATGTATCACAAACTTCATGATAGACAGCGATCTTTAGTAGAAAACATAACCGTGATTAGAACCTTGATAGTTACGGCCTGGATACATACCACCAATAATGGTAGCAAAATGACAAAATCAATCCTGAAGAGGTATTGGTTCTGAAAAGAATCAAGCCTGAGGCTCATTAGCACAATGTCTGTTTGGAGCCAGAAGGCTGTTAACTATTAAATACTTGAACACAAAGCTAACGCCCTCCTGGCTTTCAAACATACAATGAATTAATTAGCAATCCAATATCCTATACCCAATCTATGCTGACTAATTTTATTGTCATCATCGTCATTGGTGATATGTTACCAGCCTTTAAAATAGGAATTTTCTTGACATAACAGTAAACTTTCACATAACTTCGTTTGAAGTTATTATTTTTTGTTTGTATGAGGATATAACATGTTACCGTTATTCTTGTAGGTTCCATCAATTCTTCCCAATTATAGCTGATATTTTGGTTACCCCCCCCCCCCCCCCCCCCCATCATCTTGATCATTAAGCCTTTACCTCTGAAATGAATCAATGCCTGTTTCTTCAACTCAGTCCTGTTCTACATTTTAAGGCATTTTTATTTTACTATGTAATGTCTGATACAATTTTCCTTAAATGCATTATCCTTTACTTGCTCATTGTTCTTTTTCTATCATCAAATACTACCGTGTGAGTCAAAAAAAAGTTTACACCTAGAAAATTGCTAATTATTTTTAGAATCATCTATGAACAGTAAATTATTATACATCTTATGAAAGAGTGTTTTATCCCAAATCATTTGGTACCAGTTTTGTGTGGTATGTGTTCACGCTTGGATGAACAGGTGGCATTGTTTGCGAGAGTGCAAAAATCGACTTGCGCCAAAGTGATGCCTTCAGTATGTATTGTGTTGGGATTAGCGGAGTGAGAGAATGGATTGAATGTATCAAATGAAATGCATTGCATATGTTTTTTGCAAAGGGCAAAGTCACACACACCCACACACACGCGCACAAATGTTCGTTGATATTTGATATTCGATATTTGATATGTGTGGCATGATTAGTTTTGTTAGGGGTGTTATTTGGATCTACAAAGACCGAATTAATACCCAAATCCCAATTGTTTTATTCAAACAATGTCTCCTGTTCATCCAAGCGTCAACACATACCACACAAAAATGGTACCAAATGATTTGGGATAAAACACTCTTTCATAAGACATATAACAGTTTAATTTTCATTGATGATTTTCTAAATAATTAGCAATTTTCTAGGTGTAAACTTTTTTTGGACTCACTCTGTATATATATCAATGTATTTGTTAACTTATACTTGATTTTTCTTACCACTCACTTGTATGTATGTATACATTTAATCATCTCAATGTCAAATGAGAATGTGTTATGTATTATTCAATAAAACACTCTGTACATACATGTATTTTTGCTATGTTAATTATGACAGACTACGTAGCAAAGTTGAACACATCATTTTTCGATTTTGTGCGTAATTTCCCCTTATGATATCTGAACATACTTTAAATTCAAATGGAATTGATAGTTTTTAACAGAAGGAGGAATGAGAGATCATGTTTTTTTGCATATTCAGTTTCTTTGGATTAATACGAATATGGATTTTCTTCCAAGTGTAAATTTGAAAATTGAATCGAAGTCAGAATAGTAATAAGATTATATTACTGACCATAAACCAACATAATTGTTAAGGGCTTCTTTGGTTCTGTTTGTGTTAAAACAAACAGTAACCACATTATTATTAGTCCTCATTTAATTTCGTTTTAATTTCTTTTATATGTAAAGAAAATTGAAGACTGGCAGTTTTGGAATATGAGTTCTTCCTTTCAACAACTTCATTTTCATACCTTTATTTATTTTGATATGAAATTGTAGAAGGAATACATGGATACATACGTTAGTAATATTTTGTTTTTATAACATACACCATTGAATATATATTTTTTATTTTGATATCGTTTGATTTAACAAGGCTGTCGGGTTTATTAACATGTAACTTTTTAGAAAGAAAACAAAATATTGTGTGTGATAGGGTTGGTTAAGCTGCATATTATCATGACTCATAACTAACAAATCACATCATTTTTTGTTACAGAAACCTCATAAATGTTTTAAGAAATGAAGTTCTACTTGATTTCTTTTTGTTAAGCTGTACTTAACTTCTGAGGTCTACATTTTTAAAGTTATATGCTTCATTTTGTAGATCTGCTTATTTGTTTTTGAGGGCTTCCATCGCCATGTTTGGTATTTGTTTCTGCGGTGTAAGATTTATTTTGATATGAAATAGGCAAGTAAGATTTTTGTTTATAATATGTTGACTATTATACTATGTTATGTCTGTTGTTAATGTGTACATGTATATTATGTGATTACTAATGGAAACCGGTGGTACATATTTATTGAATGTCGGCATTGTAGAGTTTTGTGCCTTTGCAATGGATATTGTGAATGGCTTTTTTTGGAAAAGATGTATGAAATAAAAGATGGTGTTGTTAATGTGAAGTAAAAGCTTGCAGTAAATGTGTTTCATGTAGAGTATTATGTACAGGCGGAGAGAGAGAGGGGGAGGGGGAGGGGAAGAGAGAGAGAGAGAGGAGGGGGAGAGAGGAGAGAGGGAGGGGGAAGGAGAGAGAGAGAGAGAAAGAGGAGAGGGAGGGGGAAGGAGGAGAGAGAAAAGGAGAGAGAGAGGAGGGGGAGGGGAGAGAAAAAAGGGGTGTACTTGTAGTGCATAGGACAGAGTAAAAGAGGAAGAGGAAGAGGATTCAGATTTTATATTCCACATTAAAAACACAGAAATTTGGCCTCCACTGGCAGAAGACAATGAATAACATAAGAATACATAAATGTGCACAAAACAAATACATCAATTAGATTAACAAGCAGTTGAATACATTCTGACAAAGGTAAGAGGAGATAGCAGAGTAAGATGAGAAAAGGAATGAAGGAAGCTGAGCAAGAAAAGACAGGAATGTAGGTAAGGGAAAGAGAGAATAAAAACCGCTAGCATAACACGTTATTATGACTCCAAAGTAACATCTGCTTTACTAAAGGTAAAAAAAAACAATTCATGTGTATTGTTCTAAGAACCCATGGGTTCTTAGAAATAAGCAAGAATCGGCTTGAATCCGTTCACACATTTCACATCACATACAATTACTATTTAACGTTATTGTTAAACAGGTGGATAGAATTCGGAATGAAGGACTGTCTATAACGACATCGAGAAGTTTTGGGAACAAACAGACGAATGCCAGAGCGGCAGGAGGGCAGTTATTTAATCCTACAACAACTTGCATTTGACTGAAAAAGTATTTTGGCATTTAAGGACCATTCTGATCCTATTGATACCAACACGCACAGGGCAGATGACAGTTTTACACCAAAATTCTCCCTTCTGCCCGTCTTTGTCTCTCTTTTCTCCATCTCCCTCTCTCCCTTTCCAGCTCTATCTCCCCCTCCCCCTTTCTCTATCTTTCTGTCTCCCTCCCTCTCTTCCCTCCCTCCCTCCCCTCTCTCTCTCTGTCTCTTTTTCTCTCTCCCTCCCTCCCTCTTTCTTTCTTTCTACCTCTTGCACAGCCACATAAATATTTTTAAAATACTGATATTTTTCAGTGTAAATGTCCAAAAGGTTGATCACTATTTTCTTGCGTACAACCACAAAACAAAATAAAATACAACAGACAAGTAATTTGAAGGACATGATTAAGATTTATTTTAATCATCAGTTTTTACATAAAACATACCTTTGGCATAGCATTACAATACAGACCAAGAACAAAAATAAGACCGATAAACAAGCCCATATACGCATAGTACATGTAGCATTGAATCGGGGTAAACAAAAAACAAAATAGCAGAAAGGTGTTCAAATCTTGGGATGGAATAACAACGCCATACATAGATGATAACAGAGATTTACTCTGCAGCTTCTACTTTCTAGGTCATAATTTTATGTTAGAGAAATTTCACAAGTAATCTTTCATCCTTCAAGTAAAAGTTTATTGCAATTATGTGCTTTGTTAACACATACTATTGTGGAAAATAAACTTTGCTGAAATAAAGTGTAATTTAAAAAAGGTTCAATTGAATTGCAACCTTAGGAAGTAAAAGGAAACCGTTTTATTGATTTAATACATATTAGTACATCAACATATCACATGTGTGTAGTGGTGGGTATTTCAACTGAATGCAAAGAAAGCATAAACGCTTGTTAGTATGCAACCAGAGGACCGACAGCTTTAAGTCCTCTCCGAGAGACCTGGTAATGAGGATTAATGCCTTACCAAAGGGCACTAGCGCATCGCCAGGGTTTCGAACCCGGGTTGCCCGATTACGAGACCACTGTTCTACCAACTGAGCTATCATTAAACCTATGGTGATCAGAAAATGGACACTACTGCCATTGTCCTAATTTGTTTTCATCATTCAAGAGCCCTAATTGAGCACTTTTTTGAGGGGATATGTTTGTGCACTTTAAAAGGCCTGTTCAGATAAACCACTACAAACAAGCTGCCACATTTTATTTACGTGTAAGTGAATGGCGACTGCGCACAAAGGACTCTGTGTTACAAGATACAGAAACATGAAGCATATCACACTTTAGGACATAAACAAATTTTTTTTAAATGCTGCAGTTTTGCTGTGTCAAATCTGAGCAAGGCTTAAGTCACCATAACCAATCTTTTTGTTTTTTTATCTGAGCTCCTCCAATAACTTGAACAGCGGTATTCATCATCTATAAAAAAATTAAAATGTGCAATTCCTTTGACAAAATATTGGAGCACTGTACCAGTACAGTTTAAAAGATATCAATATTTTGTACTAAAAACCAGCCATTTCATGATTGTGTGACATCAAAGTAAAAATGAATTATATCCAAACAGGATAAAGCACTGTGACACTCACTAACCATACAACAACCACATGCTGAAAAATATATGTTATTTTAAAATATTTTCTGACTCATATTTATGACTAAATTTTGGCATTAATTAACAAGTTATTTCAGGTCTAGACCAGACACAAAATGCTGATGTGGAATACACTGCATCTGATACTCATTCATGTGATGTTCCCCCTCGTTGTCTTGTTCCACGCAGTACCGGTATATAAAATTTGCTCCCACAGAGACATTCAAATAACTTTATTCGGAATCATCGAGTTGCATCAGTCTAGATAGATTCAAGGACAAGTAAAATAAAGATGGATTTCCTGAAAAAAACAATATCATAAGATACAAGTACAAGCCTACATTGTACATATGACAGATACGCACCATCCATTGAAAGGGTAAGGGCACTCAACTAAAGTTGCAGCTTTTACACAAATATGCAGCACAATTTGAAAAAAAAATGTCTATTCCATACCCCCCCCCCCTTCTATTTGAAGCCTTTAAAGTATATTGAGAACTTTTTTGAAACAATACCAGCATCGTGTAGGTTTAGTAGGACAGATACTAGACAAGGATGTACATGTAAATTGTAGCCTGTCAAGTTATGGCAGTCATGTCCAAGACAAGGAACAATATTACAGGTAGTCTTCCAAGAAAATATTTTCGTAAGAGGACCACACAAAATCTAAGAATTCAAAGACATGTTGCAAACAGCAGCATATTGTAGGCCTTTGCCTATTAAAGCGAATGGATATATTTTTCAACAGATGAACTGTTCTAAAGCTTTATTATTGCTAGAAAGGTACAAGGAACAGATATGTGAAAAATAGTGATTTTATTAGGAGTGAGATATATGGTGTAGTTTAAAGCACATTGCTAGGAAGTTCTACGGGTGAAAACACAATGTGCCTATTTTGTATTATTTTACTGTTTTTATTGATGTCAAATCTAGGCCTAAAAAAGGTTATTTTTTTAAAGCGTCAAATACTCTATATTTTGTCTTAAAAGATCATAGCTGCTCATTTCTAAAGGCATAATCATTTACTGTAATCACAGGTCAATGTCTTACTGAGTCATAACAGGTGATAACATAAAATAATACTGGATTTTTATCATTTTTTTATAACGTTTGAGATCAGTATTCTATATACTTCACAAGAATACAATATAAAGAGTTTTGTTGTGAACAAGATTTCTACAAAGGTCTTGCAAGTGTTAGTGACCGACTGCCATTTTCATTAAAATTGGATTTAATACATGTTCAAAATGGCATCATGGGAAAGAGAGATTTATTTTTGAGCGAGAGACACAGAATTAAGTACATAGATACAAAACCATGATGCGGTGGCAATATTGCTGACAGCATTTACGAAAGGAATATTCCAAGTGATTTATCCTGTAAGTACATTTACCATCTCTGAATTACTTTCTTGAATGTTGGTCTCCCATCCACCCCGATGACCATACCGTTGCCTATAAGCATTCAGGCATTAGCACCTAAAATATTTTTTTCTTCTTATCGACACCGATCACACTGGAGACTCATGAAGGAACTTTTTCTCATACGGATACCAGTTTATTTTACCCAATATTTCTGACAAAAGACCCAAAATACCTATTAGGGCCCTGTATATTCCACACAGTATGAAGCTGTAGTATTTTCCTCTTTTCAACTTGAGGATTGTGCAATATTTGGAACATTTATATATATTTGGAGGATTCATGCCTGGGTAGCTTTGTGCACATAAAGTCTGGTAAGTGTGATTGGTTTTTTATTCCACCCAGCGACCATTCCCGCTTCAAATCATGAGAAAGTCAGTAACAGAGAAGTGTGACAGGGCCCAAAGATCAGGTACAAGCCAGAAAAATGGCATCCTGGTATGTCAACATGAAAACCCACTGTTACAAGGTCAGTACAAGATACACAGCTGATGCATGAGGAAATGTAATGAGTTAAAACAGAAAACATTCACAAGGCTACACATATTGCTATTAACGGGAACACAGCTGTAAATCAAAGATCCTTTGCAGATAGCTTCTGATGTAAGTGACCCATGGTTTGAGTCCATTGTGAATGCAGCAAGATGTTACCATCCTCCAGTCATCTCCCTCTCAATAACCCTTATGGCTCAGTTCACACATGACATGATAAACCAACCCCCTAAAATACTGCTCCTGCAAATGAAAGCCATCTCGTGTGCAATTGAATGGCAAGCGCTGGCGAGAAAGAGTAGTTGTGTTCAACATGGGCCCTTCAGCCTATTCTCTTCTCTGCCTGTTCTAACACTACGAAACATGAAGTGCACTATGCTGATGTTTTTTGGCTGTGCCAGATTTTGTTTTTGAGGCCGTTTACTAGGGATCTGTTTCACAAACCCTTTTTACAATGACAAATGACAAAAATCAGTGACAAATAGACAGATAACCAATCAGAAGCAAGGATTTCAGTAGCTTATAACAAAAACTGTCATTTGTCACTGATGACAAGTTCTGTGAAACGCCCCTAAGATCAAGTGTGAACGAGGCATTACGATGCAATTCGACCTAGGCAAAGCAGGTGGTGGTAGCTTCAAATAAAAAACAAGTGCCCTTTATCTAGAAGCTATTGACGGAACGGACGTTCTTCATATTGCACGTCCAACGATGACCATACCGTCCATGTACTGGTCCTGTTCTGGTATCTGGAACAAACCAAGCTTGGCGTAGAACTGTCGTTGAGGCTCATTCCCTTCCCTAAGAACAGCATGGACCCCACTGGATCCTGTAGATAGATACAAACATTTATGAAATGATAAAAATTGACAGTTAGTAAGTAAGATATAACATACATGTATAGTGATAGAACAGCCACAGACACCGCTGTTCCAGCAGGACCGACAGCTAAAATTCACACCATGGTCTCCACAGACCGAAGGAGGCCTATTATAGTGGTAGAACAAAAAGTTTTGTTTATTTTCTTTGTCTAATTTTGAAAGGAATGTCCATGAGATCAAGGATCACAAGGATCGAGAGTAATTAAAGGGTAATTCTAATCATACTTAAGCCAAAGGACATTAGTGCCGCAGTCTGACTCAAACCTCAAACCATGTCATCCACAGTCCGGTGACATATTCACTAGACCAAGCTGGGGAACACCATGAATGTTAGGGGGTCATATGCCCAATGACTCCACAGGGGGTTTCACAAAGACTCAGATCGGCTTTAAGTTGGACTTAACTATGGCATACCGTTCATGCCACTGTTTGCTCTAACCAGTTACTGGTATCAGTCTCTCAAGGGACGTACAAATCATGGTCACAAATCTCCAGAATTTCCATTTTTTGATAATTCCTTAATTAATGAAGGAAAAAATATTATCTAAGGATCATAATTGAGAGACCAATGGTGAGAGCAACCAGTGGCATGAATGGCTTGCCATAGTTAAGTCCAACTTTAAAGTCAATCTTAGTCTTTGTAAAACACTCCCCTGTTAATTTCAAATCCTGCTATTTCTCTTACCGTTTGACTTGAGAGCAGCCAGAACACACGCGAGTAGATTCTTGATGACCTCCGGGTCCTCAACAGAGGGCAGTATATCAACTATGATTGGTGAGGGAAGACGTGTAGACATGGTGGCCGGCACCTCTGGCTCCTTGTCATGTATACTCTTGATCAGCTCCTGGTAAAAAAGAGCACAATCTTTGGTTAACGGGAATTTTTTATATACATATGAATACAAACGATCAGAGAGAGACGGAAGAAATGGCTTGGACACATAATGCGGCATGATGATAGCTTAATGATCAGAGTCATAGAAGGTCGTCTTCATATAAAAAAGAAGAGGGGAAGACCTCGTAAAGGCTTTCTAGATGATTTAATCGCAGAATGTGGAGCAACAGGATATGAAATGCTGAAACGGATAGCTCAAGACCGAGGTACTTGGAGAGACACTTGATGTAGAATTCTGATTGGGTCACTGAATCTGTCATAAAGTGACAGATTACTATTGATGATGATGAATACAAGTGAGAGGCATTAATTTTCTTGTAGCACACTAACCGATAACAGTGCTCTACACAAACATCTTGCACTGTGGCTCTGGAATGAATTATTCAAGGTTTCTATACCTTGGAGCATTTCATGTACTGGTTTCCCAACAGAGAAAATAGGTCATGGGCAATTACACAAAAATGTACTACCACTGCTTTTTTTAGTCATGGACTCTTTTTTATTTATATCATGAACACATTTTACCCCTTGAAATTCCTTGATACTGTAATACATGTATGTTGCCTTAATTTGTCATTTGTAAAAGAAACAAATAATTCAAGATTAATCAATTGAAACGAATCTGCCTACAGAAAGTTTGTTGGATACACGCTCTGTCAACAACTGCTTCATAGTCAATATCTAACACTAGTTTAATCGTTAACTTCTACCTTCGACCAAACACTACACTTAACTGTATACCAAACCTGCCACTACCTAAAAACCCAATCTACAATGCGATGGGAAATCTAACCATTTCCTTTGATAATATCAGAACCCAGAGCTAATATCACATGTGCAAAGGTTAGATCTCCTATAGTAGACTACTTACCTCTGCTGGGGTGAGTTTCTTGTCAGCAGACGGGAGTGGATACTTGGCCTGGAGTTCAGGCTTCCAAGCAGCCTCTACTTTGGTACAGAAATCCTTGATATCGAGAGCTGCTAGCACATAGCCAACGATACACTCGGACTCCTCCAACACAAAACAGTATTCAGGACTCAGTGTGACAAAGAGACCAAGATACCTAGATGTGACATTGATAAAGATTGTAAAGTCAAGTCTGTATATAAATAGGTTATAATTTAAAGGTCTTGATATCAAGAGCTGCTAGCACATAGCCAACGATACACTCCGACTCCTCCAACACAAAACAGTATTCAGGACTCAGTGTGACAAAGAGACCAAGATACCTAGATGTGACATTGATAAAGATTGTACAGTCAAGTCTGTTTATAAAGGATTGTTTAAGAAAAACAATAAGTGCTTTTACAGGAAGGTCTATATGTACGCATTACTATAGCAAAGGTTTCAAGGACAAACAATGTGGATCAAATAGTATCAATGTATTACACATTTATGTAGACTTATCTGACACTAAAAATCACTAAATCATTTCATACTAATAGATGCCAGATACCACATTAAAAGGTAAATCATGATTAAACATTGAAAGTATTGTGTTTGTGCAGCCCCCCCCCCCCCCCCCCCCCCCCAAAAAAAAAAAAAAAAAAAAAAAAGAAAAAAAAAAATATGTGAACCAAATCCCTTCATTGGAATTCATGGTTTCTTGTTTATTTCCAATGACATCAGAACATGCTGATCAACAACCAAAGCTCTCTTTACTAAGCTCTACAGCGACTGGTGGAGCTCAGCTTAAGTCAGATCCCTCTATTTTTTTTATAGAAATAAATATGGCGTAAGTTGTATAATATCGTTTAAAAGTACAGATCATTGTTATTATTCTTGATTATTTTGCATGCATTAATTCTACTACTTCTTCCCTTCTTTCTCCAGACCCTTCCGGGGGATGTTTCACAAAGACTAAGATGGACTTTAGGTTGGACTTAACTATGGCAGGCCGTTCATTCTACTGTTTGCTCTCACCATTTACTGGCATCGGTTTCTCAAGGGACGTACCAATCATGGTCACAAATCTACAGAATTTACATATTTTGATAATTCATTATTGAAGGAAAAAATATTATCTTAAGATCATAATTGAGAGACCAATGGTGAGAGCAACCAGTGGCATGAACAGCCAGCCATATTTAAGTCCAACTTAAAATCCATCTTAGTCTTTGTGAAACACTCCCCTTGGTGTATGATTATACTTACTTGTCGGTTAGGAGTCGTGGATAGTCATCAAAGCTCTTCATATCAGCCTTGTCATCAGAGTATTTCAGAGAACACATCTTATAAACAGCCTCCTATAAAATAAGAAAAAACAAACTTACTTTAGAAGTTTACTTTTACCATACAAGATAAACATAAACAAATACAAATAACTTTTCAACTATCTAGGATTGATTCATTACTTAAAGCATTAAAGTTAACTACAACATCACAAAAGGTCATGGTTATAGTAAAAATGTCATTCTTTATAATATCTCTGCATGTACATTACTTTTTCTTTCATGATTAACAGTAAGACTTTCTTCCCACAGACAGACTTTTTTTTTTCTTGAGAATTAAATACAGTCATCAATATTGATTACAATTTATTGAAGCTATAACTCCTTAACAATCTTAATGCAAAATAGATCCAAGATGAGAAAATCACCATACATAAGAGAGCAATTTTTTTAAGGGGGGGGGGGATTCGGAAGGAACCATCTAAAATTTTGAAGCACAGATACCTTGAAATCAGTTTCACAATATATGAACTAAGAATAATTTGTTCTTTTTTTCCTGAATCAAACTAGTACTTACAAAATAAGTATAAGCATTGCAAAGAGTCTTCTCATAGGAAATGTTGTCCTATTTATGAAAACACTTAATAATGATTCTTTTCATGAGCTCTTTTTTCATGAGGCGTTACAAAATCGTACGAATGGAGAGGAGGGAAGGGGTCAGAACAAATTTGCAGCTGAAAATATTCCAACAATAAAACATTGTCAAAAAGATCATCAATTTGTTTAATTTGCAGACAGAAAGTTTTTGAAGTGATGGGAGAAGGGGGGGGGGGAGGAACGGGTGGGATGTTGCACCCTCACACCCTTTTCTAGGAACACACCTGTCCTGTCTCTCTTAGATCAAAAGCGATGACATACTAACCTCGTCTTTGGGTAAGAAAGGCCTGATGGTGAAGACTCGACTGCAAACCTGACGAGGTTGCTGACGTACTAATAAATCAGCTGCGCTCTCAAGGGTAAGCATACGCTGTAAAACAAATCAAATCACATCAAATTAAATCATATCAAACTTTTCACAATGTCCTGTCAGGGTCATAAATTCTAACATTATTAAACATTATCCCTTTTTTCCCACTTAACATAGTCTGCGTCTATGAAACAAAGGGAGGGGCACGTTTACACACAATGCAGGCTTCAGTCACCCGTCTGGGATGAATTCGAACCCACTATCTTCGGTTCGACAGGCAGAGGCTTTACTGACTGAGCCAACTCGCCTCCTCACTTGAAAAATTGTTTGTGCAACCCGCGTGGTGATAATCAATTCTACTGAGACCAAAATAAGCATGTGTAACATGAAGAGGTTGCTGACGTATTAATAAATCAGCTCCATTAACCAGTGGAAGCATAGGCTATAAATCATATTGCCATGAACAATAATTACACCAACGATCTAGCGCGTAGTTCTGGGACTTCTTAACTGACCATTACCTGCTCTTGCCCAGGCAGCAGCTATGAACTGACCAATTCAGTTACTAATAATATTTACAATGCAATTCACTTTCGCTGTCATAGACGCTACAAATAAAATTCCATTTTCCTGATTGAGCACCAATATTTTAATGATTCAACAATACGGTTCCTTGAAATTTGGTCTCCCATTACTATCATGATACACATCATTCCAATAATCTTGATAATCATCATTATTACATACCAATATTATCATTACTACAACTTCTACTACTCACATGAAACTCTCCCGTTAGACCTCCCCTGAACATCCAAGGCTCGTTGTCTCCGCTCAGGAAAGCTTGCTTGTGATTGGTCGTACACCCTGTTCAGACAAAAGAAATAGACGTCAGAACGCTTCAAAGAGACAACCCATCATTGGAGCGGTGTGAACTGGGATTAGTTGGATAAGGCTATCGTTGATAGTGATGGTAACAAATATGGGACATTGCATTTATATACATTGAATGTAAATGTGGTATGGAAGAAAGGAAAATGTATATATACGAGAAAGGTAGAGACTTGTACAGAGATATAGTTAGTTGGGCAAGAGAGGGTGTGGTTTATGAAGGAAGGACTTGGGTTGAAAACCGTAGACACATCACATGACTTGGCTATCTCTGTATATATTTCTTAACAGGAAAATGTACAACTTTAATTTAAATTAATAAAATCTTGATCAGATACTAAGGGATGTGTTTTAAAATACTGGTATTCTGTCCACACCAATTTCATGAAACTTTTTTTTATTTGTTATGGCACAATAAACCTTGGTTAGAAATGTTTCTCGTACCTGAATGGAACTGAACTTAAAATACAAATATTTTTCATGTCATCTTGTCAGTTCATCATCTAGTCATAATATTAGGCTTATATTAAAAGAGATTTGATAGTGTTTTCTTCCTAATATTATTGAGCCTAACTACTAACTAAAAAAAAAGAGGGGGAATAGAGCAAAGAGAAAAGTGAAAAAAATGAAAATAAAATGATATAAAGCATGCCAACATGACACAATATCAAAATATGGACTGAAAGTATTATAGAAAGAAAAAGTAAGAAGATGGGCATGATTTTTGGTTTAATAATAGTCTGTTAACAGATATATCAGGAGATATTTTTAAATGAGTTGATGTTATTTGATCTTGATTTTAAATAAACAATCTTATAATACATGTATGCATTGAACATCTGAAAAAGATACATTCAAAACAATCATCAGCAGTGCCATGTTAACAACTGACTGAAGCTGCAGTGGTCGGATCACACCGGTTTAAACCAGGGTGAACCGGTATAGGCCGGTGAGGGCCAGTGCTAGCTGGTAATATGCCACAGGTGGTTGGTTCAACTCAGATGAACAACAGATAAGACTCCTGTATTGGACTAGGAATCACAGAGTAGTCTTCAAATAAGGTCTAATGACAATCTGCGTCTCTTTTATAGCACAATGAGAAAACACTGGCACACACAACAAAAGGATCGGGACTGTACATACTGTATTTTATGAATGGGTTCAAAGTATAGAAACATTTGCAATTTAGAATGTCATTTTGGGGGTGGGGGGGGGGTGTAATTAAAAAAGAGCATGTTTTATGGGGCCTCCAGTTAATTAAGGATGAAATTTCATTGACTTTTTATTTAATCTGGTTTACTTTTTTTTAAAGAAGAATCCTCTATCCGGAAAATATTTTGGTTTGAGCCATGTTATATCTTCTGGAATTTCTTTTATAGATGAGGACAAGCAAAATATTAAGAATTATTGGATAGCATAAGGTACTTTGTACCATTGCAAGAGTCTCTCCATGCCATTAGTAACATCACATTCAGGTTTTTACTATTTTGATACAGAATGGAGTCAGCACGGACACCCTTTTTTTTCTTTGTCTGGAGATTTCAAGCAGAGAACATTTGACCAATTTGAATCCACTTCACATCACTTTCAATGAGCACTTCATACTGCTCACCATCAAGTACTGAAAGAAAGATCTCTGTATGAAAAAAGCTTTGTAAATGTATTTGCATCACTAATGATTCAATTCCGAGAATGATTAAACGAAACTCTTATGATTGTGCAATCATGAAGGGTTTCAATTTTGTGTGTAAATTGTAACATGAAAATAAAAATATTCCTCTTATTGGAAAACAGAAAAAGAAAAAATTCTCAAAAATATATGTAATCACAGATATATTTCCAGTCGATATGGAGAACATCAATCAAATAAATTTGATTAGATTTTAATAATGTTTTGTAAAGTGATTAAAAGCAAATTCACTCAAAAAGCATTCATACAGAGATAGCAAAAACATACAATTCAACCATGACATGTTAACATTTCGCGCACAGAACACAAGTCAAGGATTTCAACTAACAATTGACATAACCATTAGATGGACACTAATTTCAGTGAGCAGTATCGAAGATTTGCATTACTAACACGACAACGCAAGTTCACAGTGAAAGTTCCCAAGATTTTGTGATAAGGAAGAAAAATAATTCTATTTTGCAAGGCTTGAAAACTGTGAAGTGTTTGACAAAAGAAGTACCTTTCCCTATTTCGCCTCTGATAAATAGAGGTGAATCAACTCATTAAGGTACTTTGCTCAACTATATAATTTCCTCTAAGCTCTTTATGAAGAGGAATATCTCGAAAGAAATTCCTCTGTCATGCATAGCATATCACTCATTGAAAAATATTCCAGTTTAATGGGTACAATCTTTTAAACTATTTATGAACCCAATATTTCATTTTCCTTTATAAAATCAACTCTGTCTCAAGAATATATGAATACCCTGGGCAGTAGGCACTTCTTTGGTCTACAATCTGGTCTAAGTTGTCAAGCCTTGCAAAACATGTTCGGATTAATTTCAGTCAGAGACTCCAGCCGTCAACAATCTTCATCTTGCTCGGACCTGTTGGGGGCGCTTTCTACCCTTTAACAAAGAAAAGATAATTCATTAATGAGCACGCTCTGTGAACCTTCTCTGACCCTTGGGCAATTTTGCGGACTTTGCTTCCACCATTGCAATTTACTGATGCCATTTCATTTCTTGATGATAAAACACAAGAAAGCCTTTGCATGAAACTAGAATGAAATCTGCCGCCAATACATAAACATGAAAAACTGGTGTATTGGGGCAGGGAAAATGGTTGTTCTGTATTAACACTATAGAAAAAGCATCAGACAGTTAGCAATGTTGTCCGCAAAGCCTCTCAAATCACCCAAAAGTCATCTTGAATGACATGTGCAAGAATAACACACACATTATTTGTCAGATTAAGATAACCTTGGAACAAAGTCGTGGGAACTTTCACTGCTACCGATGCGATATCATGCAGTTCAAGATTTCAAACATCTGGAAATGCATCAACATCAACAATATATGCTGTCAGGATGGTTATGATAGCGATCTTCTCATAACTCATAACTATGTTAGCAGAATCAATGACTTGTGTTTGAGATGATAATGATAACAGAAGTGAAGTGCTCATTGTGTTAATCAGAGACCACTTTAAATGCAGTGGTCTTTCTTCACAATGAATATCAAAATGATATTTCATTTTCAAGGGGAAAAACTGAATGTGTAAGTGATTAAAAAAGTCAAACACTGTCTTGAATGTTGTTCATCTCTATGAGCCATCCAAATCTGTGAAAAGAGAAACGCAACAGTGCGCAAGAACCAGGCACTTTACGCTGCGGCAAGGGCACCTTGCTTTAGCGTGCGCAGTTTGCGCATTGAAGGTGGCTGCACACATCGGCAAGTTTTCCCTTTGAAGTTGGGAAAGAACATTAAAAATCTGACAGAATAGCTTTCAAAATCTCCTTTTCGATACTGCAATACGCAGCTCGATACCGCAATGACCATTCCTATAAAAGATGTTCTTTAATGTGACAGCATTTCTCATGACACAAAGCTTGTCAAAGAATTTAATTAACACCTGCCTGATTCTACAGCCACCTTCAGTTCAGCCCTACCATACCGCCAGCAGCATGACACTGTTCACTCTGGTTTTACCCTTCAAATATAAACATTACACATGGAGGCATACAGTAGGTGGGCTAAGAATAGATCACTTACTCCATCAAGCAGCATCGCTTTAAGCCTTGCAGCATGGCCTATAGGGGGCGACATACTCACCTCACTTCTCCAACAGGTTGATGCATGTATTGCTTTAAATGCAGATGATCACAGCGCACAGACTTCTTGCTTGCCCACAGCACGCATGAGCCATTAGAAAGCAATAGCAGACATGTTGGTAATGCATCACAGCAAAACGGTCAAGTCCCGTTTCATTCTTTTCATATCGATTCATCAAACTTTCATCAAACCAAACATAAATGCTTTTCATGCTTCCTTCTGTGGAAAGGCAGGTCCATTGTCACAATAATTTTTCACCGACCATTACAAGTTAGTATCTCTCATTCTTGTACTTTTTAGAAAAAGAGTTAAGGTCAAATTGCAATTCATTCATTGATTTCAAAGTTGCTATGCATCTGATAAACCAATCTGCCTTGATACGGTGATGACAAGAGAGTGAATTCAGTGACAAAGGACGCCATGATTTCAGACAGGACTTGATCAATACAGCATGATGCACTACAAACAGTCAAGTACGCGCTCCATAATTGTAATCTAGGGTACATATACTGGGTGAGCTAGAGAGATGCGTACATGAGTAGAAGACGTCCATACAGCCGCAGCTCGTCTCCGGAAGCAGTCCAACGGCTACAATTTGAGAGATATTCGTAAGAGAGAGAGAGGATAAGAATAAATGAGAAAAGTCATTAGTAAACCTGGAAATCCACTCCAAACACTGTGAGTCACACAACATACACACAAATGAACAAACCGGAAGTGAAAAACATCGCACACGTCGGGATTAAGTTCGCATTAGGCACAAATGGACGAGCGTCGATCTCACACATCATACAATATACTCATGGTACAGATTAATTGAGTTCCATTCCATTAGAATTATCATCAGCTCCACCACAAATATCAAACATCATATTTTACGGTACGTTCAGTTTCTGCTACCTGAAATACATGTGCACTTTGCCATGCATGCATTGCCTTGTATACAAAATAATGTTGATTTTGGATTAATAAACAATCGAAAGCTGCAGAAAAGAATAACAAATACAGCTCAGCCATGCGCCTTGCAGCTGTAGCCTCACAGAATGACAAATGCTGGAAACAAAATGAGCTTGAGTTCTACGTTTAACAGGATGATGATGCTTTTGTCATATGTAGACAGGAACAAGATGAAGAAAAATGCAGAATTATTCTTCGTCTAATTTTCAAAGGTTGACAAGCCTTGTCACTATAAAGCAAAAGTTGAATTAAGCAAGTACCAATGAAAAATATCTGTATTATTGCAATTGCAATATACTTTTGTCCACATATCGTTTTTTCACTCCCATACTATCCTTTACTAAAGGTCAATTGAGGATAGCTTGAAGAAAGTTTAAAATAAGACACAAGGAATCAATCTGCCTCATAATTCTAGGCAATGTCAAATTTGAGAAGTATGATTCTTATCAGTTTTTTGAAGACCCAAATTTGAATTCAAATTTGAAGTAAGGCCATATTTCATTCAGGTCTTTTGAAAATGGTGAAATTTTGACAAGGGTTATTGGGGTAATTATTTGGTAATGTATTGCACATTGAAGTTACGTTTGAAAAAGCAGGAATGTGGGCTACTGAATTTTGATATGTGTAACTCATGAACAAACAGCGATTTAAACAAAAAAATTGGGAGGGGGGGGGGGGGGGGGGGGGGTGGAGGAGAAAATGAAACAAACAAAACAAATACAAGATATTGAAGCATGGTAATGAAAACATTGTTGCCTCCGACAACTAAAGCGCAAACTTATACACAAAAAAAATAACCAAAAAAATGCTAGGGTAAAAGGATTCTTTTCTTGCGGGGAGGGTTGGGAGGGGGGCGGGGCGACAGCAATCATACCTAGCCACTTGATGAATGATCCAATCATAGAGACGGCTATCTCCATGTCCCACATGTACGGGTAGATATCATAGAGAAGACTACGGTTGGGTGTGTGGAGGAGACGGGTCATTAGCTGCTTCACGTCTTTACAGAACTTCAGGAACCGTGTGGCCCGCTCTTCCCACTCTGCTGCCTGTATGGATTTGAAGAAAATTAACGATGTTTGAAGATGTATTAAAGAATATCAGGTTGAAAAGTAGGCACTATTTGAAATTTTAATTCACTTGATTACAAGCCCCGAGCTCAGTTCTATAAAAGATCCAGTAAAAAAATGTCATCTTCTCAATTTGTAAAGAAATCATGGTTAAAAAATAGCACAAGAAGTTACGCTTTGACGAACATTGAAATACTACATGGAAGAGTTATTTTTACTATAACCCAAACAACAAGAACCACAAATAATTTTTGTTACAGAAAAAAAAGTACAAAATACTAACTGCTCTTGAAAAACAATGATATAAATTAAATACATGTACTGTACATGTAAACTCAAAACATTGCTGGTGATAGATTATGAGTGGTACACTACACTTGTAACTGAAGAGAAAAGTTGCCTGAAAGCACAATTTTCAGCATAAATACTACTGCATTTTGAGAGAATAGACAACTTTTGGTTTCTAAATGGACACAAATACCACACTACATGTACATCCTCTTCAAAGATGATATACATTTAAGTAAGCCACTTATGTTGAAGGTTCGTTGTTCTTGTTCAAAGAATCTCACAAAATGCCAAAGTTGCTTTCTTTTCAAATATTATATATCTACATGTACGTGTTTTCCTTTCCAATGACACTAGACATTTCAGTTTGAATTTTTTAAATTTTAAATAAAACAAATTCAAATCTATTGTTAATAAAATTGAGTTACTGTTAACTATGTACATGTATCTTCATGTATTGTTTAAAACAAACACAGATAAATCCTGTAAAAAACAATGCTCCCCTCTCAATATTTTTACCATAATTACAATAAATGTACAATGATTAATTCATTACTCGAACACAAACAAAACACTGTGAAAGCTGTTTGATGAAACTATATGTGAACAAAAATAGAAGCATGAGTTAATACCGGTAAGTTTCTTCATTCTAATCTTTAAGCATCATTGAATCCTTTACAGTTGAAATATCTGCATTAGTCTCTTCAACATGAAAAAGGTGTACAAAAGTTGTATTATCTTGGTAATTACTGGAAGAAATCCTGCCTTACATGTACCTGTGCAATCTTCATTCATTATTACTAAAAGTACATAACTTTATAACTTTATAACCCTTAAATTGGCATACTGGAAATAAAGATGTCTCATGCAAGGTTATCTCATGATCACTTGAAAAATTCATCATCCAAATCTATAAATAATTGTTGACTATGCTCAAAAATTGACATTTGTGCTTTTAAAAGGTAAATATTCAACTCCATTGAGATACCCTAGTCATTGTTCACTTAACTACACATGTACAGTTAACAAAGCAAAATGAATCAACATCAAACAGAAGACATCTTTCCTCTACTATCGAAATAAATTATCTTTCATTTCAATAATTTGATCAAATTAAGATTAATCCACTAATGTTTGGAGTGATAACATCTTGAATAATCTCTTCTCTGCATCATTCATTGAAATGATATAAAATAATATTTTCAATCATATCTACATGTAGGTCAATACTCCCCCACATGCTATTTTAAGGAAATTATGTCCAATGTAAAATCACTGATTTCAAGATAAAGAATTACCTCAACCTACACTGTAGCAGCTACAATTTACATGTAGCTAATCAAATATGTCACAAGGCTACAAGTTTCGGAGGCAAGATCATGTATTGAAATCCTTGCATTTATAGAAAATTTCAGCAACTAATTAAACAATTCAACAGACCATAGTATAGATTCTTTGTGAATGTATATTTACCATTTCAGGTACACGTCTTAGTACAACTGTTCAGTACAGAGACTTTCTCATAGGATATCATTTTAAAAGTGCCAACCATATATTGACATACTCTCTCATTGCTTATATAATACTACATGCTTATACACTGATCACAAGAAGCCTAAACAGTTTAATTTCAACTTCAAAGAACCTTTCTCAGAGACCACCTGAGTACAAAGACCACAGGTCTGTCGACACTGTACGACACATTTTCTCTGGTTTTAGCCTTCACTGTGGAATGCAGACCTGCCAACCTCTGGAGTTCAAAAACTGTATTCTTTAGTGTCAAAAATTGTATTTTACTGACAAAAGTTGTATTCTTGAAAATAAACACGGATTGTTACGCGGATCAATGCCTCTTATAGTTTCTACCTACAGGAAGATTTTTTTGTATTGATCATTGGTTGAATATGCATTATTTCGTCACGACTGGTGTGTTTTCGATGAACATCCCAAAATTGCCAATGTGAGATGCTTGTAGGATACTTTACAGGACAGAATGGACATTTTGCCATTGAAAATGGCGGACGCACACACAAAATATTAATTAAAAAAATATTTAAAAAAAATTAATAAATAAATAAAAAAAAATAAAAATAAAAAAAAAATCATTTTTTTTTTTTGTGTTGAAAATCGTATTTTATTAAGGAAAATCGTACTGTCGTATTTGCTTCTAAAAATCGTACTAAATACGACTAAATCGTACTGGTTGGCAGGTCTGGGAATGCTCTGCCTTGCGAGATTCGTAATAAAAGATCAGTTAAAGGGTTTAATGCTAGGTTGTATATCTGAGCACTCTTAAGAGGTAGTTTACAATGTCATATATCAAAAAGGTATTATGGTAAAAAGAAACGACATTATAGCACTTACACTTACCCCAAAGGTAAAGTTTGATTGGCAATTCATTGTTTAATCAGCATTGTTTAAAGATTTCTTCATAGCTGCTGTCACAGAGCAGTAAAACCTATACTGCATTGTGCAACTGTCTAAACTCACCTTTTCTTCAGAGCCTTTGACCGGGCCTTTGCCTGCACGCACTACATAGGCATTATTCCTCAGCCAATGGATCTCCTCAAGGTTCTGTGTCGCTATTGGGCCATGCTCATAGGGCAAGTAAAAGAGTTCACACATGAGATTGAGGTCTTCCTCCGTGATCTTCTCTCTTAGCGGCGTCTTTCTTTCTCTGTTGTCCCCCCCTACAGGATGGTCAGTGGAGCTGTCCACCTGCATCTCACAGTCGGCCGTGCCGTCGGGACTAGAGTCGGAAGCGACGGGTCCTTCCGCCGCTTTCGGGATGGGCGGCTTATCCGCAATGTCAACTTCCTGCTTGTCCGCGATATCCACTTCGTGCATGTCGATGTCCGTCACTTTGCTACTTGTGGTCGTGTTCGTCGGCATGCTACTGCTGCCTTTAGTTGGGATAATGGGCGCTACCGCTTCGTTAGTCCTCAAAACAGTCGGCTGTGAGTTGTCACCATTGCATTCCATTGGTTCTAAGGTATCCTCTATACCAGGAGGAGGTGGCTGACTGATCAGCGAGTTGACAATGTTGGACGGTGGTATGTAGTTCTCAATACCCAGAGGATCCAAGGCCTCTCTCTTTTTCAGGATTTCAGCTGCAACCTGGGGAATCACCTCCAGAGAGGCCGGGAAGGAAGTGTTCGTGGTCGGTGTCACGCTCATGCACGTGTTGACGCTTTGAATCGGTGGGGCTACGACCGGAAGGACCGGGACGGGTAACGGGATCGGAGCTATCGGAGGGATCACTGGCACCTTCTTGACGCCTGCTACCTTGAGTTGGTGGAACATCGGTATCCAGTCAGCAATGGCAAGTTTGAGAGCTAAATCGGGATCATAGTTCCCATGGTTTATCCTTAGCCTCCGTGGTCCTGGCTCAGTTTTTCCTTCTGTTTCTAGTTGCTCATCTGCACTAATGGTTGCCTCTTCTGTCATGTCGCCTACAATATAGCCATTGGAGATAAGAAATGAAACAAAGACAAGTTTAAGCTCACTTCTCTGCCTGTATAAGCTAGTTCAAATTGTCATATAAAATGGATCTTTATAAGACAGAATGTGTGTGAGAGAGAGAGAGAAAGAGAGAGAGGGAGAGAGTTAGAGAGAGAGAGAGAGAGAGAGAGAAAGAAATAGAGAGGGTGAGCAGGTGACAAAGAGAGAAAGTGAGGTGCAAACACATATGTACATGCCAAGTCTCTTTAACTCCAAGACAAAAATGAGGCAAAATGAGCCTTTCATGTGATCAAACTTACAACAAAATAATGAAAATGGAACATTACAATACAAGACAATGCAAAAGGCATAATATATCATACAGGAATTGCATAATTTCATTATCATTATCATAATGCTTCTCAATTTTGGCACACAGTTTTCACACTAACCGGGAGGTTCGTCTTTCTTGCCGTCTCCAGTCCCAGCTGCTTTGTTCCATGTTGCTAACGTGTGGAGTGCTATGTGATTCAGGTAGTATTCGCAGTTTGGATTGGTCAGCACACCACTGGTATAGGGCTTCAACTCTGTAGACCTGCCCTTATATGGTCCTAGAAAGAAAAAGCATCGAGCTTATAGGTCAGTAATAAGTTAAGAAGGTTTTTTAGATATTTGATTTGTAATTTCAAATACCATTTTTAAAGATAAGTATTAATTTGTTTGATTAATTAGAAATTTGTTGTTGTTATTGCTATTGTTATTGTTTTGTTTCTCTCCTCTTGAATCTGTGTTAGAGCTGAACAGACAACAAACATTCTTTACAATCCAGCCAGCCTTCCAGTGAGGTCTAACAGATGAGCAAAGTATAAATTGGTGTCAATGAGTTGGAAACCCATTGTTAAACACACTACACTCCATGTATGCAGGGTTCCCACAGACAACCAAATTCAATGACTTTTCATGACTATCCATGACCTATTTTTGCCTTTATCCACAACCAGATAAATACCAATTTGGTATGTGTTGCAACATCCACACGGCCCTTGTAATGTTGACATAAAGTTTGTGTCTATGTATATAAGTAACTGCATGTTATGATCACTTCTCAGGATGATCTGCATTACTTTATGTTTTCATTTGTCTTTTTAATTTCCTGTACACCACAGGTATATGGCTTCAATTCAAAGAAAAAAAATTGCCTTTATCTCAGCGATGAACATTTGTTTCTGAACTCGCCAGATTACCTTGAATGGGCATTTACAATAATGCACACCATTTCTAGTTGGTTTTGCATTCAATGTAACTCAATCTGGGAGGATCGGAAAGCAATTATGAAATACTGGGTAAGCACCCAGGGGACCTATAGCTTTAAGTCCTATCAAGGAAACCAATTAGTTTTGCCTGGACAGTTCTCTATGCGGGTCTGTATCATTATACCCAAGGCATACCGACAAGACCGGCACTAGACCAACAGCAGACAGACAGCTGACTGACCAAAACATTAAATGGCTAATAATTGGTTAATTTGGAATTGGTTTAGAGTCAGTTTGGCAGTGTGACTGAGGGATTGGTACGGATGCTATCCCAGACAACAGGTTTGCATTTGATCACAGAGATCAATCTTTCGATGTAATGATTAAAATGATTTATGAAAATACTGTTCATATCATATTTATTCTTGGGAACCAACCAAAAAAAAAAGCTATGCTTTCCAGTGTGTTCTTGTTTCATTTCATAATTTTGAACTTACTTTGTCAACTATGTTCTTTATTGTGGACAAAATTGATATGGAATGGAATAAATTTGAATCAATAAAAAAATGGAAAAAAAAAAGAAAAATAATGAAGAAAAAAAATGATCAGGTGGATCTACTTTCTAAAATCTTAGCAGAGAGACGATTAACCTGTTTATTTTCTCTTACCTATGTACATTCTCTGTTGGTCGTAATCGTTTGCATGAATATTATCCCAGATGACGGGTTTGCGTTTGATTACAGAGCTCAATTCTTTGATGGATTCAATGGTAATGAACTTTGACACAACTTTCCCACCTGAGAGGATAAAGAAAGAAAAAAGAAAGAGACATTAATAGGTTATCAAATCTTTTACATTTTATTACAACATATAATGATGTATATCTTACGTGTGAACACAAGCAGTTGAGAAATTTGTCATAGCCATATGGTCATTATTCGCTCTTTTGTTCATTCGTTTAATAGTTGCCATTGGTGCTGTTTCATTATAAATCCGAGAAAGAACTTTACAAGATCTCTTGGCATCATTTCTCTTTCAAAATATATATTAAAAAATAAATTAAATAAATTTTAAACATATATTATGAATGTGAATGTTGAAAATCAATTATTGAAATAGCAAAGAAACCTATAAAACAGGATAAAAATCTTCACAACAGATTATTCAAAGGTATAAATATAGTATTGTTGTAACACAACAAAAGTGGGTGTGGCATATCGTAGAGGGATAAAACTTTAAAGGAATACATTCCTACCTGTCCACATGACCATGATGTCAGGAAGAAGTTTACTGCCGATCGTCTGGAGGTATTCAGAACTCTTCACCGATGGCTGTGCTCGCGTTGCACAATACTCTGCAAAATAATTCAATTTTATATGATCAAAATCCTTCTCTTCAAATTATTATAATATTTTTTAATATATCTGTATTCATTTTGCATCATCTTTCATCTTCATCCAGAATTATGCATTGCACGTAGTTAATGAGCAGAGGGAGCAAAAATACCAGAAAAATGTTAATCTACTTCCTTAACGATCGTCAATACCACTGGGCCAGAAGGGATTAGACCACACAGCGAGGTCACTGACAGGTGGCTATCTCATTAACTCAGCTCTCAACTAACATAAGAAAAAGAGGATCATGGGGGACCAACAGGCATCGATTGTGGAAGTTTTCTATATAGAGGGAGCAAGTAGCTACAAGTAGGACAGTGGGGCTTTAAGAAAAAAAATGAAATAAAATAGAAAAATAAAATAGAATAAGTATAAAATCTCTAGATTGGCAACATTGAGAGGAATTGTTGTCATGTACAAATTGTCAATTTTTATCATTTTCATGAATGTAAAAGTGAATGAGTAGAAAAATTGTTGCCAGCAGAACCAATTTATTCAGACCCTCTAGAAATTCTGAACCTCTTTGGGTTAAAGAAGTTGGATAAAGTGCATTGACATTTAAACTACAGGCATTTTAAACATTCTATAAGGGTGTGTTTTTAGTTTAATTAGGAATACTTTTGTAGGCGTAACACTTGTACAAAGGTTGATGGAGCGTGTATAATCATGCTTAACAGGGGCTGATAATTGGAATTTACTTTTTTTTAGACAAGAAATACAGGTGTTGAAAACTGTTCACATATTCAGTAGTACTGCTACTATACAATGCAACACACTTTACTAGATATGTATGTTTAAGCTAATCTGGAGTTAATGGTGATGGAAAGGCTTTTTCAGAAACTTGCTGTAAGTGATTCATAATAGTTTGTCATGCAGTAAATTTCAAGTGTGGAATGTCATGTAAGCTTTTGCACTTGTACAAAGGGTGATGGAGCATTTATAATTATGCTTTAAAGGGGCGGATGATTTGCAATGTACCTTTTTTTCCAAAAAGAAATACAAAGGTGTTGAAAACTGTTTACATCTTCAATAGTCTTCTATATAAAATGATCTGTCATTACAGTTACTAATTATTTCAATTTTCAGCTTCTTGCCAATGATTTGTCAGCTGATGGTGAGAATGATGGCTATGATGATGATATGAAAATAATGATGGTGATTATGATCAAGATTGACAATGAATGATAACAATCATTTTTTTTTCAGCATACCAGTCGGACAAAGAGGATGTTTGGTTGGCCTAGACTCTGGATTGCTTTATTGGTGTAATGACAATTATAGTGACAACGGTGATGGTGGTGGTGTTGGTAAATAGGATGATGATGAGGATAAGGATGACGATAATGATGATAATGATGATGATAATGATGACGACGATGAGGATGATAATGATGATGATGAGGATGATGAAGATGATGACGATGACAATAATGATAATGATGATGATGACAATGATAATGATGATGATGATGATGATGATGATGATGATAATGAGATGATAATGAGATGACAATAATAACGATAATGATGAAGATAATGATGATGATGAAGGTGATGATGAGGATGATGACGATGACAATAATGATAATGATGATGACAATGATAATGATGATGATGATAATGAGATGATAATGAGATGACAATAATAACGATAATGATGAAGATGAAGATGATGATGAAGGTGATGATGATGATGATGAAGGTGATGATGAGGATGATGATGACTTACCGGTTGGACAGAAAAGGAACTTTGGTTGGCCCAGATACTGGAATGCTTCATTGGTGACAGAGACCTGAGCTTGAGCAAACGATTGAAAGACCTCGGTGTCGGCCACACACATTTCTGTGTCGATGTCATCAAAGAGGAGAGCAAACGCTTCGCATCCAAACTGACTAACCTAAATATGCACGGGAAAATAAAAAGTGTCATTGCTTCAAAAGAGGAGGAGTTTAAACAAATTTGTCTCACATCAGAACCAACTTACATGTAAATATGCACAAGGAAATTGTCTTCATTGTAAACCTGGAAACTTGGAAAATTTTGCTTCACGTCCAAACTAACCTACAATCGTAACAAAAAATGTCATTACAACAAAAGAGAAAACTGTACCAAATTTTGCCTCACATCAAAACTGAGTTGAAAGCTACATATGCACAAGAAAAAAATTGTCATTAATGTAAAACTAGAAACATGCAAATTATGTACAAGGACAAGATTTAAAACAGTTTCTTGACTATTTGAATCATAACAATGAATTGTCACAAAAAATTATTTATCACCATGAAATGGCCGTCCTAAACTGCAGATTCATCATGACTTCTTAATTTTTTTTTAGTCATGTTCTTTAAAATTCAAATTCTGAATAAAGGAAACTTGAGTATTTTTGGTGAGGATTTAAAAATGTTGTTTTAAAATATCATGTCAGCAATACTACAGCTTGAACAAGCATACATTACAAGTTCCATGTCTAATCATCTTCATAGCGCTCTGTGAAGAAACTCCTGATATTATGCACTAATTGTTACCTGTTCCAGTTTCCTATTGAGACATGTGACTTCTTTGGCATTAGAGAAGGTGATATCCAGACCCGGGGAGAGGGCGTAGACAAACAAAATATCGTGGTCCTTGGCTGCAGAGATTAGACTCGTCAGGTGCTCTGAAGGAGTGAGAGATGATAGGTCAAGGTTCACAATAAGGAAATGACATCAACAACAGACAAAATCTTAGCAAATAGAAATTACTATTGGAGGAAATTATGCAATGTATTGTAGAAAGACATGAGAGAGAAGAAGGGAGAAAATAAGAAAGAAATAAGGGAGAAATAAGGGAGAAAGGGGGCATACGGAAAGGAACAATTACATAAAACTTACAAGAAGAGGGAAGAAGGGGAACTGAGGACAGGACTGAGGGAAAAGGAGAGCAATAGAGGGAGCAAGAAAGAGGGGGAGGGTAAGAACATAGGGGTACAGTGCAGATATAATGAGGAAGGGAGAAGGGGGAAACAGAGAGAGAGAATGAAAGAGAGAGAGACGGAAATTCTCTCAGAAAGATCAATAGTTACATGATTATCAAAATACTGACAAGTACATGTATAAACTGCGTTTATTAGAATTTAAGCAAGCCAAGCAATTCATGTACTTACAAGTACATGTACATGTATGTGCACAGTCAATATGTATTTCTTTCTCCCTTTACCTGTCATGCATTGTGCACTAGCATACACATGCAATGGTTCTGGACTTCTGGTTATGTTGAGGCTGCAGACAGCATATCAAACAGAACAATTTTATGGTAGACATTGGACTTGATGGGCATTTAGATTGACCATGGATTTTTCAGTCAAATATTTCTGACGGCATGTCAGAAACATCTGCTACTAGCAACATAAAAAACAAGGTTCACTCATGACTGGTGAAAAATCATAGATATTACAGGAACCTTGGATACGGTATACACTTAACAGCTTAATTATTCATACCCCTTGTAAATTTGATGTTTTTTGTCTTTTTCTTAATTCAAGAATGAAAGGTGGACTGGCTAAGTTAGGGCCTTTAAAAACAATACTTGTAGATGTAAACATTGATATGTCACATTTTTGTGAAGAATCTCTTTTTTTTCCTTCAAATTTGAAAAATGACAACATAAATTCCGCTACCATGTAATTGTATAATGGCTTTGTTGCTCATTACATGTAGATCTGTCTCACAACTTCTTACAAGTCAGAATGAGTGTAATTACCACATTATGAAACAGAAACCACTAACAAAGTGATAACTCATTTGTCAGCATACTTTTATACTTCCACGACAAGATAGTGTCATATTCTAAAAAGAGCCAAGTGCAAGAAATACTTTCGGTTTTGTGCAAGCTCCCATGCTTTCTTTTAATAATTAGATTGAATTAATAAAGACCTACTGTAAGCATATAATTTTTCTATATCCTGTCTGGTAAAATGACAAAAGAAAAAGCGAAATAAAATGAAAGGCCGCGTTGCAAATATTGCTGCAAAACACAGTGAAAGTACTGTAGTGTATACATACATGTCGTGGCCTTTTTGGATTTTTTTTTTTTTTTTCTTATTTGTCCTACCTAGCAAAAGCTACTGTTTACAATTTGCATTCTGACTAATGAAATGTTATCATTCACAACAGGTGAATTAAACAATTTGTAACGAGGCACTTCACAAAGACGTCATGTCATGCATGCCTTATATTTGATTACAAAATGTAAACGCCATATTGAAATGAAGTTTAAAGAGTAAAACTACCTGCTTCTTCTACTGAATACAGATCTCTCCAAAAGGCCCTGTGTTTGCAGTCGTCTTTGGGAGCATACATGTAGGTGTTCAATCCAAGACGCTGCATCAAGGAGAACAAGCTTCTTCTTTGTTCCGGAGTCCATGGCCTACCATAGAACCCTTGAGATGGATGGAGAGAGAGAGAGAGAGAATTAGAAAATCTAACAAGTTAACGTTAAATGAGGAGTAAATAGTCGAAACTGGATGTTTAGCACCTGGTTAGTAAAACTAAACAAACAAATACACCCTAAAGACTCGCTCTGACATGATGCGGTAAACCTGGAAACCATGGAAATTGCAGCTATGTGTTGTTGTGATATAAAAGGAATTGTGAAGCATGATACATTTTACGTCATCAATAAAGAAATAAAAATAAATAAACCTTGTAATTTACGGTTGTATATTTGAACAGGGCTTTTCAGTAGCATCCAACATGTACATGTACATGTTAAACTCCAAGTCCTTTAACCGATTCTATTATATGTTTCATATTTTTAATCATCATAAAGGAAAGTTTACAGAGCTGAAGGCAATCTATAGTACTGTTAATACAGGCAGTCAAGTACACATACATGTATCATAGAAACTAGGTACAGGGTCGAATGTGTACACTACATCTGCTTGCAATTAAAAATTCCTTGTAATTTTATGGTCGACTTGCTCTTCTCCATGCATCTTATTTCTTAGTGTACAAACTTGGTTTAGAACTGGATTCACATGTACATGTGAGTACATAATGTACTACATTACAGAGTACCGAAGTGCTAATGTTACATTTGCTTGTCGTCCAGGCAACTGGTTCTTAACAACAGAGCCTGGCATGAGGTTCACTGTTAAATTATTCAGGCAACAGGCTGGAGCAGGGCAAATTTTGGGGCTGGTGCGATCAAAACACCGTTGTAGCACAAAATTGTTTGGAACCAGCAACCTTGACAACTTGACAACTTGGCCAGTATAATGTTACACTTTGGTACAATATACATTGTAGGTCTACTATTACTAAAGGTCATGGTAAGGTAATCTTATCCCTATGCATGTATAATCTACTTATAGAAGTGTAACCATATAGTTGTACACTTGTTTGGATAGCCAAGCACAGGATGTTATGGAAGAGGCCTAGATCTCTTTTCTCTCTGGTGGTCAAAGTCCTTGGCCAGTGCAATAATTGCAATGGATTTTGGAAAGGCAGGTGATTTCAATTACTGAATTGAGTCATTGTCATAATATTTTGGTAATAGTGACAGGTATACATAACATGTATTATTTCTCATCCGGTAATGATTAGTATAATGTCCATGTAATCATATTTTCACATGTACCGGTATGTGTAACTTTGGCAGTGTACATGTAGAATGCTGACAAGGCTGACATAATACAAATTTAAGTCCCGATAGTGCCAGGGGCAAGGCATAAAAAAATATATGTATTATTCAGAAATTAGAGTAACAAATTAGATAATTTTAATAATTATTACCTAATCTCAATCACCAATTTTTCAATCATCTTTTACAATTTTGGTACAACATTTTTCATATCTTGTTTGGCCCCAAATTAGGGTAATAACTGTAAATTGTTAGTTGACTTTCTTTGAGTATTTTGTTTCATGTAATATCGCTTTCAATTATGTGAAAGTTTGAGCGATATCCGATTACAAAACTCAAAGTTAAGAATCTTTGAAGTTGTCATCATTGAAAACATGAATTGGCAACATTGTGTTGTGTCTTGCAAGGCTGCGAGCTCCTCTCCAATTTGCTCTTTAAAGAAAATCTCAAAACATTTAATTTTCTTAGTTTAATGGAATAGGTTTGTTTCATACAGGACTTTCTTATTTTTAGCTGGTTTTGGCTTTAACTTTCACTGACCGGTTTCTGTCACTTTTCTTCTACTAAAATCAACATTATATCAGGATGGACTTCCCTTGTTTTTTCCCTAGCCCCAAGGGATCACATGTTATTACAGTTTGAAAATACCGTTCCCCCCCCCCCCCCCATTTTTCGGATTAGCTACATGTACATCTGTAGGCTGCGACGAGTAGTCGAATACTCAAGTACTCGAGTACGATTTCTTGTACTCGAATATTCGGCCAGAAAAAAAAGAAAAAAAATCCCAGTCACCTGGCCCTGTCCAGGCCGACGTTTAGCCGTGCCAGGGACAGCGCTGGTCGCCGGCATGGTACTAGGGCTACGACGAGTAGTCGAATGCTCGAGTACCCGTATGTTTGACAACTACTCGAGTACGATTTCTCTTACTCGAATATTCGGCCGCAAAAAAAAAAAAAAAAAGACAACAACAACAAAAAATTAAAAATCCCAGGCCGACGGTTACCCATGCCAGGGAGAGCGGCGGCCGCTGGCATGGTGTCGTCGGTAAAAAACTCAAGCACTGTCAAACTCACCACTCAGAAACTGGGACCAAATGTCCAGATTTCTGTTTGGACTTGGAGGAAAATGGATTATTCTGCCATCTCTGGTTTTTAAAACAGCATTGTTTACTGTTATTATCATTATTAAATTGGCGCCTTCAACTGAAACTCGAAGTAAAATTGCGTGAGGCTTGGAAGACGGACCTGGGATACTGCTCCCGTAGTATGGTGGTGGCAAAAAAAACAACAAAAAAAACATGGCCTCCGAATATTTGAGTATTCACTCGTAAGCCTGGAAGGGTACTCGGGTACCTCATTACACGGTCGTGCACAGCCGTAGTAAGTAGGGAGGCGTGAGCGCCGCTCAGCCCAAACCCATGGCGACGGCGCGTAGAACAATGCAGAGTTTCGGACTGCGTGTGACAGCGTGTGTGTGTGTTTTTGTATTGGTTGCGATCGCGCTCAAGTAGCGCATGCAGCAAAGCAACACGCGTACGGCTGCATTGCGCAAAACAAAATAACTCTGGGTGAACATTTTTTCGTCGATTCTGACAAAAATTAGATGAATATTGCCTAGATTTTGAGAGGCTGTATCTTTTGATAGAAACATCGGCGAGTCTTGAAATTTGAAATATATTATTCTGATTAGACTAGATCTAAATACTTTTTTTCAATTATCCAACCATAATGGTGAAAAAAGATCCCACAGCCAAGGGAAAGTTGAAAAATCTTTCAGAGACCCTAATATTATTATTATTATAAATAATGCAGGGCTGTCAACCCTCCTGCATTTGGAGGGAGTCTCAATTAAGCCACCACGCTATTTCCCCCGCCGACCCACCAGCTCGTAGTGGGAAACTCCCGCCACCACACCCTTCCTCCTGCTCTCCCGCAAACGATCTCCTGCCTGGCCTGGTAATATGGAAAAATGTAAATCCTGTAAAAGCCTGTAAAATGAACCGTATCATATGCAAATTTTTCTTGCTCAAGGGGGGGGGGGGGTAGAGCTCACTACCTACCCCCCCCCCCCCCTTGAGCAAAAAGAAATTGCATATGATTTCCCTCAGCCTCGCCCTCGGAGCAGTGTCCCAAAGTTTACAGCCCTGAACTCTAAAGCTAGGGTGTCTGAACGATTTTTCAAATTTCAATTTGGGATCGTTTTTCACCATTTTTGTTTGATATTTGAATAAAAAATGTTATCAGAATAATACATTTCAAATTTCAAGTCTCACCGATGTTTCTATCAAAAGTTACAGCCCCTCCAACACGCTGGTATATTCATATCATTTTGGTCAAAATCGTCGAAAAAGACGTCCACGCAGAGTGATGTTGTTTTGCTAAATTTAGCCAAACAGCTGTATCGCGCGATATGCAAGCGTATGCATATCGTACGCATGCTGCTAAGCCAATCCGCGACTTGCAGCTTGAGCTACGCTGTCTCCGCGACATGTGCGATTGACTAGTATGGTTGGCAATCGTCGCACAATAAACCCGGAAGTGAATGCACGTTATAGTCAATGGCAATATCGCGGAGACAACGCACGTTGTCTCCGCGATATTACCATTGACTATAACGTGTATTCACTTCCGGGTTTATCGAGGGAATTTCCAACCATAATTTCAGTCACTATAATGTGTAATTGAATTTGGGGTTTCGTTCGTGCGCGGAGATGTTACGCGATGTAACCATGGTTTGGACTGAGCGGAGCGCACGCCCCCTAATTAGCTGATCCACCAAATAGCGAGAAGGGTATTTTTAAACTGTTATCAGTTGTGATCCCTGGGGGCTAGCGAAAATATAATCACATAGAATTGTTCCTTAGGACTGGGACTACTTATCGATCGGGGCGTCATATCTCAAAAGTGACAAACCTCAGAGTTAGCCAGGACACAATGTTTAAATTGCTGTTTTGACCAAGATATTTTTAGAATTTCGGGGGCTACGCCCCTTTGGAAATATTGGAATTCACCTGCTCTTTCATATGACACCTCATTCATTGATTATCACCTTCAGGATCACAACTGATAAAGGTTTGAATCTCGATTTGAAAAAAAAAAATTGACTTTTTTTGCATGGTCGCGCAATGCACGTAGGCTGCATAGGGATGCGTGTAATCTCTATGGGAAGAATTTTAGCACACAACATCGGGTGCGCGATCAGACACCCTACTAAAGCCCGTGATAATGTCTAAATTTTAGTTCTTAATCTTAGTCTTACCCTCAACAGCACCACACAAGAAGTCTGATGCAAACATGATTCATCACGAGTTACACAAACTAGATAGATTGACTGTGCTCTCTCAGCTCAGAACTTCGTTTTGGCAAAGATTTCACGACTTCAGCCCAGGGCCCAAGGCCAGGTCAGTCAGCTCAGGATCGAGATCCTCCTCCTAAACCGAGTTCCGTGTAGATTCGCCAATCTCATTCAGTTTCAGTCAGTGCAGCTCGCTGGCCTTGTCTTCTCGTCCGTTTGCGTTGGCAGAAATTTGCTTTCGTAAGATTAAAAGACAAGCTTCATAGACATACATCAACAAGAAAATCTGCACTCTCTGTCTGCATCAGTAAAACATTCAAATGGAGAGCAGATCAGAAACAATTCATCTTAATTCATCTAACAAAACTTATGTCAGGAACTGCCCGAATCCAGTTCTGTACACGAAGCTACTCCGATCAAAGTTATACGATGGATTTTATTTAGACATCTCGGCCTTGGAAATATAATACTCGAACAACTCGGTCGACGCAGCGAACAGTTACTGAAAGCTTCATGATTTTGGTGTGTTTGTAAATGATATGGGCGGATTCAAGAGGGAGGGACGAAGTTGCCACAAAATTTAAAAATGAACACAAAAGGATAAATATTAGGGTGGCGAGCCTGCCTCCCCTTTTGAGCCCAGCTGAGAAGGCCGTCGAGATTCATGCAGGAAAATCTTTGAAGAAAACAAGTTCGAGTTGCTTTCTTTTAGCTTATATTTGTTACATCAGTTTATTTTAATATTATCTATTTATGTACTTATGTATTTTCATTTTCATTAATTCATATATTTATCTATTGATTTTATCATTGTTATTATTAATTTGCTTTGTTTTAGCTTCCTCCCCCCCCCCCCCAGTGGCGGATTCAGGGGGGCACGTGCCCCGGTAAAAAAAAAAAAAAAAAAAAGGGGGTGGAAGAAGGGGTAAAAGAAAAAGGGAGAAAAGGAGGGGAAAGTGAAAGAAAAGGGAAGAGAGAGGAAAGAAAAGGGGAGAAAGAACTTAAGGAAGAAAAGAAAGGAGAGAAAAGGCGGAAAAGGAAGAAAGGGGGAAAGACGGAGGAAAGAAAAGCTATAGGGGGAAAATGAGAATAATGAGAAGGGAAAAAGAGAAAAGAAAGAAAAGAGAAAAGGACAAAAAGAAGAGAAAATGGAAACAAAAGAAACGGGAGATGAAAGAGAAAAGAGAGAGGTAAGAGCCTGAGAGAAGAGGGCAGGGAGTAAGAGAGAGAGAGAGAGAGACAGAGAGAGAGAGAGAGACGAGGATGTTGGGTGGAGTCACCACGTCGAGGGGGCAAGAAAGATACGCAGAGGTCCGCTGACCCCCTCCCAGACCCACCCCGCTCCCTCAATGCTAACGCCTCGCTCCATCGTTTTTCCATATTCATGCGATTTTGTGCTCCCCCGGTAAGAAATTCCTGGATCCGCCACTGCCCAGAAAGAGTAGGTAGTATTGGAAATTCGTTTTATTACAATGCCATAAAACATTGGAATTCCCTTCCCAATGGTGTAAAAGAAATAGGAAACTATGATCATTTTAAGAGGAAATTAAAGGAATACCTAATACTTGACAGTCAGAGAAGAGAAGTGAATGACATGTTATGATTGAAAGTTTTATTCTTCTGTCGGTTCATACTTTTTCATGTTGTATACTTATGCTTTCGTACGTTATAGAAATTCTACAAATTCATCGTTATTTTGCTTTTCTTCCTTCTCATCTTTTTCTTCTTCTCCTTCTTCTTTTTCTTCTTGTACTTAATATCATTTCTATCATCAGTTTAATGTTGTTATTATTATTATTATCTTTAATAAGTAGTTCTTTTAATCTTCTTATCTGTCTGTAAATATTAATATCTTAACTTATTAATTTTATACATGTCTGTAAGGGACCCCACTGGAAATAAGCTCTCGAGCTTTCGTGGGTTATCCTGTTCAAGCTGACTTATTTTTGATCTGTTATTATTGTATATTGTTGTATGTTGGAAGCTTGTCGAATAAAAATCAATCAATCAGCCCCCCCCCCCCCCGACAACATTATAATAGTCGTGAAAATTCAGGCCTTTCAATTGTTGGGGGAGATGAAGGGGTGTCAAACCCCTTGTCAAACCTGGGAGGGGGCGATCGCAAAACACAAAAAATAGAAACTAAACTCAAGTGTAGCAAAAAGTAGCCTTTATCATTTGCTGCCATATAGGCTAATATATTATATGGACTTTATCTTTAAAAAAAAACCAATACCTCAGTACAAATCATGAAGAATTTGTTGATGAAAACACATCAATGACCAAAGTGTACATACATATACGTAGGATAAAAAAAACAATGTTATAAACAAAATTACGTGTGATTCCATTCATTTGCGCAATCACGTATTTGCTCACCCCCAGTACTCCTCGGAAGACCACCAATACTGAATTTGTGTCAAAAGCCCAAAATAGGAAATCTTTATCCAAAACTACTATTTTGAAATTGAAGGGAAATTATGGCGGGCCACAGGAAAAACAATTTTTCTATAACACCTAGATTTTGGTAAAGCGTTCTGGGGGATTTTTTTTCCTTCCCCTCCCCCCCCCCAACATAATTATGCATGTCTTCCATTTAAAGCTTGTTCATCACCAAAATTTGAAGAAAAAAATGTGTCTAACTGTCTAAGCTATATATTTGACAGCCTTTTAAAAGGATACCAGGCCAAGAAAAACAAAAATAGAAAATGTTTAGAAATTCATTTTGTTGGAAAATTCAGCTGTACTATAGATTCGAATAAATTTAAGAAAATGAGAGAGAGAGAGGGAGGGAGAGAGAGAGAGAGAGAGAGAGAGAGAGAGAGAGAGAGAGAGAGAGAGAGAGAGAGAGAGAGAGAGAGAGAGAGAGAGAGAGAGGGAGGGGGGGGGGAAGAAAGACAGAGACATGCAGGCAGGAGGTTGGGATTATGAACTATGACTTTCTTGATACCGTGTTGAATGGTTTCGTACCGATTTGTCATATACCGAAACATTTACAGACGCGTTGTTTAGTATCCGCACAAGTGGTAGCTCGCGCGGTAGTAAAAATTCAGCCGAAAAATGGTAAACAATGATTGAAGTATTAGGGTGCTGTACATAAAGTAAACAAAAGACTATCGTTTTACTTACAAACTCTTTTGACACAGGCGGTCAGGCGCGGAGGGGCACATGCTCTAAGGGATTTTATGTTTTTGTAAATGAAGAATTACACATGATATATTATATAGGAATCCAACATTGGCAAGAACATGCAGGCCTTTCTGTAAACTATCCATTTCCTGACAACAATTAGATGATCATCAATTATGATTCGCTCGAGAATATATATTTCTGTCATCATGGAGCCGAAAGACTAGCTTATAATTAAGTGAGATATAGCCGGAGGGGAGGGTCGTCTCCAAGGATAGAGCGTTAAAGTGGTCTACTAAAAAAACACTTTGTCAATTTCTTTACTAGCTCGGATTATTAGTGTGTCTTTCGATCATTAACAAAACTCGTATATATAACTATACCTTTACTCTTACGGTAATCTAGATTGCTTGCATTTTTACGTTTTCAGGCTTCGTTTAACTTTCCATTCAATTCATTATTATACCAACATGTTTACATATACAGTGCAATCAAATCTGTTAATATAGTTGAACTTATTTGGCGATAGAAAACTATAAAGACTATAGTGAGACTTATTTTGTTACAAAGTCAATTCATAAGCAGAGGCGGCGCACCCAGGCGACTGGGGCAAAAATGCATGCACAGCGCTCCCCACTTTTCAATTAGTACCCCAAAAGTATGTACCCCTTTTTTACTTCAGATAAGTGCCCCTTATATCTAATAGGTGCCTGTTCTTATAAGCGCCCCTAACCATAGCTCTGATAAGTGCCCCCTTCACACTATCATTTGTCCCTATATTCAAATCTGAGAGGTGCCCTTTAGTACTTTAACAATTAAGTGTTTTTCCTATGTATAGGTGTCCCTTAATCTTCTGATAAGTGCCCCTTTTCCTTTTTTAATGAAGAGTCCCCCCTACTCTAAAATGCCCCTTCGTACACCTTTGATAAATGCCTCAATTTGATAGGTGCCCCTTTTCCTTCGACAAGTGCCCATTATCCTTTGTAATAAGAGCCAATTTTCATTCTTATAAGTGCTCCTTTCCAGGTGCAAGAAGTTCCCCATTTTCAACTCTGATATTTGCCCTTTTTACTTCGACACACGCTTTCTTTTCTAGTAAGTGTCCTCTTTCCTTTTCCTTTCAACATAAAAAACACCCCTAATTTAATCATTCTAAGAGCAGCTATTTCTTTAATACACTCGCTCGCATTACAGTTGATATTTATGTGTCTTTTTAAAGGTTTTTTCAGTCTTTCATAATTAGATTGTGCTTAAAACCCTCCATCAGGATTTTTGTCTATTTCTTTATAAGAATTAACTTTTTGCAAGGGGAAAAATCTTTAAATGTTTGCTTGCTCATTCGCAAATGAATATTCACACCATCACATTCAATTGCAAAGTATAATGCTGAAGCAGTATCTTGGACCATGTAAAGAGAGAAACAAATATTGAAATTATCCCTGATAATGTAATGCCAATGTAGGGGTATATACCAAAGTGTAAAAAATTGAATATTTTTGCTTGGAGGTTTCCCTTTTTCAGGTGCCCTTTTTTTTAAAGAATGCCCTTGGTTATAATAAGGGAAGTTTATAGATGTCTATAATAATAATGATAATAATAATAATAATAATAACAATGATAATAATGATTATAAGTGTAATAGTAATAATAAAGATGATAATAATAATTATAATATGCCTTATATTTGCAGGGTTAATTTGCAATGACGTCATTGCTTTGTTAATATCAAACTTTTCAGAACAGGTTTTGATTTTCTTAACACAAATAAAGGAGGCACATTTTGCACACTTTTTCGAAATCATAGTCAAATAAAAGTATTAAATTGAACTTGATTTATTAGACCTGTTTCCTAATGAATTTCAATTTATGCATGTTTCTCTCCCGAACCCTTGGCTACCAAATATATTTGATTTATCTTCTATGCAAATTGGCATCTCTATACGAATGGATTTCTTTTGCATATACATTAATTAGTTGTTGCTATATGTTGCTCAAGTCTTTAATAAGCTTTTCAGTAGTCAAGAGCTTGTAAAAATGCAATATAAATGATCAATATAAACTCCATTAACTCTATCCTATGTAAAGTAAGAAAGTAAATAAAGTAACTTGCTATACTTCAACAATGTGAACAAAAAACAATGCATGCAATATCAAAGGAAAGCATACACACAGCACTGAAAGATTCAAACTTTACAAGTTATCTTTAATACATTTTCAACTGACATAGACAAAATATATTTTCAATTCTGAAAACTTCTGAAGTTTAATTTTCACCTGTTTTGAGCATTTTATGGAACACAGTGCACATCATGAATACCACTGTATGAAGTGTCATGCACTTTTCATATCTTTACAATACAGACAATGAAGTGTTTTTTTCACAATTTGAAAAAAAATCACTCGTTTTCATACTTCATTCTGAAAAGTAAAAAGAGCCACAAATGAATTGTGTGCCATCCCATTAGTTAATATCAGCACTTATTTGTATGAATAAAGAAGACTAACCATTTAAAGCATTAATCCTAGTGCCCTTTCATAAACAAATCATAGCATTCATAGTTCTCTCAACAATGATTTTAAAATCACGATTATCATTCCTGATCCATCTAACAACAACTTCTCAAAACAAGTTTCTGAAGATAACTGTATTTGGTGCCTGTAAAATTGTATGAAATTGATAAGGAAAGAATGATGGGTCAATCATTTAATAAGTGTATATATTAATTATTACAGCTTGACCATCTTCTCAAAAACCAGAGTAAAAGATATAAAGACCCTGCTTGAAGTCTAATGGAGACATACAAAATAAAATCCTGCATGGAGACATGTTCAATAGAAGCTCTTGGAGGCAAACTTTCAGCTCCATAGATTTAACATTTTCTGGAAACATATTAAAATACACCCTGTATTTAGAGCTAATGTTCTGAAAATCAAAGTAATGATAGAGTTACTACAATACTGTAGAAATGCTGATAGGCATTTTCCTCAGTAAGAACCGTTTATATTGTAGGTAATAAGTTATCAAGAAAGTACACTGTCGTTGGATCATTTTAACATAACGTGTAAGTTCACCAACACAGGATTTTTTTTTAACTTGACATTGTGAGTTGTTTTACTATCACATATCAAAAGGCCATGTTGATTACTGGTAGCATACAAATTGAAAAGCTGCAGTAAGCTGAAGAATTATCATGGTTGAAAGGTCATACAAAGACAGGCTGCAATGACATACTATAAAAATTATTCCCAATTGAATCAATGATCAGTGTAAAAAACACAAGAGGGGATCAAGTTACACACAATGATGTTATTTTACGGAGATATCATTTCCTTTCAGCAAAGTTTCAGGACTCCGTTGACCATACTTCCGACGCTGTCAAAGATCTCATGAACCTTGGTTTCACACATGAATGCTGGAGCGGTCACTATCTTGTTCTCCTCATCAACATGGGCTTCGTGAATATCAAACAAAACGATAGTCAAGGAAAGTTTTGATATACACTGGCTATCCACATCATTATCAACAAAAAGTCAAACATACACAATTCAACTGAAATCCAACTATAAAAAACAATTTTTGTAGATTAAGTTGATCAAAAGTATCATGAAAAGATGCATCCAGAAAGCAACAGGCATAATCGCTGCTGATAAAGTGATATTAATGAAGTAAAATTGTTATTCTACATATCTGAACAAAAAAGTTTTAGTATTATATAAAATGATTAAGGTCGTAGATTTATATTATTCTATGTCCAATGGCATATGGTTCTACCTTTATAGTCAGGTGGCTTAGCATCAAATTTATCGATTATCGTTACTTGCCGGATAAAAGCCCCATTTTTCGTATAGCGATATTAGGCTAGAAGAACCCGCCAAAAATTTCAACTTAAGGGTGTGGGGGTGATGGAGTCTTTTTGGAGCCCCCAAATAATTTTATAACATTGATTTGTTGTTATACAAGCCTTTTTGGTACAGGGCTTCCTTAGGACGTACTGAACGATATTAGGGTAGGAGTCCCTGGCAAAAATATCATAAAAGGGTGTGGGGCGGGGGCGTCACCTCGTAGCCCCCCAATAATTCAGAAGGTAATATAACATTGATTTGTTGTTGTACAAATGCCATTTTTGGTACATAGACATACAGGCAGTCAGTGTCAACCCCCCCCCCCCCCCCCTCTGCCCTTCAAATAATCTCATACAATTCTGGCAAGGTCACAGGGTATAGGGGCCATATTCTGAAAACCATAATATCTTTTATGTCCGTGAAAAGTATGTTAGCTGTGATAACAATTTAAAAATGTGCGCGGAATAAAGTTAAACCAATGATTTGTCCCAATTTAGATTTTTAGTGACAATTAAAGATAAAGGTGAGTTCTGGTAATGTGATTGCATTGTGAAAGAAAAGGTGTGGAATTGATCAGAAACAGTGGATCATGTAGCATGTAAGTATTGGTGTGCACTGCAAGGTTCTGGAGTCATCAAAATCATCATAAATTTGGCAGAGTCTTGGTAAAGTAACTACCTTGATTTCCTTGTCTTTCTATGCTCATTACTCAGCCAGTATACACTTTCTTCCAAAATTGTTTGGCACATGTCATTCATTTGTAATCTTGAACATTCAGTGTAATTTTCATTTGATTCTGTGAGAATTAATTTTCTTTTTTTTAACAGAACTGGAGTTTATCTTTAACATCTTCTTTACTGACATAAAAGTTAACACAGTTTTCAGAGATAATATCACCCCAGAGCTTCCATTCAATTGAAAATAAAAATAAAAGTAAAACTATCTAAACTGAAAGGATATATTGATATCTTTGTTGACATGCTTGGACCCCATCTCTTGGATTGCTTTAGCTGTTCCAGCGTATGGCCACCTCCCTCCTTCCTCGGAATCGTGGCCAACCGTTACGCTGCAGCCTGGAATGACCTTGGCAGCAAGGACAGGTGAAATGCAGCAGAGGCTATAATGAAGCGAAAAGACAATGTTGATCATCATATTGACATTATTTAAATGGATTTTGAAATATATTTTGTTAACCCCAAAACCTTAAGCACTATGTGAAAATTGTTATTGCATATATTCCAGCAAAATAACTTTTGACTTTGCAAATGTTTCAAATTGTGCTTTAATCTAATTTCCAAACCTAAAAAACTTTTCTAGCTTTACCATCCTGCACAATTCACAATAATTTTCATGCTCATGAAAGCTTCTGGTTTTACAATATTAATAATAATAGAAATATCAGATTATCATCTTCAAATTAGATGAGATGGCTTGTCTTAGAAATGTCGAGTCTTCACAAATTTGAGATTCAACGCAAAATATTGCAGAGAGAGAGAGAGAGAGAAGAGGAGGGGGAGATTTTACAGGCTGGCATCCCAGCCAGGATAAATACTACTTCAAAGCTAACGTAGCATGTTCAGATCCGTGGGATGATTTGGGAGCTATTTGATACTTGATTATTCATTTGGCACCAATATATACATTTAAGATATAGCAATCATTATTTGAATACACTGATTGCAATTAAAGGCTTGGCTTGAGTATGGAAAAGGCCAGCATTACTTTGCCTTCAAGAACCAGGTGATCCTGGTGTAATGGAGATTATATTACAGGGGATGAACAATCTATGTCACTGACCCTAGCTAAGCGCAACCAAAGTAGGTGCCCTGTATTACCCGATTGGTTTCTTGGCCTGGTGGAACTCCTTGATGACCCGCTCTACGTCTGGGTTTACCGTACAGCCTGCTCCATTCACCGCAAAATCACTCCTGTAAAACAAATGGCCTGAAAAGTGAGTTTAAATGCTGAACATTATAAATTAATAAATAAAGAGACTGTTGCTATTAGTTCATAGCAACAGTCTCTTTATTTATTAGTGTAAGAAGCCCAGAAAATGGCTTCCGCAGCCAAGAAGTTTTTGAAGATAGTCATAAGCAGGTATTGAGTTAAATGAGAATCAATCAACAAATAATGTGCTAGAATGTCTTTTTTTCAAAATTGATGTTCATATTCTTATGTCCAATTTTACATTGCAAATATTTGTACAATTATTCCTTGGACTACTGCCTGGATATGCATGTATATATTAAACTGAACTTTAACTGAATTGAATTGGAAGTTGATAAACTTACAGGTTTTTTGCGGCACCGAATCCACCCGGGAAGACTACGGCATCGAAGTTTCCACTGCTGAGCCCAGAAAGAGCTGTGATCTTCCCCCTTGCAATACGTGCAGACTCTACCAGTACATTCCTACATGCAGGACAGATGTTCAAAATACAAAAAGGAATTAGATTGTGTACCATATTGCCAGTAATCCAAAGCCATCATAACATAGCAAATCCTATCTTATACACTATAAAAGGTCATTTTGACAAGTATGGTAAACAATATCTAGTTTCACCATTCCAGTACGTGCCCAATAAAATGAGAGTCTCTGAAATAGGCAACCCGACTGGTTGGAAATGAAGTTGAATTTAATTTTTTGAGTAGCATTTAATCACAGCTCTTTATGCAAGAAGCGCCACTCCCATTGTTGCCTATCCTTGTCTGCACCGAGAAGTGAACGTAGCATAAAAATAACCTTGAAGATACAGCCGAGTTCTGGTCATGTGATCACATTGAGAAAGATACTGTCTCTAAACAAAGGGTTGGGAGTTTTGATTATGTAGTACATACAAACTTGAGGTTTGGAGTCTTCAATAGGGTACAAAATTGACTCAATCTTGCTGTGAGTATGTATGGGAGCACATACACATGTAGACCGAATTTTCCGTCTCTTTCGTTCGTTAGCCTCTTATTGGGGTAGGGTCGGCTCTCTCTTTAGAGACGGAAACCGTCTATACACATTCCCTTGATAACGCCACGGCCATTTCAGGTCGTAGCGTTTTGCCCCCAAAATCCCCCAAAATGTCATTTTACCTCGTGCATATCCACATGTAAATAAGGCCTAGGCTATAATACATCGGTTCCACTTACCAACTTGACTGAAATAATCAGTTTGATAGTCCCTTTTTAGGAAATTATGGGTCAAAATCGAAATCCATTTTGAAAATCTTTTTCAACATGGATTTCGATTTTGACCCATAAATTCCTAAAAAGGGACTATTAAACTGATTATTTCAGTCAAGTTGGTAAGTGGAACTGATTTATTATAGCCTAGGCCTAATTTACAATATAACATGCACGAGGTAAAATGACATTTTGGGGGATTTTGGGGGCAAAACGCTACGACCTGAAATGGCCGTGGCGTTATCAAGGGAATGTGTATAGACGGTTTCCGTCTCTAAAGAGAGAGCCGGCCGACCCTACCCCAATAAGAGGCTAACGAACGAAAGAGACGGAAAATTCGGTCTAATACACATGTAGCGTGACTGTTTAGTCCGAACACTAACAGTTCCCCAATTGCTCATCATACATGTATGTATTTTAAACGTGGGTTACCTAAAGAGCAATCCTTTTCAGGGGACATATATTCTTCCAATCTGACATAAAAGGAATAAGCACGTCGGTTCAAAGATTACTTTGCACCATTACAAGAACTCAACCCTCTCTTTATTAAAAGTTGACGATACCTTGTTTCATTCTCACTTGGCTCCCCCTTGGTGTGGTTAATCACATGCATCTGAGGAATATCAGGAGCAAAGAATGAAACATCAGCTCCACCCCGACTCAGGTGTACCCATACTCTGGAAGATAGAAAGACATTTTTATGGTTTACATAGTGCTTTCATCTTAACAATGAAGTTTGGGTGAAAAAACTGTATATCATATTCAATGGCTTTCAAAATCTGATGTATGCTAATCGAAATCTGGATCATCTGGATCATTTAATATCAAAAGGAGAACAAGTACAATAACACATATTAGATCTATCCACATTCTTTGGTATTATTTCAAGGGAATTAAGGATTAATTGGAAACATTCCTCATAGCTCTGGATTGTGTACATGTAGACATCTAGATCTATGTCTTTTGAATTAAATGCTCCACCTCTTGAAATAGTAATGGTTACACTTTTAACTTAAGTAGCACAAGAAAAGTCTTAGGTTCTTAGGTTCTTACGCTGAAGCCTCATGAACTTCACTGCCGTCATATACTCCTGATCCCGCCAAGACCTAGAACGAAACAAAAATGAATAAGATAATTAAGGAGAAGTTGGTTTGCAGGGGTCTACTAACTCTACGAGGTGCAAGGAAAAACAGCCGGATCTACATGTAGCTGCTGCATGCAGCCTCTCGTCAATGGGAGACGAAAGGCTTCGACAGATGGGGCTGTCACGGCATTGATTTGAGAGGTTGGATTTATAGACATATTTCACATTAATTGTGTCCTAGATTATACACTCACCATGCATCAACAAAATTAACATCACTGTCACTGTGCAAATTAGCCAGTGCACAACTGCAACTGCATCAACAACTCATCCACTTCCCAATCCCAGGCTCTAACTTACCACAGCCACACGATTTCCACTCATTTCTCTTGTAAGATGAATAGACCGTGACAATACTTTAGGGACGTCAGTGAAATAAGAAGCGAGTCGAGATGAAGAGTTGATAAATTTCAGCATATTTCCAACATCAAAAATTAGCAAGTGTGGATAGGTTTAATAAACCTCTCTGTAGGAGCTGTATGGAGTCGTCTCATATAGAGCGACTGACAAAAGGACGAATAACATTTCTAGATATCATGGCCTTACGCCCACTATGGTATACGAGACCGGCACCGAGTAATTCATCTTTGTCTATGTCTTTCTCTGAGCTGAATTAAAGGGCGCTGCTGGTAGTAAAAATGGAGGCAGAAAAGGGATGGATGTACAACTCTGAAACAGTAGCCAAAATTCAGCTATTTTTTGGATTAGAATGTGTTCCCGTTGCAGATATACAGGATGAACCGCCACAACCAAACAGTAATAACAAAAAACCTCACAATGGTCAGTCAAACGGAGTAACTCACAGGCCTGTTTCACCGCAGCATGATGTCAGCAGTCAGTCCTTGCAAGGACCGGGAAGTTCCGGGGAGAGTCGACGGCTTGGTGACCCCAACGCAACTGTGTCGGCGGCTCCTGTTGAATATCGAGTGCACAACAAATTTTGGCATTACCTCTTCGCCTTTGGCGCCGCTTTAGGAGATGATATTTTTTACTACACTGTCTTTCCCTTCTGGTTCTTCAATATATCACCATGGGTTATTCGCAGAGTGATTCTTATGTGGGGACTATTGATGTATGTTGGACAAGCGAGCAAAGAGGTGATTTATTTTTCCTGTTTCTCTGTTTAGTTTTAAACAACGTTTAAGTTTAACAAAAGATGTTTGATGGAGATTAGAGAATGTTTTAGAGAATATTGTTGAGAGATAGTGAGAGAAAGAGAGAAATGTATCTGTGTTCAAAATGGAGATTGATTTTCATGCTGAGAAAATGGGGGAGTTTTATAAAGAAAAGGTGTCACTTCATAATTTTGTATACTTTTTTCTATTAAAAAGGTTTTGATGGTAACTTTTATTCAGGAAATTGGCTGAAATTTTACTATGAATGAATGAAATTTGAATAAGATGAGATTTGATATATAGATTCGCTGAACAAAAGATTTCATGATGAATCATTTCTACAAACTGACGGCAACACTTCTTGGATTAAGAAGAGTAAGTAACTGAATAATTAACAGAAGTCACCTAGACTGATATTGTCTATTGATAAGTTTAATTTTGCACTGCTGATATTTTGTGCTAGTGCTACCTGTACTCGTTGTATTGCACTATTCATTTCCCCTTCCCCCTTTTTTCTGATAATGTTGAAAAACAAAACTACATTTTAAAACAAAGCTCCATTTCGATCTCGTCTAACTCTGGCCCATCGGCCCCATCCTCTTTTCAGATCATCAGGTGGCCACGCCCTCTTTCACCACCGGTTGCTCCTCTGGAGAGACGATACTACCAAGAATACGGGATGCCTTCCACTCATGCCATGGTGGGAACCTTGGTGCCGTTCACAGTCTTAATTGTCACATGGGGCAAAGTTGAGGTAACATTTATTGTGTCAATTTTTAATATTAAAGGGAGAATTTACAACATCTTTGAATAAACAAGAGCAACAGTATTAAATGTGTGCTTGTCTTCAAAAATGCATTTGGTATCAATGTGATGGTACTATCCAGTCATAAACATGTACATGAACATGTATGTGTAAAGGTATTACCGGTAATAATTCTCTTTAGAACCATTTTATTGATTCATACTAATTTTAGTATGAAAATGAATAAAGAATGTATAATAATATATATGTGTGGTACACAACACAAAGTAAAAGTTCCCTTCTTTTTGATTGCTATTAATGATCAAAATAAAGATTTGTTCAAAATATGATACTTTGAAGTTTCATGTTTTTTTTGGGTGGAGAAAAAAAATCAAGCACTAAAACTGCTTAATGCATGGATATGAGACTTTTAATAACTTCCTATTGAAGGTCAAGCATGTGCTGGTACTGAGCATATGGTTGAATATCATTTTTACTGAAAAGAGGAAGCTAACATTTTCTATTTGTAGATGAAATAGATATCCCCTTCAGAGTTAAATGATTAAAGATTTAGACTTAAATACAAAAGTGGCATATTTCATCTACTTTATGAATTTTTCTCCCTTTGAAAATATAACACTTAATTTTCGATTCAATTCCTTTTTGTTTCTCCCTGCAGTATCCAAAAGAGGTTGGAGTTTTATTAGCCATTTCCTACACCCTGCTTGTGTGTATGAGTCGACTGTACAAGGGCATGCATTATATTCTGGTAAGCAGTAATGTACATAATAATTAAAGATGTTTTCCACATATGCACCAAAAATCAATCTTTGGTTGTTTTATTGACAAGATTAAACATATTTATAAATGACTTAACTACATTTTCCTACTTGAATGAAGCAACCCAAATGAGCTGATAGGTAAACGTGCTTCTTTCTCATCAGATTAACTTTTTTTTTTCTTAACTTATTTATGTAACAGTTCAGGTGCTTGCCTCTGTAGATTGCAAGCTCACAAACTTGTTCACAAGTTATAGTACCTTATCATCATTATAAAGCCATGATCTTTATTTAATTGAACTTTGTAATAATTTGAGTAAAATAATTCACCCTTGGGTGTTGGTAGCATTGCATTAAAGCTGATAATTTGATTATGCTGGAATCTCCTATGTCTACTGAGTTGACCCTGGCATGTACTGACCATCCATTTTGATTAGGGTTATCATTGAAGACTCTACCTACAATATGTGTACAATTTATTTTGTTCCTATTAGAAAAGGTGATGTTTCATTGAAGACAAATGTAGGTTTTTTTCTTCTTTCTAGTGCTGAACTGTTCTTTGCTCCCATTTCATTTTTTTCACAGGTTATGATGTACATTTACATGTATAAACAATGATCTCATTTATTTTGCCTCTTTGATTTGCAGGATATCTTTGGTGGCATATTTATCACTGCCCTCTTGATGGCCATCGTATTCCAATTCTTGGAGCCGTTAGATACATTCCTCATCACTCATCCCTATGCGCCTCTATTCTCCATGGCAACAGCCTTCTTTCTCAGCATCATCTACCCCACCCAGGATGGTTGGAGTAGCACCCGGGCCGATACCATTGTCATCATGGGGGTAACAACGGGCATCTACTCCTCCTTGTGGCTGTGCCATCAGCAAGGCATCCCTCCCATGTATGACGAGCTACCATCCCCGCATATCAAATGGCCAGGCCCATACAGCATCCTCCTCATGCTGTGTCGACAGGTGATTGGGTTAGCACTGATGGGTCTTTCACACGTCACATTCAAAACGATCATCCTTGGAATCCTCTCAGCCATCAACGGGGAGAAGATAACGGAGGAGACGAAGAAGCAAACGTGGATTGAGATCCCATATAAATACATCACTTATTTTGCGATATGCGTGGCATTAAACTATCTGTCACCCTTAGTCTTTGAAAAGGTTGGTTTGTAATAAACCTCATTACCATGTATTAGATTGTGACCAACCACAATTTAGGAGTTTCAAAATACATGTATGTTTGGGATGGCTGGGGCATTTTATTATTCGTTGTATGTCCCATCTTATTCAAGTCAGTAGTCAATTATAATTCTTATCAAACTTGAATTTTTGTATCTTATGCTGCATGCAATAACTAAAATCATCTTACTAGTTTTTATGCAGTAATGTTTTTTCGAGCTAAACAGAAAAAAAGTGCTACATTGTATACTTTGTATGCAGATCTGATAATCATCTGTTAAATTTGATGGAATTAATAATAATAATAATGATACTTATAATGATGATTGGATTGATGTAGCACCTTTCCAGAGGTTGAAAGGAATTACATCTATCTTTGGGAATTAATATCATGAGAGCATGCAATTTTTTTTTCAAGATAATCCTGAAAGTATCCTGGGAGAATGGTCTGGGAAGAGGAAAGCTATTTTGTAGGTTAAAAGTATGCATCAATATATAACTTTCCTTGTCGGCAGCCTTGCTAGGAAGAATTTGCCCAATTTGTTTCCCATCAGTTTGAGTTCTTATGAGCTTTGGAGTGGCTTGCATCAGGTTATCTGCCTTTGTGGAAGGGGATACTTGTATGTTTGTTGTATGGAGTTTTGTGTGGCAATAATTGTGTAGCCTGGTTCTGCAAGAGATAATCTAAATGACTGTCGCATTATTTAATCCCAGCGTTCATTTATTGTCCATGTGAAATGTGGCCAGAATGCAAACCAAATTTGCACATTGTAGTATTCTGTGATATAGAGCAATATCATTTTCATGAAAAGACTTCATCTTTATCATGAAATAGATTATGAATACATTTATTTTGTTCACCCATATCTGTTTTGGATAAAATATGACAAATAGCAATATACATGTACCATTGTTAAATACTACGCAACTCTGGATTGAGAAGCTATACAGACATAAAGGAGCTGCTACTGCTATGGTAGTCTATGATTTCATGTACCTGTATAATTTCTAACAAGACATCATACTACTCTGTGCTGACTCTTTGATAAATTCTTTAAGACAATTTAGAAATATGTCTATATGTACATCTACTTGGCAAAGGTTAATTAATTGTACAAGACACAATACTGCCAAGTGATAAAACTCTGTTATCAGGAAAGTAAACAAATTCATCTGATAAAAAGTTTGAATAGGGTTCAGCGTACCTCTATGTTCTTGTTTGTGTAGCTTAAAGATATAGCAAAACTATGTATATTCTTTTGTACAAGGATGTACAATTGTACATGAGTTAAAGGTAATGAGCATGTTATGTAGCTTAAAATGTACCATGGGAGTGTATCTAAAGTGCAATATCTCTTGGTAGAAGAAATATTTGAAGCTCACTTTGACCGGTATTATTTTGCCTATGTTTTCATGTTAGAGAACACTGGATCTGTCTGTAAAGTCTCTATCAGCAAAACTAGCAATTCCTTTTCTTGCTCTTTGTACAGGGCAAGTATTTTTTTTTGGAGCGGTTTTAAATGCGTTTATAGTTTTCAACTATGTAGAATATTTATATTGGCTCTGGTCTGATTCAAAGTTGTTTTTCTCTACTTTGTACATGATTTCCAGTGAGACCATATACTGTTCAACTCTTATCGAAATTCAAATATTAAGCCATGGTACATAAGTTTTACTACTTGCAGTATGTTGTAGTTATAGGAGTTCTATTTTCTAGAAAAAGATTCCAAACATGTGACTGTAATAAATTTCTCTAACATCATGATGGTCATGGTATGATACTTCCGAGAGTTGTATGCAGTCATTGCAGTGTAGACCAAAAATCAGTCTTATCTTGTTCAGGGATGTGGTATGCAGAGGCTACAAAAGTATATTCTTTAAAATATGTTCTAAGACTCCTCTAAACAAGTGGACTTTTTCTGTCTACAGTGAAACCACAAACTTCACGTGAAACGTTTGTGAATCTTGAGAGTAGTTCAGATTTGTGAAAATTTCATGCCACATCACTTTTTGCAATTCTCGAAAGTTTCATGACTTGATAAAGGTCAAGTTTTATGTTACATTTCTCATCTTTGTGAATGATTTCCAACTGGACCAGATTTATTGGATGTACAGACTTGGGTTTTATTTCTGAATATTTAGAGTGGTACATGATGACCAACTTACAAATGAGGTCTGATAATACCATTTGTATTTTTGTATTAAATATAAAAAAAATTCATTCACAAAGAACATTAATATTCTGTATTGCAATACATAGTTATAATGATAATTACAATTAATATAGGTTTGAACTACTCTTTCATAATCTTCATTTTATCATTTTGTATGTTTTCTTTTGATTGGTGCGGTTATTAAGATTTAATTGCAGAATAAATAAATTGATATATTTATCAAAATGACTGTCATAATTTTCATTTGTGGCATTCCGAGTTCCATATTTTTTCCTAATTAAAAATCTGTGTGCCTGCAAGTGAGTGATGTGGAAATTTATATTGAATGTGACTAAAATGGAGTATCATTTTCACGCCCATGAACTTTCCCAACACCATCACACTTTATGTACTACTGATTTGTTTGTATCTTCCTATGTCTTTCTAACTCTCTATTTTCTTCTCTGTTGCATACACCTTTTGATAACTCTATGCTATCAGATATTGAGGTAACTGAAATGTGGTCCCACTTTTAGCTGCATGGGAACATTGTTTCATTTCACTTGGGACCCCCTTATGTCGTCAGCTGCCCTGCACATCCCACAAATAAACTATCGATAAATATCGTGTGTTATGTAATTTATGTTATTTAACACATTTGCAAAGCACCTGGGTTTTCTTGCTTCTTATGTTTTATTTTTATTATTTTGGTTCGTTTTTATGTTTTTATAAAAAAAAAAAATCTCAACCTCTCCATGCAAGTACTATTTTTCTCATCATTATGGTTTGACTTAAGAAATTATTGTGCCTGAACAATAAATAAAACAATCACGTAGTATTTCGAGAAATGAACCCGAGCCAATTTCAAGATGATATAATGAATCAATCTACATGAAACCCCATCTCCCTTATGAATCGACGCACACACTGATTCTTTTCTTCGAGCAAGTACAATATCTAGTTCCCTTTTCTCATTTATATTTGCTTGTTTGCAGACACCATGAACCCGATTGCATGGAGCAGACGCCAGAGAGATTTGTTACTTTTAATGTAAGATTTTGTTGCTTAAATCTAATTTTTTTTGCAAATATGATGAACCAGTGCCGCAATACGCATACTGAAATAAGATTTTATGTATAAAATAGTGACAAATAGATTCTCGAAGATGCTTTATGTAGATCGACGTCAGCTATTATAATTACGATCCCATGTATTGAATTTGATGTTATGTCACTTAGGCCAGTTTTCGGCGCGGTTACAGCTCATTGTCGCACGGTGCATCCACTATGAACATGACAGACAAAGAGATCGGACAAAATATACAGTTCCTCAGGTAGACAATGGAACATCCCTTCACTGCTATTATGTAAAGAGGTGAATATGCATGTGACACCTGTTCTACACATTTTTACATAGACCTAGAGTCTAATAATGGCAGTGAAGGGATGTTCCTTTATCTACCTGAGGAACTGTATATTTTGTCCACTCTCTTTGTCAGACATGTTCATAGTGATCACTATCCTGACTGTGTAGTAAAAGCTGTGCTATTTATTCTCAACATTTCAAACACCACTGTACAAAACTCAAGTGATTTCACTAAAAATCGGTTCTTTAGTGACAATTGATGAAACCTATATAGGTCTAGGGTCTATAGCAGTAAAACACAATTTTTCAAACTTACTGATGTTAAAAAGAATAATTTAAAAATTCAAATTGTAAGTCTAGTGTCAAATTTGCCGATCAGCCCAATCGGTGTTATTGTGTGCAGTCTATGCAATAGTGTGTGGTGTTTGTATATGTTTATAATACCTGCCTCTCGGCATTTCAGCAAGTATGCAGTGCTAGAGGTCAATACGCATTAGCATTGGCTCTCTAATCTCTATGCTTTGCTGGAGTGGCTCATTGTAAGCAAAAGAGGTTAATAATAATTGTCCTAGATCTGTGGAGAAAACACTTTGTTGTATATTTAATTAAAACTTACTTGTCAATTGTCATTAAGGGTGAATTTGCATTTGTTAAGTTTCATTTTAGTTCCCTTGAGTCCTGACAAAAAAGTGTCAAATAAAAATAGGTTTTGACTTTTGTTTTGTATATTTTGTAAATTTTCTGAAAACTAAACTGGATTAAAAATTGATTATCAATATCAATCTTATTTTTTTGCATTGTTTGTAAATAAATGATATTCCTGTGATTTCATCAAAGATATATAAATATCAAATTTCACCTAAATGTTATCACTTTCCATTTGGACTTGTAATTTTTTTTTTTTTTAAATTGTCTTAAAATTCATTTAGACCTAGAGATCTATATCACTTTTTTTTGTAAATTTTCAGGGGAAGAACATATCACTCATGATCTACTGCTTCAATTTGACAAGAGGAAACAGAATGAACTAGTTGGCGCTTAATGACATAGGCAGCAAGATGGCCATCAACTTCTGCAGTTTGGCTTTTGGAACAAAAGTCGCCTGTTCATCAGTGAGCACAGATGGATACGAGATTGAGAATCTCCTGAAAGCTGGCAAGTACGGTCAGATGAAAGGCTTTCTTGCTGAACATTTCATCAAACCTCCGCTCACCATTACCTTCACTTTGCCGTTTAAGATCGACATCTGCAGCATCATCATAGACCCCAACGTCGGCTCACAGAAATCCAGTGCGATCGAGATTTTTTCCGCAATTGTACCTGAGGAAAAAGAGAGCTCTGATAGGCATGATAATGCAGGTCGAGATGTAAGAAATGAACCACTTGTAGTGTCTACAAACATAGGGAAGGGATACTGCAATAATGTCACTCCACGGCTTATCTACTTTTGCAATAGGAGGTATAGATCACTGCACAAGTTACCGACCAAGTCACCTGACTATCAAGAGGGCACAGCAGATGTTCTGGTGAGGGACATCAGGTGTTCAAGTGCAGCATGTGTGAGAAATGTGAACCAGATAGTGATTAAGATCACAAGGGTTCATGGTGCGTCGGTACCTGCATTGAAGAAGGTAGAGATTTGGGGGCAGCCAGCTGTATCTTGCGATGAGTTACTTGTCCAAAAGATAGTGCAGACTGCTGAACAACTTCTGGGACTGGGTGTGAGACAGAAGAAACAACCTACCTCAAAAGAGCAAAAGCCATCTACTTCACGTAAAGTTGAGAAGAAGGACGGGAAAGGAAAGGCGCCAGCTTCGGACCAGTGCCCTGAGGATTTTATAGATCCGATAACATGCAGTATAATGGTGATTCCGATTCTCCTGCCATCAGGCCACACAATAGACCAAGAGACCCTTGAGAAACATAATAAGATAGAAGCAACATGGGGTCGCCCATCAAATGATCCCTTCACTGGTGTACCATTCTCTGCTGTCAATAAACCCATTCCAAATGTCAAACTAAAAGCAAGACTGGATAGGTTCTTGTTGATGGGCGGGGCCGCGTTCAAGAACGTGCCTCGGACTGCTGGAGGTGCAAGTGAAAGTGACTCTACACAAGACTCATCTGAAGTGAAAACATCCGTCCTAATTCAACCAAAGAAAGCGGGTGCTCTTAGTGGATTGATGAACAAATCACAGGTGTCAATAATTGACAACCTACCCGATGGCGGAGAAAATGAAGAAAAAAGGCATGGAGGAAAGAGAAAGAGGAAAGTTAAAAATGCAGGGACATCATATGTTAATGCACAGTATGCCACCATCGCAGCAAAGAGGTCCAAGGCTTATGGTGTCCACTTGCCTACTGTAGATTTGGCTTGGAATGGAAGCAGTGATAATGGGATTAAGAAAGGTAAATATGACAATTTATGCTATCCTTTTTTTAAACTTCAATGATTAGGGGTTCTTTTAATGAACCAGATTTGTGTAATTTTGTGAACATATAAGTGAATGTTAAAGATAAACTTTAGTACTGGTAATGCGATTGCATTGTGAAAGAAAAGGTGTGGAAAGGATCAGAAACAGTTGATCATGTAGCATGTAAGTATTGGTGTGCACTGCAAGGTTCTGGAGTCATCAAAATCATAATAAATTTGACCGAGCCTTGGTAAAGTAACAAGCACTCACATAGAAAGCTATACATGGGACAACACACATGGTGTCGGGGCTAGTACTACCTTGATTTCCTTGTCTTTCTATGCTCATTACTCAGCCAGTATACATTTTATTCCAAAATTATTTGGCACATGTCATTTATTTGTAATCTTGAACATTCAGTGTAAGTTTCGTTTGATTCTGTGAGAATTTTTTTTTTTTTTACCAGTACTGGAGTTTATCTTTAAGCTGGCTGTGAAATTGAAAATCTTGAGTACAGTAGTCTATCACATGTGGAGTTCTTTGAGCAATTTAGCCTTTGTAGACTCAGCTCATCTATTTTTTCCTTCAGTATCATTTGCAATGTACTATAATAGAAATCATGATACAACATGGATTTTGACAGAATATGCCTTGTCAGTCCAAATTATATGGGGAATGAATTAGTGTTTCAATAACATATGCTTGAATTCTTTGGTTTCTTGTGTGATCTTATTTGAAGTGATCACAGAAAATGTTCACCCATTTATGTACCAAACATTAATTTTGTGATACACTTTGATTCATAATCTCTTTTAATTCTTACTAGATCTTGGAAGCCACGAGAAAGCTGTATCTCTTAGTCTGGATGATGCCCTTGCTTCTACTTTAGCATCTCTTCCCTCATATAATAAACCAGCAGCTTTGGGTGGTAAGAATGTCTCCCTTGTTTAGGTTTTGATCAAGACAATGCATATAACTGTATATATAGTATTGAACATAGCATGCTGCTGAGGTATAAATCAGGGCAGGTAAGAAGAAACTTGTTTTTGTAAATGTAAGCCTCTGGAAAGGGATGATTGAGATGATGTGAATTCTTTAATGAAATATGAAATTAAACTGTATTTGAGTATTGGATATTAACATACATGTACAATCCTCTTGTTGTATATCAGTCTATATTTTTGCATTTCCCCTTTTCATTGTTTACAGGTGCTCCTATAGAAACCAAAAGTGACATGTGTGTGAATTGTCAGACCCCATTCCAGGACATGGAGACCAATATTTATAAAATGCCATGTGATCATTTGATATGCCGTAGCTGTACATCTACCAAGACAAGTGGGATCGACTGTCAGTTGTGCAAAAGGACTTTCAAGAATTCTCAGTTGTCTAGGGTACACAAAAAGATAAATAGCTCTTCCATGAGAGTAGTTTGATGATCTAGGGTGGTATTCTGAAAATTACGCTGTCTTTAATGTTTGTAAATTAATTGTCACTTAAAGAGAAGGTTGAGTTCTGGGGAGAGGTGAAAATAATTTGTGAGAGTTATCATTGTTATTATGCAAGTGTGGAAGAAGATCAGATAAAACATGTTCCCTGAAAAGCATGGCTCTTCAAATGCCTTTGAGAAAAAGAAAAAAAAAAGGACAGGTTATTGGTTTATGTTTGCGCAAAGTTGCCTTCGTATACAAGGACCAATACAAAGTGTTAAATGTGCATAATAATGGGTTGTTATGACAACTAGTATCATTGTCCTGTACAAAGGTAACATAGTTTTCAGAATATTTAACCCTTCAATACTTCTGGTCCTATAGAAATGTATCTTATAGGATCAACATGTTGTACTGAACCCTTTAAAAGGCACTGAAACAAAACAAGAGAAATTGCATTAGATGAGGTGAAGTTGATACACATTCAAAATTTCTGCAAAACTAAACATATCTTAAATTCTAGCAGATTTCTTTAGAAATTTCATATTCCACCAAGTATGCAATGAATTGATTATTAGTGACTAGTAATGCCATGTATATACTTCATTTAATTGAGAAGGTATAACTTATAACTCTTCAATTTTAAGAGAGTTTAGTCATGTAATTTGCGCCTTTAATTCTTGAACACTGTACTAAATCATTACTAAATAGAGACCACCTAATGATTGAATTAATATGGTTCTGTCAAACAATACCTCTGGTGAAGGAAAGGCTGAAAAAGATAAAATGGCATGTTTGTGAAAAGATTTTACATCTGTTCAAGGTAGGAAGTTCCTTTTGCAGACTTGTGCAAACTAAGCGAGTGTGTGAAATTTTACAGCCATAGGCTCTGAAACTTCTGTAAGAAATGAAAATCTAGTGCTGTTTTTATATTCACGCGGAGAGGGCTAATCTCATATCAACAGAATGTAACGGTTGAATTTTGAATTACATACAAATATTTTGATCCTTGAAAATGAATATCTGGGGAATTAAACATTCAAAATTTATAATGTTGAAAGGCAGTTTCATTTTTTTTTCTTCATTTGGTGGGAGGTTCCTTATAATAATCTTATAGACCTCTTATGAGACATGAAAAATGTTGTTTGAATTAATTCCTTTGAAAAAGAAAAAGAAACAAGTCCTGAAAATATGGCATTATGTCAGAAATAAATGTAGTTGAAATAATTAATTCAATTATATTATTGATTTTTATACTGTCTCGAAAGAAAAAGTTCCTGATCACAATAAGATGAAATTAAAATTTCCTATTTTTCTTGTGTAATAAAAATTGAATATTTAATAATTTTAAAACTTTTTGACAATTAATCAGTAGTAAATTAATCTAATCTATGATGAAGATCTGTGTTTTTTGCCACTACTTTTGAAGTTTGTGAACATTTCTTTTATTGTCTTATTTCTTGTTATACATTATGATGTATCAATATAAATATGCATTGATGGAAAATTATGACAAGAAATACACTATTCAAGTTATATAATTTGTAATAAACTTTATTTCAAGTGACAGTTGAATCATCAGACAGGTTGCATTTATCGGTTGTTACTTTAAGCCCATGACGAGCTGCCATTGCAGTAGAAACATGCATATAATATGAATACATTTATGAATTGGAACTTCTTTGGAGTTTATTGCCCTTTAAAATGGAACAGTTCGTGTCTAGTCTATCTTTTGATAATTTCAGTTACATACATATGTGCTTTAAAATGAACATAGTCATTATATTAAACGCACGATGGAGACAATAAGTAAACAACATTTTTATGTGCTTCAAAAAGAATATAGTCATCATATTTAACACACAATGGAAACATCAACTAATCAAAATTTATTATCTATTTATGCAATAAAGTAATAATACAGAGACATTGAGACAGAAACCCATGATGTAATATGCTGTCTCTCTGACATATATAACAGGAAAATAATGAAAACGTGTAAAGATATAGCAAAATAAAATATCAGTGCTTAACATCTGAAACCAACTGAAGACTTGTTCACATAGGTTGACATACAAAATAATGACTGGGTACAATCTCCATAAAATGTAAAATATGGAGAATATAAATTTACAATACTGGTATATACACTAACAATTTAGAAATTTTGGGAGCACTTTCAGTAAGTTTACACTGTACAATGTACATGGTATGTATGAAAAGAAAGCTATTTCTGAATACTGACATGAAATTTGAAATGGAACTGCATTTTCCACTGTACAGCTTTGAACACTACTTGAAGGAAATTGGTCATGGTTACCTTGATCAAAACACTGCATTAAGACCAGCCCCACTGAACAATCTTTCTCTCTCTCTCTTTTTCTCTCACTCACTCTCTACCTCTCAAACACGGACTCCATTCTTGAAGGCAATGGAACTTTGTGGACTAAAAGTGTTTAGGAAAAGAATAACCAACAGAAGAAAATATCCAATGATATCCAACATAAATAAATTTGTTGATAGTTTTGGTATACATGTTTTCCCAAGGTGTATTTGGCAATCACATAAAAGAGCATATATATATATTTTATTCAAACTTGTAGATGATGATCTTTAAAACTAAATACTTCTCATATGTTTTTTCAAACGGATTCATGCACAACAGTCATTAAATATGTTTTACTGTAAGCTTTAAATACATGTAGTGGGGCCTACCTTCATCATAAGTTATAGGTATCATTATTAGAAACACTGGACTACAGCTTTATCCCCCCCCCCCCCACACAAAAAACACAAAAAACAACAACAAACAAATCATATTTTTTGAGAGTTCAAGTGTGTATCACCTCTGAAATTGTGATGGTCTATTTCATCACATTTCAATAATAATAATAATAACAATACATACAGAATCAAGATTAAACTCTGACACATAGAGAAATAGAACTGTATTTACAAGTTCTAAAAATACCAGCATGCAACCTATTGCCTCAGGTAATTTGCTTGTATGGACGGAATCTTCATAGATCTATGTTCACATGACTGGGTTGGATCCTTTCAGGTTATTGATGTGTATGTTGGAATCTTGGACTTGATGATAGGGACACTCTCCTGTAGCAGAATTAAGAAAAGAGAAGTCAAGAATGGATAAAAGAATTGTAGATTCATTTAAATGGATAGCGTGAAGAAAAAAAAATGAAGCAGGATGCAATCACCCATGGAAAACTTGGTTAGGTTTCTCTTTCATGAAATGAATTAATGCTGGCTAAATCATTGAACGTTCTAAGTGGTATCTATTTTAATGTTAATACATGTATACTGTACCCCAATCCCATCAATGAGACTGACAACAGACCAAACAAGATAATAAATTATCCTCAATGGTGAATAATCTGTCCGTTTAGAGTTGCTTTTTAGTGGTGTGACTAATACCTCTCAATTACCCAAAACAGAAGGATTAATGGGGTTTATCAAATCGAACAATGTCCACTAACGCTACAATTCCATAAGATGTTGAAATTCAAATACTGGTAGGTATTGCAAACCCAATGTTCTTCATTTTGATAGCAGAACAAAGATTGCAGCTATTCACAAATATCACTGCTTCCCTAAAACTATTTTTTTTAAATGAAACAAAAAAATGGAAAACAAAATGAATTCAAGAGTTTTATTTACCCTTCCACAATTCTGTTCAATTTCTTGAAGAGCTGAGTAAATCTGGTCCCTGAACTTCTTATCATTCTGGTGTTTTGATAACTGCAGGATTAAAGCAGGAAAGAAAAATTATAACATGGACATGATATTTTCATATCACAACTGTACATAACAACACACGTGTCAAGTTTACACAAAGTATTTTCAGAGAGTGTATGCTGTTTTCTTACTTGCGGCACCACCATACACTGTATATGCATAAATAAGTATGCTATCACATTAGGGGTGTTGCGTGATAGATGCACAGCTAAACACATATTCAAACAGTTTATAATTAATGATTGTATCTTTAATGTTCAGCATCATTCAGTTCAAATCGACACCTTCATATGATCACCTATGGGAATTTGTTTTTCTCCATTTTTTTCAAAAATTAATATAACAAGTATTTTGGCCTCAGCACGTTTATGAATGACTCACCAATATTTGAAACGTAAACAGATTAAAAGTTCCCTTGGCTACCATAACATGTGTATGGTTAACCTAATTGATGTTTCAAGCTTTAATAAATAGTAGAAGTCATGTGAACAGTGAAGCTGTCTTTATTCAAGACAGACACGATTATACTCTACTTTCTCATCTCAGCAACACTTGCAATGGAGAAGCTTTTCTAAAGTGCTTACAGAATATGATTTTTCTTTAAAGCCCCACTGCACTACTTATAGCTACTTGTGCCTCTATATAGCAAACAATGCCTAATCGGTGACCATTGGTCCCCTGTGATCCTCTTTTTCTAATGTTAAGTGAGAGCTTATTTGATGAGGTAACCACCTGTCAGTGACCTTACAGGGTGATCCAATCCCTCCTGTAAACCAGTACAGATGGGATTTAAAGCTTGACACTGATTTCTTTTAGAAACAAGGAATGATTACTTACATAGGCAAGCACTGACTTGAGATGTGAGTTGAGATGTGGACCAACTGCACCGCTAAGGTCAACTAATGCAATCACTGCTCCTAGGTACACAGATTCATTGCCTGAACCCTATAAATAATAATAATAATAATAACAAAAGAAACAATTGTACAAATGTTGATATCTACTGAAGATATAACAATAATAATATAGTTCTCCTTAGAACTATAAGCTAAGAAAGATAACCAACAGTCTTTTTCAAGATTACACCAACAGTCCTTTTCAGGACTACACATCCTCAAGAAAGATTACCGAGAGTCCTTTTCAGGACTCCTCAATCCTCCCTCTCTCTCACATGGTGCACCTGCAAGCCTACTGTATAATAATACAATTATAATAAATTTCCAAATGGACCAATAAAATTAATCTGAATCTGATCTGAATTGTATCTCCTTTGCAGAATAATGAAAACAATATTGAAGTGTTGATCCTATAAAGACGAATCTATATTTTCTGAAAAAATTGTTTAATATCTAAAGAAGATGAGCTCAAAATCATATTTTGTTGAAATTATGAGTGTATTGAGAGAGATAGAGATAGAGAGAAAGAGAGATAGAGAGAGAGGGAGAGAGATGGAGATTGTTGGAGAGAACAACACAAAAATAGGACTCACCAATGCCGCACGCAGGGGTGGAATGAGCCTTGTGAGAAGTGGTACAGCCTTGACATGTGCACCTTCAATTTGGAGTAATTCTTTGAAGCCCTGCTGAGCCACAAACTGGTACGGATGCTTAAATTCCTTCAAACCCTGCAAGGAGCAGAAATAAATAACAAAACTAGATGGAATTTTGACTGCGCGCAGTCGAAAATGATGCCTCCGCCATAGAGCAATTTAAACAAGTTTGGAGTTTAAATCTCCAGTGGTTCTCTAGATATCATGATAACAATCTCAATGTATGGAATTTCATAAGTTGACCTCTGTGACCCTTGACCTTTGACCTATGTGCTCCAAAATCTACTCAGATTGTCTTCCTATGGTGATACATACTATCCTTAAATTTGAAGTTTTTACATCTCCAGTGGTTCTTGAGATATCATGATAACAATCTCAATGTATGGAATTTCATAAGTTGACCTCTATGACCCTTGACCTTTGACCTACGTGCTCCAAAATGTAATCAGATTGTTTTCCTATAGTGATACACACTATCACTAAGTTTGAAGTTTAAATCTCCAGTGGTTCTTGAGATATCATGATAACAATCTCAATGTATGGAATTTCATAAGTTGACCTCTGTGACCCTTGACCTTTGACATACGGGCTCCAAAATCTAATCAGATCGTCTTCCTATGGTGATAAATACTATTCCCGAGTCTTGAGTTTAAATCTTAAATGGTTCTTGAGATATTGTGATAACGGTCAAATGGGACGGACGTACGGACGGACAACCCGAAAACATGATGCCTCCGGCACCACCTTCGGTGGCGGAGGCATAAAAATTGAAAGATTGGGAATGTAAGTAGCATGGATATTGTGATAATGTTCAAGCAAGTTTATTTGTTAAAACAAATTAACAACTGTAATCTAAGCGGAGATGGTTTGCCACTGAATCCAGTCGGATGGAACTACATAATTTCAGTGTATATTTTTGTTCATACAATGTTCATGACATGCATGGTATGCTACAGCATTATTCAGTTTTTGAAAAGTGGTGAATAAAACAAAATGCTCTTATACATGTAATTCTAGATATGGCAGTAGTGCATCTACTTGTAAAGACATTGAAATTTAATTTATCTTTCCATTCTCAAGGCAATGCTGCCTTTACTAAATACTTCTGTATCTGAATTACAGAGGGAATGAATTAATGGTAGATTGTTACTTAGAACCTGTATTCCTTATCCTTGTATTTACTGGATAGGACCTTTGGAAATCATCAAATAATACACACATCATGCTATCTACTCATGATATGAACATATTCAGAGAGAACTATGTCATTTATAGAACTTTAAAGAAAAAAGAACATTCTCTGTGAAAAAGAAATTGATTATCTAGAATAGTGGTTGCATTGTATATATATTGCAGGATCAATCTTTACTTGATCCTTATATTCAAAATCTACTTTTCAAGTTATAGAAAATTCAACATTTAGCAGGCAGAAAATAAGCAAATTTTGAACTGTGAGCCAAGATGACATTTCTTTTTTTTAAGCTTTACTGACATAAATTTAACCCGGATCCATTTATGTCAGTTCAGCTAGTTTAATTCTGAACTCAATGAATTATTGCTCTAGCAGTGGGTAGCTAATCAAAATAACACATTATCAAAAGTGCAAGCTGTTTTCCCTTGACCCTTGGCACAATATTGAAGATCTCTACCCCTCCCTCCCCCTCCTAAAGAAAGAAAGACAACTCACCTCTGCTAGTGTAAGTAGCACTGGATCATAGGGAATGTCTTCTGGATTACTCTCCCATTGAAGCTTGTGCTTCACTGAACCATGTACAAGCCTGTAGAAACATACACATTACACATTCAAAAAAAGAAAGCACAAAAGTCATATATATATATATATATATATATAAACAATAATGTTCAGGTGTAACAATTACAAATAAATATGTGTATAATTTTTGTGACTACTCTTTGTCAAACAAATAAGGAAGGAAGAAAACTTTTTAAATTTCAATTTGACACACTAATATAAATTATCCTTGAGTCCAATTTTCTTTACAAAATCTTTTCAGAAGAATCATATATTTTAAAGATAAATTACACCAGTTTGAACAAGATGTTATAACTAGATACATTAGACATTCTCTATTCTTGAGCATGGAATTACCAATTTTTGTAGAATGTACTTTAATTTCTTGAATGTTCTTTTTTGTAACAAAATAGAGTTGAAGTTGAACAGTTCTTAAATAAAGTAATTTAAAAGAAAATACACATTAATTTGTTCAAATAAAAAGCTTCAAAATCATACCTGCAAGGTACACCTCCACTCACATACACTGTCTCAAATGCGGACTTGGACTTTTTCTGGTTTGTGAACTGACGTTTACAACAAAAACAAAAAAATGAAAAGAAAGAGAGGAAAAAGAAAAAATAATATTTAGCCAATGATTTATCGGAATTCATAGAGGTTATGTTATTCATTTATGTGGTTCTATTTCTAGAATACATTTTGGTCTTACACCTGCCTTGTCTTATGGGCTGAGCGACTTAAGACCCAAGGGTATTGTCAATGTCATGAATGTGGTATGATGGGGGTAGTGTGTCTGGACGTTCAGCAAAAATAATGCTCTGTCTCACTTTTCCCTTTAACATTCAAACAGCACCAACCATCACAGATATATCTCCTTTATCGGTACTGAGGTGCATGTCTAATATGGGAGAACACCTATTGCCTCATTGGGAGACTGTCTCCAATATCAGAGAGTTTTGTCAAGCATTTTTGGTGGTCCATTTGGGATACCTATTTACTTTATTTACATTTGCTGCATAGGGATTATACCTCAGCTCAAAATCAAAATATGATTTGTATGTTCCTCATTAAAAATTTCTCCTTGAGGCTTGAGCCTGTCTACCTTAACCAACAGGCTCCTGACCTCAGAGAGGCAAGAGAGGCAAGAGAGGCAAGACTTTGGCAGAGAAAAATTGCCTTGTTGTAGATGTTGTTCTTTTTTTAAGTTAAATCCCCGAGTTGGGAGACAGTTGGGAGAGAGTCTCTCAAATGTATACATTTCGTTAAATCCTAAGGCAAGAAGATGGCTTTTATTTTTGTTAAAAAGCGTCCAGGACCAGGCTCCAGACACACAACCCCATCATGCTGGTTTAAATCACACATCTGACATGTGGGTCCTCGCAGAGGTAACATCATAGCATGAACACAGCTTAGTATTTAGTAATAGTTACCGGTAGTATTATGATATAAATATTAACAATATTTCAATAACAGTTTGAATTTTAATACACATTGCGCAATCTTCAAGGCCTTGAAGAAGCAGCACTTTTCTCGGAAGAAGAAGAATTAGTCTAGATTATTCAGCACATTTATCCCCCTACTTTTTTTTGTTGCTCTCACACATCTGCATTATCATTTTATCAGTATCATTCCCTAATTTAACTGTTTAAAAAAAAGTCAGGCTTTACAAGGAAAAAAATGATTTTTGATACTCACTGGATCAACTGTCTTGGGATTTAGCCTTTGAGACGGTCTAGCGGCTCCAGAACCGACAGCTCCCCCGGAACTCCCCGTACGTTTTCCATCGCCTGCTTGATTGGTACCCCTGCTGTTTGAACTAGTGCCTTTCTTCTTAGGAGGAGGTCCAAATGATGACATTTTTACAATATTACCCTTCTTTACTTGACAGAATCACCAACCATATGACAGGGAGAAATATTGTTTGCGTTGAGTCGTAAGCCACCTCATGCATTTACTGATTTAGTGAACGAAAATACTTGCAGGCTAGGCAGTAGCAAAGAGTAAAAAATACCTAACACAATTTCCTGCGCGCGCGCACGGCTAATTCTGCTGCGCTAGCGCTCCGATGAAAACACATACGAAATGCACTACGCGTACGGTACGCGGTGCATGCACGCACGAAACGCACGTACCTGGTACATTTTTCATGCATTGTGGGTATTAAACAATTTCTGTTGCCAAGGTTGCCTAGAGTACCGAAATTATGCAAAGTCTTCATCTTTTACTGTCAAAATGGATAGTAACATAAGACAACTACTGGCAGCTACTCAACAATTTGGAGGTAAGTTATGAGTGCTTAGTGTTATGTCTATGGCTTGATGCACGATAACTTTAGAAGGGGTTGATTTATGTTTGTTATTTGACGTGTCCGCACTGCCACAATATCCAGCATATGGGACTGGGTCAGTTCAAATTTGATCGCCGACGGGGCCTGGGGCGTATCGTGGGTATCGTCTGTAGGAGGCGGGGATGTATACTATATTATAAACCCATATTGGCTAAATTCATATTGATTCTGAAAGATCTAGTCCTTGACTCAAGAGTTGAGTATAAACCCTTTTAATGTTAGATCTATTAGACTCTAGATCTAGCCTATTAGATCTAGAATCTATTAAAATAAATCGTAGACCTCTGGCTCTAGTCTAGACTAACTTAGACCTAGACTATTCGTAATTATCAGACAATAATGCCAGCCCATATGTGGACATGATCATGAATAGGTATGAAGGGGTGACCAAAGTTCGGGGATATTTTTCTTTTCTTGCACATTACAAAATATCCAGATCAACATATATCACATACGTCATAAGATTCGTAATTGATCATATAATCAGATTAAAATGACATTCCAAGGCTGTATTTACTTCAAACCAATGATAAGACGAAAATATCGGAAGGCTTACCACTACCGGCGTCTGTCAAAAAGTGTGACCTAAGTTCGCGCATGATATTTACTGCCCTCTTGTGATGGGCGTTACATAGTCTATTTAAACATTCAAAAAAGGAACATAGCTTCGATCAGAAGCCGAACTTTATATTGAAACTTTGAAAAAGATAAATAATTCTCTCTATCATTGAAATTTTGCCCGAAAAAAATACCTTGTTAAATTTTTCAAATAAAAGACAATATTTTTCAATGTTTATGTGTTGATGACAATATAGTCCCTATCTGCATGTCATTTATTTGTTTAAAAAGCTTATCATGTGTCTCCTTTTTATATGTCAGCCATACATGAGTTCTCGCTCTTTTCTCTCTTTGTCTCTCCACTTTTCCCTTTTAAATTGTATTCTTACGAAACCCATAGATTCATTGTAATTCACAAACACAGATACGGTGGAAGCAGGCGCGCAGGTTCCGTTTTTTGCGTAAGAAATTGGAATTTTATCATTATTTTTCGGAGTCAATCCCTCTAATAAACTGATTTTCATATAAAAAAAACACAATGTCTTATGATAAAAAGCGTGAAAAAGCTAGCTTATTCTCATTTTTATGTCGCATTTTGACTTTTGGAGTTTTCGACGGTGCTCAAAGATTTTGTTGTCCCACACAGGCATCGCGTATCGTTCTCCTGTTATAAGCGCTTTTAGTGTTAGTACGCGAACTTTGGTCACGCGCGAACTTTGGTCACACCACCATATGTTACAATGTGTGTGCCTTCGCCATGAAGGTTTCTGCCATGGGGCTGTTATGTACTAGACCTATTGGAGACCAATTTTGATAGCCTACGTAAATGTGATCTTTTGATGGGCTGATTAGATTTAAGTTTCATGATTTCTATTGGATGAGAAGAATGACATTGTTATCTTTCATTTCATACTAAACTTTTTATGATTTATGTTTTCGGCAGTTTGTTTTGCTGCACTGTTTCACAAGAGCCGTGTTTAGTGCCATTCTGTACCCTGATCCCACCTGCAGGATTTGAAAAAAAAGTATCTAGGATGATTGGTTAACATGTGAATTTGCTTTTGGTGAAATTTCAGCAAAATCTATCGATGAGAAATATGTTTTTTTGGATGAGGAATGTGAAAATGTCATGCAAAAATGACGGCCCGATTAGCGGTTTTCATGTATTTACATACATTTTGGGGCGATTTTATGTAATGAAATAGAATCTTTCGGTCACATTTGAGATCACAACTTTTGGTTTAATAACAAAGGAAAACAAAGCAATTAAATACATGATTTCCGGGCGTTTAATATTGGCATGACTTTCTTATTACTGGGGCTATTACGATGAATGAGGCATCAAATAAAAGATCTTATCAAGCTCTGTCTAATGGCATAAAGCAAGAGCTTGAATTATGAGATTTAATTTTTTTGTAACATCCCTATCATGAATAAACCTAGACCTACATGATGATTCGTGAATAAAAAAATGAAAAAGGAAATCAATTTCGCTTTAAGATGACCCCGCTCTGCAAACATAGTGTGAATCATGTCTTACTATGAAATGTTCTCTGTTCCATTATCCATATCATCTAGTGCAAGGAAAGGGATCTTTCCTTCATCAAGCGTATGACCTGTTGAAGAGTGCTGCTGACTCTAAACCAAATCCAGATGGCCCTCTGCCATTCAACCAAGATCTCTATGTGCTGTGTGCAGAACTGGCGCTTAAGGTAGGTGTTTACAAGAAACAGATTTGACTGACCTGAAATAGAATTATTATAGATCTAGGCCTATATAACTCATATAATTATAAGGTTAATTCCAAACTGTAGTTCTTAAATCAGGAAGTTGAAATATATTCTTATAGTATATATTAGGAATTTTAGGAATCAATATTGTTCTTGTGTATTACTTAAAGATGCTTCAGACTTGTTATCAGTCACATAAATAATTCGTTCAATTTATTCCAGTGATTAGATGAAATATGGAAGCCACATGAAAATAAATGGCTCTCAATTATTCATAATTTATGTTAGTAAATCAGAGGAATATTTAATTGAAATAGCCGAAAAAATATCCTAGGTGCCATTTCACTTATTAAATGTCATAACTACAAGTTTTCTGACATCTCATTGAAATGCTAATTACCACTTGTTTCAATGGGAAGCCAGTGAAGTTCTGCAAACTTGTACTTGTGACGGCTTTACAATATGATGCCCTGATTATTGAAACATTGACCATTATAATCTTTGACATTTATACTTGGAATGTATTTGATTGTTGACTAGATAATAAACGCTTGTTTTTTTATTTTTCCTATTCCAGAATGATCTGCCACACATCACCAAGGAGTGCCTCAAAATGTTCTTCATGAAAACTCCACCGTCCAACCAATTTCTGTGTAGAGCCTACCTATGCCATGCTCAGCTGTTAGCACCTTCATCAGCTAATGACTCTGTGAGTTTGCTTGATCTGGGGGTCATTGTACTTGTACATTTAGATTGTGATCATACCAGAAAATTTGACATTTTATACCAATTTTAGTACTGTGCATTAGTAAATTAGTCATTAGAACAGGTATGGTACTTGGCAGCCCCGTCAAGAAAACAAAAATGAATAAAATAAAATGAAAGACAAGGAGAAATGGGAAAGAAAGCTAGAAGAAAATGGGGGGGGGGGGCATATGAGTGATTTATTAAAGGTAAAGTTTGACATTTGTAAGATAAAGCTATCAATTAAAAATAAATGCCACAGGTGTTAAATTGAAACATTATTCAATGTTTTGGGAAGATGAAGTAAAGGCCAAGTAATTTTTAGCAGTGTTACAAGATTTATGAACAGGAAGCACTAATATTTCTGAATGGCTTAGGGCGGTTTTATCATAATTATTTGATGAATTGCTGGACAGTGATTATCATTATTTATATTTGTATTCATTTTTCCACATTTAATTGTAAAGACTATTGCAAATTTTAGCAATGAAGAATTTCATGTTGATTTCATATTTTGTATATTTTTGTATTCTTTTACAGGCCCAGCTTGAAAAGGCGGTGGTTTACATCCAAAAGGCAATCAACTTTGCTAAAGAAAATCCAAGGTATGGTATCTGATTTATTAGTAGCCATGAGTCAGTAAATGCAGTGTAATTTTGGATTGTGTAGATGTTTACAGGGAATTATGAATTCATAGTTTGTGGGTTAATGTGTTCAAATAATGAAGACATACACAAATATCATTGTTTGAAATGTAAAATTGGGAATACCATCAACTTTAAACTTTATGCCTTAATTAGGACCAGCTATTGTTTACCATTTTCAAATGTGAACATGTGCAGTCATCATACATGGGAAGGGGTTCGTAAGTGAATTAGAGAGTAAAAAACAATTGAAATTTGTTGTCCCCCCTCCCTCAGGTACCATTTCCTTGTCTACAATGCTTCAGTCCTCTACTGGCAGTTCTGTCGACCGTTCCTGAAGCTCAACTTCCGACAGTACCTCTCCGTCAGTCTCCATCACGTCGTCAAGGCGCTGGATGATATTGAAGACAAGGACTACGAGTGGCGAGCCCAGCTTATGATAGCCCTCATTGAATGTCATGCAGACGCAGGTCGGACCAAGGAGGCTGCGGAGGTCAGCAAGGCCACTGCCGAGTTCACCAAGACGCACGTCCCACTCCTCTACAAACAAGTTATAGCTCTCCAGGTGAGTTTTTACATCAAATTTAAAGACAAACATATCAATAGTAATAATTGTTAGATCTTATAAACCACTTTTTTGTGCAAATACATAATTTTTCTTTTTCCAAACTGCTAACTTTTAAAAGCCCCTCTAATGTGTTGGGAGTCCCAAAAATTTGATGGCAAAATTTCATTATGAAAAAAATTTAAGTGAAATTTTGCCATTAAATTTTGGGGAATTTTAGAGGGGCTTTTAGTATGTTGAATTCATTCTTTTTCATCTTGATTATGATTTTTTGGTCAGTAAATGCTACTTTTTTTTTTACTTACCAGGTTCGTCACCAGCTTGTGGATATGACCAAACTTCAGAAGGATCTCAGATCAAGCGGTGAACTCACTGTTTATTTCAAGCTCATGAGATTGAGAGTGTAAGTATGCCCTTTGCAACTGATACATTTTGTCAGAATAGAAATAGAAGTGTAACTCTTGAACTACAGAGGCTTATTTGTAAACATTCTTAAATATAATGCTCTTTAAAAATAAAATATATGACCTTCATTGTTAATTCAAATTATTTGAATTTCAGGAGGCCTACTCAAATTGAATTTCTGATGAGAACATATATTATGATAACCCAATAATATTAATCCATTTAATTTATAATTCACTGAACAATATTTTAAAATGGTCTTTAAAAACAAAATCTTCAGTGAGATTTTGCTTGGAAAATGAGCTTCTCTTATGTTCCACATTTGAACTTGAATTTTGTACAACAGGGCCAAATTCTCCCTAAACTGCATTGTATGATTATATTTGTAGTGCTTTTGAGCAGGGTGAAATAACCGACCATTCACCTCATCTGGAGCGGATACTGAAGAACATTGTGCACGACGAAGACTTCTCTCGAGCCTCGAGTTCCATGAGCGCGGCTAGTGGCAGAAAGACAGCAACACCGACTACTACTGAAGAAAGGTAGGATCAAAGCTGATCTATTAGGCATTGAGATAGGTTTATATATGGCTAGATATAAAGCAAATAATGAACATCCTGTGTGTATTTGTATAGTATGCATGTTTTTGTGTTAGTTTGAGGTAGTAACATTAATGTAGAGCTACATTTAAGGAGAATTTTTAAATGATATTGGTTTCAGCATGTGTGTTTGACCATTTCTTCTATCTTCTATATTTTAGTCAATAAATATTTGTGAATTAACATTGTTTAATGCTATCTTGCATGTATTCCAAAATGTTGTGTTGTTTATGATTGTATGAATGGAATGTTTTTGGTCTTATTCGTTGATAGGATGACACTTTTCAAATTTTGAGTTCAAATGCATCTGTAATCTCTTAAAAAGGAAATGACAACAAATAAACATCTGTATGTTTATCAATGCAGTGTCCTTAAAACATGAGAAGTTGCAAATGTGTGTTAATAACTAATAGTGTAGAGCTTAATCTGCTTTCTCTGAAAAAAAGTATATTAGAAAACTGAAATATCTCCAGAAATGTGCTGTTTATATATTCATATTTTATTTTCCCCTATGCTAGTTGACTTCTGAAAGAAAACATATCTAATCCGCAGCTTTCTTAAAAACAAAGTTTAGTTCTCATTTGAAATAGGTGAAGCCTAGACATTCATGACTGTTTGATGTTAACAACAATTAACAGCTTAGAAAGTTGCTTGCTCTAATATTGAACAATTTATGCTAGTTTTTGGTGTCTGTATATCTAATCTTTTGCATCAAATTTATATAGTATTTTGTGTTTGTTAGTAATATTTCTCTTTGTATAACTTTGTTATTGTTCATTCTAACTTGTTCATACTTCATCCTTGTTTGCTGTTATATATTCTCCCCCTACACGATGATCTAGGAATAGGTCATCTGCTTCCGCCCAAGGATCGGGCGAAGGGTCGAGCTCCCCTTCCATAGCTTCTATTATACGCATGGCCAACACTGCCAACGAGGTGTAAGTTGTTTCTCTCCCTCCCTCCCCCCCCCCCCCCCCCCCCCCCCACACACACACAGAACATGGTTCATGGGTTGCGGTTATCCTTCACTGTATTTATCCCCAATTCCACCCCTCCCCCTTTCCTTTTAATTCTTGCTACACCCTTAACAATTTTAAATGACCTAAATATGAGGTGCCTTGATGGTTATAGGAAACATGCTCCTGTGACATCATCTCCTTGGTCAGTTTCTAATGCTAAACAAACTCATATAACATTACCCTGTATCAACACTAACCCTAACCCTATCAGTAACCTAAAAGCCCAATTGCAACCCTAACCCTGACCAATGACCATATATCTTTGATGAAATAAAACCCGAGCAGATGTCGCTGGATCACATGTCGGCTTATCTCCTTGATGTATGATTCATGGTAGAAATTTAGTTGATTAGTTAGATATCTTGACATGAGATGACGATGTTTGCTGAGAACGGACATTCGTTGTGTAATATTTCATACTCAATTGGTTCATAGCTTTTATTTTGTACATGTAAAAACCTCTTCTTTCAAGGAAGAAAGAAAAAACCTTAATTTTGTTTTTGCCATGATCATCAAAGCACCTCTCGTATAATCCTCAGCTAATATTTATAATGTTATAATTTAACATTTTATATTATAACACTTGTATATATATTGTACTCTGTTCATTCTGTGCATGACTTTATTTCAGTCCATATCTGTTGAGAGCCAAAAGGGCATTAACTCTTTGTGTAAAGTATAAGAGTTAACACTTTCTTGGCTCTAAAATGTCATCTTGTTCCTTAACCATTCTACATTATCTTACCATGATTTCCATGTTTAATTTTTTATGCAGCACTAGTCCAACTGATGAGCCCGTATCATCTGGGTAAATTGCGTTTCTTTCCAAATGAATAATTTTTACGATTAAGTGGTATGGGTCTTTGTAATATTTTTCCTTCAAAATCATCTTGTTTTTGGCTGTCTCTTGTCTATTTTTAATTCGGTCCAACTGATGAGCTTGTATCATCTGGGTAAATTATGTATTTTTTTCAAATTAATAGTTTTTACAATTAAGTAGAACTGGGTCCTTGTGATATTTTTCAAAATTATCTTGTTGCTGCTGTCCCTCATCTATTTCTGTATTCAGTCCAACCGATGTGTTGGTATTTTCTGGGTAAAATATATTTCTTTTCAGAATTAACAGATTTTATGATTAAATGAAACTGGATCCTTATGGTATTTCTCCTTCAAAAATATTTTGTTTGTGGCTGTCTCTCATCTATTTTTGATTCAGTCCAACTGGTGAGCTTGTATCATCTGGGTAAATTATGTTTCTTTTCGGGATTAACAGATGTTATGATTAAGTGAAACTGGGTCCTTATGATATTTCTCCTTCAAAATTCTCCTGTGGCTGTTTCTTTTCTACTTTTGATTCAGTCCAACTGATGAGCTTGTATCATCTGGGTAAAGTTTGTTTCTTTTCTAAATTAACAGTTTTTATGATTAAATGGAACTGGGTCCTTGTGATATTTTTCCTTCAAAATTATCTTGTGGCTGTTTCTTTGTTTCCTTTTTGATATTTTTAATTCAACTTTAAACTTGAGTATGCTGTAGAAGTGTTATGGGGCCTGTATTTTTCCTTTTTTTTTTACTTCCTTGTTTCGACATTTCGACATTATCATATCGTCTGTTGGGAGCCTGAAGGGCATTAATAATAATGATAATTCCGATTTATTCAGATTTCATGTCCCTGTTGCTCTGATACGATGTTATCATGATTTTCTATATTTGATTTTTACACAGCGCTAGTCCAACCGATGAGCTTGTATCATCTGGGTAAATTGTGTTTCTTTTCCAAATGAATAGTTTTTACGATGAAGTGGAACTGGGTCCTTGTGATATTTTTTCTTTCAAAATTATTTTGTTGTGGCTATCCCTTGTCTATTTTGATTAATTTTGAAGCTTTGGTATGTTGTATAATTTTTGGAGAGAACTTGTGTTTTTTTTTGTTTTTGTTCACTTTCTACTTTGGACAGGAAAGTGGTTATTCTACACTTTTAAGATTGTTATTATTGATATTTTTTGTAATTCTGGTTTTGCACTTATTTGGGGAATTTTTTTTGTTTTTCAGGTTTTGTCTTTTTGACGATGAATGATCGAAAAACACGTCAGAAATTTGCATGACTGTTAAATTTTGAGTGACAAAACGGGTATGAGGATTGTATGCATCTGCATCTGAATGAATGAAGCTTCATAACGTGAGGTGTAAAAATGTGAAATGTCATTATTTCCTCCAAATTAACAAATAATATTGCCTTTTAAATCCAACGATCCAATATTCACCAAATTGCAAAAACTGACTGTTTTCCAAAGCAAACCTATATATGCAAATATTTCACTTGTTTGTTTCTAAATTTCATTCCTTGCCAGGTCACCAAAACTTGACCCACCTGTGTAAGTTGAAGACATCATAGATTTTTGCATGTGCATCTATTTAGAGCAGGTCTTTAAAATTTGTAGAATCTGATAGAGTAGCCTGTACATATACTTTGATATAAAATATGTAGCTTGTCGCATGTTTAGCTGTATATGTAAACTTTCCCCTTTTTATTCTGCTACATTTTTTAGCAATAAAAGGAGATTTATATTTCAAATTAATATTATGGAATGTTCAATTTAGGTCTAGTTTCTTATTTTGTAGTACAGTTTAGAACTTGGTATGCACAGTGCAAGGATGTGAATAATGTAGACTTTAGTTAGCATTCATGTTTTTTTTCTCTAGTGATGCTCTACTAGATTCTTTTGTCAGCCTTTTCAAAAGAGATAAGAAATAATGCTCATCACAAGTTTCTTGTCTTTGTTGATATTTTTTCTTTGATTCAACATACATGTACATCATTCTCAGAATGCAGTATTTGTCTTATTCACTCATTTGCCCTTTATATGCTGTGCAATATATCACATACAGTATTTTCATGCATACAGATCATGACATTTTTCACAGCCTTGGTATAAAAGTTTTAGATCTGTCCATTTCAACTTAATCATATTCATTAAACTAACGCTATAGACTGGAGTTGACATAACAGTTTTCATGCACTGTTTGACACTTCCCAATAGCCTATCACTTTATAAAAGCTGCACACATTACTTTTCTACTGTGAAGTACTTACAACTCTTAACAACAATAAAAATCAAAATATATACTAGTAAAGTGATATTATTTTTGACTGTAGTGGAATTTAATTTTACTAAAAATCTGTTTGTGAGTTAGAACATTTTTTGATTCGCACATTTGGTAAAGGCCATAAAGTTAAAGGAAACCAAAACCTTCATACTAAGTTACTTTTATTGTAAAGTTTAAAAGATTTGAATAAAATAAGTGACAATTTGAACAAAATCGGGCAAGGAATAAGGAAGTAAGAGCTTTTTGAAATGACTAGTCACTAGAGGGCGGTATTCAATTTGATGACATCATCTGTGAACAACTCTCCATGCCTTTTGTACATAAAATTTCACAATTTTTTTGTTTTCTTCGTATTTATTTGTGTTCCTGATCCGACTTCATTACATGTGAAGTAGAATATCATTTTGCATTCTATATCTTGCTTTTGGGGGAATACATTATCTCAATCACAAGAAAGGAGGAAAAACATGAAATTTGATGTACAAAAGGCATGGAGAGTTGTTCACAGATGATGTCATCAAATTGAATACCGCCCTCTAGTGACTAGTCATTTCAAAAAGCTCTTACTTCCTTATTCCTTGCCCGATTTTGTTCAAATTTTCACTGATATTTTACAAATATCTTAAACTTTACAATAAAAGTAACTTAGTATGAAGGTTTTGGTTTCCTTTAACAGAAATCTGTTGGTAAGTGCTTTTGCTTTTTTCTGCTGATAGCCAAATGAACTAAGACAGTAACAGCATCAAAATTCAATATTATATAAAAGATTATATGTGTAAACTTTGTAATTATTTCGAATCCATGGCTTTGCCTTTTGAAACTCTTATTAAGTAACCATAAAAGAGCATTATCTCAAAAGCACATCTGTTTGTTATTTGCATTTCCATTGAAAAAGATATAGTTGCTGCTATACCTCACTAATAACACTTGATGTTTAAAAAACAAGACAACAAAATATGTATATTTCTCCAGCAGTCAAGTTATATATTTTTAGTTTCTACCTTCTGATTGGAGCCTGCTAGTAGTCTCAAAAATCACCACTGAGATGATATAAATATTTTACAAATATTTACATCTTGACAATTTTTGAAATATCTTTAATTTTTGTGGCTTTTTTGCTTCAAAGCTTGAACATTTTAGCTCAATTCTGGTTCTTGGTCTTCTTTCCTATGCTTTATTTATTCTATGCATGCATGTGCTCACAAAGACTTATATATTCCTGCTTTTTTATTTTGATTATTTCACTTCTAATCCTGCTTCATGGCAATTGCATGCTGTCATGTAGCAAGTCTATTGCGTCTAAATGGAAAGCAGCTCCCGTAGCCCCTGTCAATAGGGATAAAAAGTAAGTTAATTGGTGTGTGATATGATAACTGCTGTGTGCATCACTTCTTCTCAACCACTACTGTAAGAAACATTGAGATAAAACAATGTGAATGATGAAATGGTATGAAATATGGTGATATATGTTCTATTTTGATGATGTGTGCAATGTGAGAATGTGGTGGTGTGCGTGTGTGTGTGTTGATGCATGTTTTTGTAAGTTATGATGCCAAATGTATACTTTACATTGCTTTTACAGCTATTTTTACATACTATATGTCTATATTATATTATTTTATGCTTCAGATATATCACAGTGAACTACCAATACTACAGTCATCAGGACTTGCATGTTCTTGTAAAAAAGCATGTTTCTATTACTTATCTATATATAAAGCACTGTATGGTAATAACGTACTGTATGAGCATTGTTTATTGTTTTGTGTAACTTGTCTTTCAGGTAAACTTGTTTTCTTTGCACAGCTTTATGAAAGAATCATATTTCCACCTGAAATATATACATATATATATATATAAATATTTGTTACAGTTTTGATTTTACTTTGAACATATCTGATTTTGATTGGAAGTTACAATATCATGATATGCTTTTTCATACATGCAGTGTTTACATTGCTTTAGCAGACCATCACACACAACAGGAATAAGCTCAACATATGGCATGATAAAATCATATCAATTTATGTCATTTAAAAGGATCTACCATAGGCAAAAAAGTATTGAACATACTTCATTTGTTTCCAAACTTTTTTACTTTGTAATTAATCGTTTAAAGCTTGTGAGAACAATACATGATGAATTACAAACATTGGTTTAGTGCTAAATGTAATTTAGCTGATTACATTCATATACCTGTTTCATTGCATTAACTCTGTAGTGTTGTAATTATATTACCACACAGGTGAATATTACCATTTCAGGGCACGTACCTACCAGGGTAGCTATCACCCCCTATCATCCACTTGACTACCCCCTTTGCCCCCCCCCCCCCCCTCTCCTCAGCTATTTCTTAGGACAAACAGTGTATACATACACCATAGACCGATGGTTAGTTGTCTCTGGGGGTAGTTGTCCAGCAGTTAGATGTCCAGGGGGAATTGAATGTCACCGTAGTAGTTGATAGCAATGGTAATGGAGTATGAATGAAATCAGCTAATTAGTAGGTTTACATTGAGATATTGACTGTATATGTGCCCTTGTCCACTTCAGAGCGTCATTGTTACTAGACCTGGCCCGTCTCTGTTCTGAATACAACCTGCCTGATCTCCTAGCCAGGACTCTGGATGCCATGAAGAACTTTCCTCTCAAGGTCAGCACAAGAATTCAAGTCCATTTCATGAAATTCATGATACATATTTTTTAATGAACCTGTGAAAAGAGCATGGGATTGGGAAATGGGTGGCATTAAGAGGGAAAGATATGGAAAAGAACGAAAGCAGTGAGGTATGGCCTGAATGAAGAGGATGCTCAAGATAAGAAGAAGTTGGAGAGAGGGAGTGTTATCAGGGTGCGAAAATCAGTGACCCCTCGTAAGATGGAAAATGCTGAACTTGATAAATGTTTATGATGGTAATGATAATGATGATGAATTGTAATTGTAGAAGCTTTGAGAAAATCGTGTTGCTCTTCTGAATTTTCAAAAACATGGATGTGGTTTGAAATCTGGACATGATGCTCATGTCCATTACATTTGGTATTAGAGTTGTACAAGTGAAGAAATGCATGAATAGAAAATGTCACAAATGCTTTTGGTTTTAACCGTTATGATTGACAGGACAAAGGTGCATTCTTTGAGATGGAGTTTCTCCAATGTGACCTGATGGTTAGAAACCTACTGGACAAACAGGAAACTTACAACAAGAATGCAGTGGAGGTAAGCAAATGGTTAAATTAGCAAAATATTTATGTCGATTATCCCCTCTCCCTCTTCCTTCTGCCCATTTTAGATTTTGAAGCTGGTTTACTAATTTTTGTTCAGTTTGATATTGACAACAGGGCTCGAATTACCCACCGGCAATCGGCAATTTGCCGCCATGCCCCTCTCACTGGCCGGAATGCCCTTTTCAAAGTCAAACCGTTTACGGCCACAATATTTTAATCCACAAAAGTTTTGCCGTCATTATAGTCATCGTAAGCCAACCCGACTTGTAATGTTCAAAAAGGTTTTGTTGCCCATACGGAGCTCTAAAAACAATGATAGTCGGCAAGGTTTTGTTGCCCCTCCGGAGCTCTAAAAACAATGATAGTTGGCAAGGTTTTGTTGCCCCTCCGGAGCTCTAAAAACAATAAATACCGGAAGGTTTTGTTGCCCCTCCGGAGCTCTAAAAACAATGATAGTCGGCAAGGTTTTGTTGCCCCTCCGGAGCTCTAAAAACAATAATAGTCGGCAAGGTTTTGTTGCCCCTCCGGAGCTCTAAAAACAATATTTATCGGCAAGGTTTTGTTGCCCCTCCGGAGCTCTAAAAACAATAATTACCGGAAGGTTTTGTTGCCCCTCCGGAGCTCTAAAAACAATAATAGTCGGCAAGGTTTTGTTGCTCCTCCGGAGCTCTAAAAACAATATTTATCGGCAAGGTTTTGTTGCCCCTCCGAGGCTCTAAAAACAATAATTATCGGAAGGTTTTGTTGCCCCTCCGGAGCTCTAAAAACAATAATTATCGGCAAGGTTTCGTTGCCCCTACGGACCTCTAAAAACAATAATAATCGGCAAGGTTTTGTTGCCCTTCTGCAGCTCTAAAAACAATAATTACCGGAAGGTTTTGTTGCCCCTACGGAGCTCTAAAAACAATAATAATCGGCAAGGTTTTGTTGCCCCTCCGGAGCTCTAAAAACAATAATAGTCGGCAAGGTTTTGTTGCCCCTCCGGAGCTCTAAAAACAATATTTATCGGCAAGGTTTTATTGCCCCTCCCGAGCTCTAAAAACAATAATTACCGGAAGGTTTTGTTGCCCCTCCGGAGCTCTAAAAACAATAATAGTCGGCAAGGTTTTAATGCCCCTCCGGAGCTCTAAAAACAATATTTATCGGCAAGGTTTTGTTGCCCCTCCGAGGCTCTAAAAGCAATAATTATCGGAAGGTTTTGTTGCCCCTCCGGAGCTCTAAAAACAATAATTAACGGCAAGGTTTAGTTGCCCCTACGGACCTCTAAAAACAATAATAATCGGCAAGGTTTTGTTGCCCCTCTGGAGCTCTAAAAACAATAATTACCGGAAGGTTTTGTTGCCCCTCTGGAGCTCTAAAAACAATAATTACCGGAAGGTTTTGTTGCCCCTACGGAGCTCTAAAAACAATTATAGTCGGTAAGGTTTTGTTGCCCCTTCCGGATCTCTAAAAACAATAATTATCGGCAAGGTTTTGTTGCCCCTCCGAGGCTCTAAAAACAATAATTACCGGAAGGTTTTGTTGCCCCTACGGAGCTCTAAAAACAATTATAGTCGGCAAGGTTTTGTTGCCCCTACGGAGCTCTAAAAACAATTATAGTCGGCAAGGTTTTGTTGCCCCTCCGGAGCTCTAAAAACAATAATTACTGGAAGGTTTTGTTGCCCCTCCGGAGCTCTAAAAACAATAATTACTGGAAGGTTTTGTTGCCCCTCCGGAGCTCTAAAAACAATTACCGGAAGGTTTTGTTGCTTCTCCGGAGCTCTAAAAACAATAATAGTCGGCAAGGTTTTGTTGCTCCTCCGGAGCTCTAAAAACAATATTTATCGGCAAGGTTTTGTTGCCCCTCCGAGGCTCTAAAAACAATAATTATCGGAAGGTTTTGTTGCCCCTCCGGAGCTCTAAAAACAATAATTATCGGCAAGGTTTTGTTGCCCCTACGGACCTCTAAAAACAATAATAATCGGCAAGGTTTTGTTGCCCTTCTGCAGCTCTAAAAACAATAATTACCGGAAGGTTTTGTTGCCCCTACGGAGCTCTAAAAACAATAATAATCGGCAAGGTTTTGTTGCCCCTCCGGAGCTCTAAAAACAATAATAGTCGGCAAGGTTTTGTTGCCCCTCCGGAGCTCTAAAAACAATATTTATCGGCAAGGTTTTATTGCCCCTCCCGAGCTCTAAAAACAATAATTACCGGAAGGTTTTGTTGCCCCTCCGGAGCTCTAAAACAATGATAATGGGCAAGACTTTATTGCCCCTGCGGAGATCTAAAACAATAATTATTGGCGAGACTTAATTTCCACTATGGAACTCCTAAATTAATTGGCGGGACTTAATTGCCGATACGGAGATATGAAAGAATGTCTTCATCCAAATGACTGAAACGTTTGGCACAAAAACCGTAATGACTCAGGCTTAGTTTTTCAATCCATCCTTTTTATTTGAACCAATCAATATCGGGAAGTTTTGTTTACCCATCGTTGGTTCAACATCTTTACTTCGCGTTGTGACCTTTTTTGGTGCGTTTTCACAGTTTTTAATCAGTGAAAAACTTGGATTTTTCTCGGGAGGAGGGTCTGGAATTAAATCAGAAAAGGATTAAGAGTCGAGATAATGGTACAAAGAATCGTCTTCTTTCCCATACGTTTTAATTAAAACGTCATAGCTTCCGCCCATCGCGCGGGAGGGGAGTGAATTGAGTTCAGAAAAGTATAATACCGGTAGTCGAGATCGAGACGAATCGTCTTCTTTCCCTAATAATTTGTTAAAAACGTCTAAGCTTCCGCGCTTCCCTTGGAATTCAGAAAAGGATAAAGAGTCAAGAACGGTACAAAGAATCATCTTCTTTCTCTAATAATTCAATGAAACGTCAAAGGGGGAACCCCCCCCCCCCCCAATTTTTTTTTTGAAAAGCATTTTAAAGAGAAATAGAAAGAAAGAGAGCAAGAAAGAAAAAATAGTTAACTACCAGTTTCTCAACAAAATAAGGTATCAAAAATTGCTCATCTGATCGTAATTAAACGCCTAAAACCCCTGAGCTTCCGTGGGCTCTGCCCCCGGGACCCAACCAAGGGCCCTTTGGCAGGCCTCTTGATACTCATCTAACTGCAATTTAGTGCCTAAAACCCTTGATCTTCTGGGAGCTCCGCCCGCTGGACCTCACGCCAATCAGTGTCCTGCCAGTGTCACAAATAAAGTATAAAAACATGTTCATCTGACCGTAATCAAATGCTTAAACCCCTGAGCTTCCGGGGGCTCTGCCCCCTGGACCCCACCGGATGCTAATCTGACGGTAATGTAATGCTTTAAATGATTTAATGAAACGTAAAAGCTTCCGAGCTTTGCGGGGGAGGGGGGGGGGATGAATTTAGACGAGGATTAAGAGTAAAAAACGGTACAACGAATCCTCTTCTTTCTCTAATGATTTAATGAAACGTAAAAGCTTCCGCGTTTTGCGCGGAGGGAGGGGAACTGTATTCAGACGAGCAGGCACGTACGCAGGGGGGAGGGGGAGGGGGTTTGGGGCGTTCAACCCCCCCCCCCCTTCGGTTTTTTTTATGTCTGTATTTTAGAGCAAACCCCCCTTTTTTTTTAAATGAAAACACAAAAAAAAAAAAAATTATGCCAATGGCTGATCTAAAAAAGGTGATCTCACCCCCCCCACCCCTCCCCCCCACCCCAAAGGGAACAAAATGTCAAATTTTCAAATTTCGAGACCAAAAAAAAAGAAAAAAAGTGTCCTCTTACCCCCCCCCCCCCCCCCCCCCCCCCCCCCCGCTTATTCAGCGGCTGGCTGAGTCGTTGCGATTTTTTGGGACAAAAAAAAAAGGTGGGCCCCCCCCCCCCCCAAGGAAGAAATCCTGGATCCGCCCCTGGGTGCACATATCCCCCCCCCCCCCCCACCTTGAAAACAACGGCGTGAGGTGATTTTACGCGCACTTTCCACGTTGGCCTTAGTGCCCCTTAGGATAGATTTGTGCCCCTTTCAGTGGATTTGTGCCCTCTCAAAAAAGTGGCCTTGACCCAAATTTGATGTAATTCGAGGCCTGTGACAATGTTATCTATATTGAGAATTTAGTACAATGATTGTGGAATGGAGAAAGCTCAAGTTATTTCATCTCATACTTATGACTACCATTGCCTCAGAAACTAAGGAAAGTAAATAGGAACAATCTGAATATATAAATGTGCAATCTAATAGCAATGCAATATTCTTTTCTCTGTTTTTGGCCAAGGAAATTGAGCATGAATGAACATTTAATGATGCCAATATCCTTGACACTGCAAGATGGTCAAGTACAAAATGTATCCAAAATGTAAATAAACTGTTTCTGTTCACTCTCATTTACAATACCATATTTCAAGTTGATCATATTCTTGAAATACCATGATTTACATTGTGTTTTTGCTTTCAGGTTCGTCTGCATGCCATAGATCGTGTAAGCGAGGCCGTCATGAACGCGGTCCGTCACGGTGATCCTAACATCATACAGGCTGGCTGTGTGACCCTGTGGAATGTCTGCTTACCTCTGCTACAGTTGAACCTCAGGGGTCAGCTCAGGAAACCCCTCACACTCCTTGCCGAGTCCCTGGAAAATATTCAGAGGTATGGACTTGATTTTGCTGTAGTCTTCAAAGTACAGAGTCTTCATTGAGGATAAAAGCCCAATTGATGATCCCTTGCTCTGTCAACACTTGCTATATGCTTTGTGTCTTTAAAGATATAGGGTTAGCGCTTAGACTAATTACAATTGGCTTTTTCGGCTAGGTTCAGTGACAAGAGTTAAAGGCATCGTTTAACAATGTTAAATCTGAGATGCGTGGTCCTAAGTGTTAGTGTCTGTAATATGGTGTAATATTGAAGCCCTAACAAAAATTGCGCTTCAAAATGATCATGAAGTGCCTCAAAAAGTAAAAATCTTTAAGTGACCGGTTTTACAATACTCATTTTCCCCAATAGACTGTAGTGTCATAAAAACCGTTAGGAAAATGAAAAATGAAATTTGATTTCCAATCGTAAATATCTTGATAATCAGACAGGTAATCGGCTTGTAAACATCATGGGATTCCTGACCGACCTAAAGGTTTATACTTATGATTGCAGCATGAGCTAAATCCAGGATTTTGTTTCAGAATCTAAGGCAAGGTTACCGAGTTACTTTAACATACAGTGTTGTATACAGGGTTAAAATTTTGAAAATATAATGTTTTATGATTTGATTGTCTTTTGTTTAGTTTACTGATCCTGCTGCGGTGTCAGATGCATACTGAGTTAGCTAAATGTGAAGAAGACATGGAACAGATACAAGTGGCTATGGAACATCTGAAAAAGGTAACAGTATGATGAAAGAGGCTGAAAGAGTGAGATAGAAGGGGAGAGGTACGAGGTAAAGTGAGATGGAGAAAAGGGGGAGGGGTAGAAAATAGGGAAAGAATGCAAGAGAGATGTCAAGAAAGAGAGATAACATGAAGATATAGAGTCGTAGGGAGACACACAAACAGGCAGAGAGAAAGAGTGAGAGAGATAGAGTGAGAGTAAGAGAGAGAGAGAGAGAGAGAGAGAGAGAGAGAAAGAGAGAGAGAGATAGAGAAGGGAAAAAAAGGGGTGGGAGACATACAATATACGAAACAAAGTAGGTAGGCAGGCAAATAAAGAGAAACACAGAGAGAGTAGGAAATGGGAAGAAAAAGGCTTGCTAGGATATCACGCAGTTGGTGTCAACGATCATAATATGAAAAACAGCTGTGTATATCAGATTATTTTACTGTTCTCTGATTTTTATTTTTCCACAGGCTCTGAGTCTTGATGATGGAGGACATTACCATGAACGTCTAGAGACGTCTCTTCACCGCCTGGAGCTGAGAGCTGAGCTTTACAAGCCACCAGAGAGACTGGAGGATCAGGCTGCTATGATCATTGAACAGGTAGCTAGACCATCATGATTGATTAATCCTTTCAATCTCTACGGCAAGATTCACCATATGAAAATCATGGGAATTTAGTGTTCACCATAGTGTGGGAGAAATTTCAATGTATTGATTACATCTTAATTAATTTCTCTGATTTTATGATGAACACAATATGTACACCTCAATTCTGAATTATTGGTAAGGTTTTGTTTTGTTTATGATTCTCCCTATGGAAATGATATTCAAATTTATTTATTTCTGAATATTGTGCAAATGAGATTAAAAATAAGGAGGCACCAATTCGTTGATATGATATGACTTTTTCATGTAGCTGTCTATCAAGGAAGCCATTATAAGCTAATGTGTATAAAAGAACCTTGGGACCTGTGGCTTTAAGCCCTGTTCAAGGGACTTTGTAGTTCAGGATTAAGATCTTGCAATTGGGCGTTAGTGCGTTGACTTGCATCAAACCACTGTATACTGAGTCATTAGACCTCCTTATTTAATAAATAAGACACCATGCTTTTGATTGTTCCCCTTGACTTCATTTGCAGGCAAGAACAAGTGCTGATTCTGGAACTGTCCTGATGAAGCGGTCACTGTTGGTCAAGGCCGGACAGGCCCTGTCTCCGGATGCCTTCATGCTGGTCCTAGAGAGTGAGAGAGCACCTAAAGGTAGGTAACCCTTAAAGCCTGGGTAGAGACTGGGCTGGGCTGGGCTGGACTGAGCCTGGGCAGAGTCTCACAATACCATCAGATGTACAAGTCTGTGACAATTACCCATTGAAAGGTGTGTTAATTTCCGACAAGTGGTTCAAAAGGATATCGGCGAACTTGTACTTATGGCGGTTTGGTAAAAGAATGTCATGATGTTCATCATGATAGCCAATAATTACATATAGATATTGAAACCTCCTGTGTCTCCAGTTTTACACCCCTGAAATCATGAATATATTTTCAAGAGATAAGAAGTGATTTTTAATTCTTAACCCCTTGACTACTGAATTCTCTAATTCACTTTAATAGGCTAAATACAGTGACCACCAAGTTCTGTATGGCATGGATTAAATGTAGGCCTATTGATAAATTGGCAAAGAAATATCTTCTTTTAGAATAACCTTCACAATGCATGTCTCCATTTCTGCTTCAGGATACTCCCAAACCTGTATTAAATATAAGATTTAAATTCATAGTTGGATGGAAGAAGTTATTGGAGTTATTTCAGTCCATCAGTCATGTCCCATGGAAACATTGATTTTACACTTTTTGTAGTGAGTTCAAATTGATAAAGAGAAGCATTGAATTAGGCATGTGCTTTTACTTGGATACTATCATCATAATTTTCCTCAATATGTAGCTGGAGGGCGTGGTGCTGATTCCATCATAGCTCAGCTTGGTGGCAAGGCTAGGAACTTCAAGAAGAGTACTAAGAAAGCCATTGGACACATCAAGAGAATTTGTAGTGAGAATGAAAGGGAAAGGTAAGTCATCATCAATGGCTGTTTTGGGTAGGAGATCATTAGGCCTGTCGTCATCAGCCCGCCGCAGTTGCAATTAGCGGGATATTTGGTTGTGAAAATATCCTGAGATATCTTGGTCTTGCTTCCAAAATATCCCGCTATTTTACCAAATAGTGGGCTAATTAATTTGGGCCCATCCAAGCTAGTTTGTGATGAGCATATCGGTCTGGTGAAGACGCTATTTAGAATTTGGGGATAATATCCTGAATCTGAAAATACAGGTTATTTGGCAAACTCAAGCTGATGAAGGCAGGCCTATTGTTAGAATTAATGCTGCTCATTTATATCCTTCATTGGTTTAGCAATTAATTTTCATTACCACCCTAGGGAAACAGATGAGCGATAGAGAAAAAAAGGAAAAGTATACCACATCGCTAAAACTTCTATAGAAGAAAGGCAACATAAAAATGCAAGGAACCAAGGGACCTGTGGCTTCGACTCTTAAGACCAATTTACATGTACATTTTGTAGAGTAAGAGCTATTGTGTAGGTTAGAGAGATTTCATTCGTTTGTATCATCTAACAAATATCATATAACTTCTCTGCTGAATTGCATTATGAAATCTAACTGGCTGGATTAACCTTTAAAACGCAAATCCCTGTGATTTTCTTCCAGGGCCCGTCTGTGGGGAGACCTTGCCAAGACTGCTCGTAAGCAAGAGGTTTGGGATATCTGTCGTGTAGCAGCCCGCTTCTGCCTTCTCTACGACGATGATCGCTGGAGCAAACCTCAATCTCCTTCCAGACCAGAAACACGCCAAGAAAAGTGAGTATTGTTTGAAAATGTAGAGATAGCAAGAACAAGATTTGATTTGAGATCTACCCTTCTCATTTCCTACCTACAAGGCAATGATCTGTGCATTATTGTAACATTGTTGATACTCACATAGAAAATAGTAATAAGGTTGTTTTAATCATTATTCTCAGTCTTGTTGAGAGCGGCGAGTAAGGGGCATTTCCTATTCATAAGCAGAATGGCTTAGTATCTAAAGAATCTTCATAATCAAAGAATGATCATGGTGTTTGTGACCAGCTTACGCGAATAAGTAAAGCCAGTGTTTTGTGTAATCTTGCCCTTCCCCTGTTCCAAATAAGTAGGATAGGTACGTATGGTTTAACACACTGTCCCTTTAAAAGGATGCTAAATGGAAGTCCGATCTAATTCTATGTGGCAGTCATACCTTCAGCACATCAAGAATGCTCTATAATTCCCCGACAAGCCATACCTGACATATCAGGACACCTGCTAACTTAGTCGGTTGTACAAGAAAATAATAATAATAATAAATTTAATTTATATAGCGCTTAATACAAATGTCTCTAAGCGCTTTACAAAGATATTATTACCCCGGTCATTGGATTCAGTGCTTACCCGCACACAATGTGTGCACAATCTCCACTCCCTGGGGAGCATTCCAGCCAGGCGTTACATGACGCTCAAAAACTGTTTGACCAACAATGACGGTCGCATCCTACCGGGTACCCATTTAACACCTGGGTGGAGAGTAGCAAGTGCAGGTTAATATCTTGCCAAAGGATATTAGTGCCGTGTCGGGAGTCGAACCCTCGACCTTCGCATCTCCAAGTCAAGCGCCTTAAACCACTCGACCACGACACTCCTACTGTCAAGAAAAGAGGCTGGAGAGTCACAGTGATATACTTTGCTTTTCCCATTCAAGACAAATGAGGAATTTGCTGATTGATCTAAAGCGATAACAAGTTTCATTCTTGTCTAACCTAGTTCTAGTGTTGCCAGTGACCATCCACCCACCTCTGAAACACCAACGAGTCGTAAGAAGTCCCAGAACACCATTGTTGCTGAACCGGTCCTGGGCTTGTCGGACAAGGATCTCGTCCGTATGCTCGCTGAGGTTCATTTTCTCAATTCAGAGGTAAGCAAGATGGCGCTTTTCTTAGGTCTCTCTCTCTGTATGTGATGTTAAAATTCCATGCAGTATGGTTTTTGGAGTCATGAGGCATAGATAGTATCTTCAGTTGTAGTATCTCATGGACTTAAATTGTAAATCTGAAGGCTGAAAATTTGATAGAATATACTCGTTTTCTCATTTGCTTTTATATTGTGTTCATTCATTCCTTGTACGCCATTTTTAAATATCCAATTCTTTGCACCCATCAAATTTTCATTTTCATGATGCGAGAAAATGTAACTTCTACTGGTATTGTAATTTGTTCTTTCCAGGCATTGATTCATCTGTTGAGGTCAGAGGATGTTGAGATGTATAACAAACCTATCCCACCGGTAGACAAGAGAAAGCATCCCAAAGGATACATCCCTAAGAAACCAGAGGAGGACCCAGACTGGATTGACTATTGGTAAGTCTCTGAAGATAACGTGGTGGTTGTGGTGGTGGTGGTGGTGGTGGTGGTGATGATGATGATGATGATGATGATGATGATGATCGTTCGTTCGTGTCTCCTTAGATCAAGATTACTGTAATCTTGATCTTCGGAGTAGTTGCTACAACCGGCCGTGTCAGACACGTTGCCCCGGGTAGCGAGATAGGACTCTTGTAGCGTGCCCCCATTTAAAACAATTATACAGTTACAGTTAACAATACATTTAATTAATAGTATGAAACTATTAAAATTACTCTCATGTTACGGGAAAAAATACTGCATATACATATATTATGAATCAATGATTTGGTCGATCCAGTTCGATGGCACAAACACGGCACTACTGGACAGAGATCCTAATAATTACAGAGCTTGGTCTTGTTGATGATGATGATGATGATGATGATGATGATGATGATGATGATGATGATGATGATGATGATGATGATGATGATGATGATGATGATGATGATGATGATGATGATGATGATGATGATGATGATGATGATGATGATGATGATGATGATGGTGATGATGATGATGATGATGGCGATGATGATGATGATGATGATGATGATGTTGATGATGCTGATGATGTTGCTGATGATGATGATGATGATGATGGTGACGATGATGATGATGATGAAGATAATGATGTATACAATGGTCAAATTAAACAGAACAGCATGATGATTAAACATATTGAAAATGTTGATGATGACTTAAATAGAGGTACAGTACGTGTAACTCTCATAATCACTTGTAGATAATTTAAGAAGAATGATATGATTTGATCCCACAGTGACTTCATCAAGTACCTGACAGCCTCATCCACCAAGGGTTTCCTGCGGGCTGCTGAACTTGGTGTGACCCTCAACGAATCCTGGATTGTGTGCAGCGCTGCTTCGTACTTCTGGAACTACACCAACCATGTGATGACTGAGAACAGACACAGAGAGCTGGTTACTCCCTTTACGTCTCTTCTTCAGGCCCTCAAGCAAGTTGGCCATTCCAGGTACAGAATCAGCATACCCAGCATACCATAGTGAACCCAAATCATAATACAGTGAAACCTGTATGTAAAGACCACTGAAGGGAAACATGAAAAGCGGTCTTTATGTACTGGTTCCTGTAGTATAGGTTTCAATGAGAAATCATATTCAAGGAAACCAAAAAATGTAGTCTTTATAAACAGATTTTCTTTACAGGCGGTCGCTAAAGCAGGTTTGGCCGTATTCATATCATTTTAGTGAACTCCTTTTGGAGATACAGTATATAGATATATATATATATATATACATGTCTGTAATCATGAGAATAATATGAAATGAAGAGAAATATTAACATATAATGTACCTACAAAGTGTGAATATGCAAGAGATATAGTGGGGAAGAAAAGGTGGTTGCTTTAGAAAAATTATATTAACAATAACCACTTGAAAACAAGCCTGTATTTTAAAACCACTGCTCCTCAAAACTTTGTCTACATTTAGTAAGTGAATCATATTTTTGGTAGATACATTTTTTCTGAACAAATATGTTGATTTAGTTATAAATTGGCTAGAAAATTTGAGCAAGACCCTTGTTATAATTATGAAAAAAGAACAATAATGTAAATGAAGGAAATAGGAGAAAAAACATTCTGAACCAAAAATGTATAAAAACAGGTTATAGAGAGATGTTTTTCATTTCCTAACACAGTGAAACAGTCCTTCTGGTGAACCTATGCAATGCCTTGGCTGTTGGCCTGATTCTCCCCTGGATACCCAACCCTGACGCTGAACCCGACGGGCCCTCCCCACCCCAGGTGAAAGGCAAGGGTGCAAAGGATCCAGACCCCTCCCCAAGGAAAGCCAAGTCGGTGGCCAGCCATACCAGCGGCAAGAGTAAGCAGGTGTTGGCAGTGGACCCTGATGGAGGTACCGACATCAAACAAGCACTTGAGGTAGGATGAAGATAGATGATGGCGGTTGTTATGATGGTAGTGATCAGATTACCATGAGTGTGATGAATTATACTTGATATAATTATGGACCAATTGGAAGATTAGCCTTGTGTTAAACAAGTTATCCAATAAAGTATTATTTCATCTCTTTAATCCAACCACTTAGAAAACACACTTTTTCATCATGTTTATGCGATATCATCTTTGTTGATGATCTTCTATAGAAGTATTAATAATAATAATAATAGGCATTTCTATAGCGCCGTCTATCTAGAAGCTCTATTCGGAGGCGCATTTATTATTACCCGGCTTTAGCCTATCTGTCATTACAGCGCTCCAGCATTTCAGGGAATTAATTTCTGCCAGGTACCCACTTACCTCACCTGGCTTGATTGTGGCAAATGAAGATTAATGCCTTCGTCGGAGATCGAACCACGACCTTTGAATTTTAGATTCAAGTGCTTAAACCACTCGACTACGACACTGGTTGTATTTCAGGCCCATCCTCTCTATAGAGCATGATGTTTGGACAGTTGTTACTTTTAATATTTTCTTGTTCTCCCTCTCTCACTCTCTGTTCTCTCTCTCTGTCTCTCTATCGCTCCCCCTCTCCTCTCTCTCTCTCTCTCTCTCTTTGTTTCACCCATTATAGGTATGTGACTATGCCATAACCGTGACCAACGGGACCAGACCTCTGGACCTGGTACCCATCGCTATCCGCCACCCCCTGCTCATCACGTGGGTCCGTGTCAAACAGCTCCTCAACCAACAGATCCAGAAGAGTCTTGGCACTGAAGATGAGGTAAGATCACTTCCATCAATAACCCTTTGATAGATAGATTGGTGAAATTATTGTATTTTCATTGGATGCTCAGTAACCAATCATGCACTTGCAAAAGGCTTATATTGTATTGATGGTACTTGTGTATTTCACTGCAGCTGTAAACAGTTACTGGGAGATAAGGAGAGTTGCGGAACCTTACATTGACTTGGTTTGCAATACTAGTTCTCCTTCTGTCGGTCAATTGATATTTTCATTTAAAATATGAGCTACTTTGCCTCTCAAATCAAAAAGGGTTCTTCTACCTCTGGACATAACCTTTTTGCATAAGAGAAGTAGGTACAAGTAAGTGCAATTTTATGAAGTTATTAGATGATGATAGAGCTTTTTGTATTAAGATAACACAGAATAGATTGTAGTTCTGGACATTTCAATACTAGTGATAGAGGTAGGAAGTTGCAGTCAGATATTATGTGTTTGGAACCAGAAAGGTATTATCACTGTAAAACAAACAAAAATGCTTTCTGGCTCTAAATAGATGACATTCACTATAGTGAATTTGATTCTCAATCATTTCCCTGCTGGTGCTTTGCTTTTGATATAGAGCAACATGGATGGCCAGCGACCCTTAACCCGATGTATGGTTGCCTTGGAGATACTGACACTGAATGGGAATGGCATCATGGACTTCAAAGATGCACCGTCTCTCAATGATGTAAGTCTTACATTGTGGTGTGCTGTTCATATCAGGACAACTATACCCGTGGTCTATCACCCCGCATACAACTATCCCCTTACACACCTACCCTGTTGAAAACTACAATTATTATTAATATTATTATCATTAATTAAAAGTGAACTGAATCACTGTAACCCACAGGTTTCTCCTCCTAGTATAACTTATTGGGAGTGTGCAGGTGGACCACTTCACCAGGGTTTTCTTTGGTTCAAAAGGCCCACACTTTACCATCTGAGGCTACTTGCCTCATTATTACCAATTACCCTGAGACAACAACTGAGGGGTAATTAAAGTTTGGCTAGTTGTCTTAGGAGGTAGTTTTCTTGGGGTATATAGTTGTTGTACAGAAATGATAATTCAGGGGTGGTTGTCTGAGATCAATGTGGTTTGGGGAAATCAAATAATGCATCAGATTCCAGGCATTTGTGGCAGACTTCTATGTTTAGTTATGTTCATTTTGTGTTAGTACACGGAAGTGCATTTACATTTTAACATTATGAAACCAAACAAGAATACCAAGGAGTATCTTTTAGATGTAGAAAAGTGAACCTTTCATTTAAAAAGAAGAATAAAAAGAGGAGAATGACAATATATAGGAGGATATGAAAGATAAAGAGAAAGAAGACGATGTCTCTAATATTCATGGTTTTGTTCCTTTGCAGTTGAGTAACCTGGTAGAGCAGTGCCAATGGCCAGACCCGTCTGTGGAGCTCCAGGTCTGGTCTCGTCTGACCTACCTTGCATACAAGTCCAAGAACCACTCCCTTGTGATGCGCTGTGCTGCTAAGGCTATGGCATTTGATGCGGTTCCGATCAAGCATCGTAGACTGGACGAGTAAGTCTTAAAAATTGTTCCAAGCCTTTTTATTCTTAGATTTCTTTGGTTCAGGGGATATTGTATAGTAATTGCAGTTACATGTGAATTCTCTCAGTACATGTATATTTAATGATCCAATCCTAGCTACAGCACCACCATTTTGTACCAAGATGTTGATTAATATTGAATGAGTTATGTTTCACATTGAGAAAGGAAATAGGGACCTGTTAGGATGATTTACCTTGTTTATCTCATTGAATGAAAAAGATTTCATAGGAATGGGTTGATCAACTGTACCAAGTCAATTACTTAGAATGCTATACTCTTCATCACTTAAAAGGAAATCTAACTTTCTACTCTACAACAAAACTAATGGCCTTCTAGTAGCTGGAATGGTGAGTTTAAATATTGGACGGATATACATTTAGGAATTTCTCATTCTTCTTCTCTGACCTGTGCCCTGTTACCACCACGGATGGGCACAAAGAGTTGGTATAGCAATCGTAAGAATTTGAGTTTTATATAGACCCTTCATCTCAAAGCTATCAATTTTCTCTCTTCTGATATGGCAGGCACAAACAGATGGTATGGTATGAGATGTTGAGCTATGCTAGCTGTGTCCTGGGCCAGAGCCATGTACGTAGCATGGATGGAAACAACGCTGTACGCAGATCAGCAATGGAAGCATTCCTCTACAGTGTCAGGTAAGTACTGTCAAAGTGGTTGTTGGTCTCTGCATGATATGGCAAAGGTTCAGGGATCCGTTTCACAAAGCCTTTTTTCAATGACAAATGACGAAAATCAGTGACTAATCTGCTGATAACTAATCAGAAGCAAGGATTTCAGTAGCTTATAACAAAAACTGTAATTTGTCACTGATTTCATTTCATTTATTCAACCAGTATAAGAACAATTTACAATGAAAATACAATATACAATATACAATATAATGGTTAGGACCCCTAAGAAGCAGAAATTTGCTTGAAATTGGGGCCCTGCAAACAAACAATAACAAGATAATGCACATAAATTAACGATAAAAAGTAAAAGACTTGGACAATACAAGTACGCACCTGTACATCAACTCACACACACGTCCATAAAGAAGGTTACAGAGAAAGAATAGAAGGAAGCGAAAAATAGGGCAGAAAGAGATAAAAGTAGAAAAAAGATGGGAAAGAGAAGTACCTACTCAACCATGGATTGAAAAATACTTTTTTTATACATTGATTTAAATCTGGTAATTGACAAGTTTTGTGAAATGGGGCTCAGATTACAACTCTCATCAACATGAATGTCCTATCTTGGGTTAGACATCAAATATTTAGGTTCATTGATGGTTTCCATTGACTAAACCAATGGCAGGAATGTGATAGATTTTGGATATGAGGGTATAGATGAGCATTGGTTTCAGGTTTTTAATGTGTAGGTAGTCCATCATGCTCTGGCAAGGCAAATAAATGCGATATTATTGTCTTCTTTACATAATGTGTGACTTTAATAGCAGTTAAATTTCATATTGCAAAGCTCTTCTTGGAAGTTAATCATTAAAAATTCATGACCCGAACATAAACAGCACTAGTTCATTATTCTAAACTATCTTGTAAATTCATTTAGAAGTGGGATAGTATCAAAGAGTAAAATAAAAGGGAGCAAAAGTTAAGAGAGAGATTTCTTAGATATAAATGAACCACTTTGTATTTATTTGATATCATATTACACTCTATTTGATTGTTTCATCCAGATATGGAAGGAAGGCCAACAACTACGACCTGGTGATCACCGCAGCAAGACGTTACTGGAATGCATGCTTGGTGTTGATCTCGGAACCCTTGGAACGTCAGCTCCTCAAAGAACCTCTGACGTCCATCTTAGAGTGCATCAATGCTACATACAAGAAAGATGTGAAAGTGGTGAGACTTTAATATCATACATATGTTACATACCCATGGGGTTCTTTATTAGAAGAAGTCCAAGAATATTGTATTTATAATAATTATATACAATATCTTAATACCATAGTTTGTTTGCCATATGCCACAATTGTGAAATTTCTAGGCAAAGTTAGATGTTCACAATTTTACAATGTGTTTGTATTTTTTTAATGCACTCATAAAATGAGTGTTATCAAGATAAACATTGCTTTTCAGCATTTATTATTGTTAGAAGATGAAGTATTCATACTAAAGATAGTGGCTTAGTTGGTATATTGTGTCATCTTGTGACAGAGGTCTCTGTATTAGTATACTCCAATTATACACGTATATCTGTTTTGCATATATTTTTGTAGTTACAGTGTTTACCACCCACTCTATTTGAAAATGATATTGAAGAAGTAAAAGAACAGGAATCCTTTCTGTTCACATACATTTTCTTTCTTTTTAACTTTACATTCAAAATTCACTATAAGCTTTAGAAATTATTCCTATTGAGTCTCCAGAGATTAATTGTCATGTAATATTTTGATGTTGCCTTCCACTTATTAGAAAACTGATGATAGTGATAATGAGGATGAAGACGGAGGAGCCCCCACCCCTCGCACCATGGCTTCCTTTGCAACTTTGCCCTCGTCCACTGTCGACATCTTATCTGACCCAGAGGATGACGTGACCCTCAGAGCTGCTATCTATGGTGTCCTCTTTCAGGCTTATGCTGACCAGGTAAATATTGACCATTGGTTGCAGGCCCATTGGTTTCTATATTTGACTTGATATTTTTTTCCTGCCATTTATGTTGACCAAATCCTATTTCATCAGAGAAGCTGTCTTGACAAAACCTTGTTTTCTTTTTTTATAGCTGTGCCCAATTTAGTTCTGTCATCATTCATTTGTATATACATGTTATGTTAATGTCATTTTCAAGCGCCATGAATATTGAAAGGTTGACCTGTGCGCTATACAAGTAGCCACTATTATTATTATCATTATTATTCAAATGTATTTATGTATGAAATCGCATGTTTTTAATTGATGTATTTTTACAAATGTTTTATAAAAATATGGAATCTAAATAGAGTGACTTGAATTCAAGTGAATTTACTATATGGTCTCTTGTTCGTTTGTGTAGTTAGGTACTTCTGTCAAAATCAGACAGTCATACAGGAAGGCTGCTTGAAAGCAGGGTCTCTCTATGGGGTGTCCAAGACTCCCAAGAACACCTGCTTTGCCTTGTTTTATAAGCCAAAGCTTGGAGACCATCTTATTTGTTGTACTTAATTCAACTTTATTTAAGTTTTGTGATATTTGGTTCGATATAAGGCTAGTTATTGTACTGAGGTATATAAATTTCAAAAGTGTGGATCATGAGACAAAAATAAAAAGCTAATCCTTGGACAAAATTGTATAAATAAATAAATCGACTGCTAATTGAGACTTTTATACTGAATTGAGACATCTGTAAAAGTGCAACAACTTTTCACCAGGAATATCTTTTTATCTTTCTTCATCTCAATAGGGAGAATGGGAGGCAGCTTTAGCAGCAATGGACAAAGCAGTGAATGACATGCCGAGAACTAAACATAGACTGTAAGTCAAATACTCGCGTCTCATACCTTGATTGTATTAAGTTGACAATTCTAGTTTCCAGTGGTTCTGAAATTGTAGACCCATTGATAATTTCAACTTGATTCGTCAAACGATTGGACTGGTAAATGTTTTCATCGTTTCTGAATTTTGAAATGCCAAAGTTTATTATAATGTATCAAATACTTTTGAACTAAGGAAAGTTTTTATGTCTTCTTGAATTGAAAACAGTATCATGAACTGAAATTTCATTTTCACAATAAAACATCTTTGTTAACATTAAGGTAGACTATATCTACAGCCAAAACAAGTTTAAATACAGACTTGTCTCCATTTATTTTACAAATATGGAACCAAGAGACAGAAGCTGAGACAAGAAAACTTATCTTTGATTCTGAATTCAAAGTTGTGGGATGTTTCAAAGCAAATAAACTTAATTATGGTGCTGTTTATGCCCCGGTGTGTTGCTCAAGGCATACCCCAAATTCACAAAAGTGATGCCTTGTCTTGTAATCTTTATTTTCTTGCAGGTTGATCTTCAAGCATCGTCTGATGGTGAAGGCACAACTAGGACGGGACATTCATGTTGATATTGCAAAATTCAGAGTAAGAATATCTATATTCCTACATGTGAATTGACTTTCAAATAATGGAAAGTAGGTGCAATTTTAACTAGAATTTTTTTTTGCAACTTTCTTAATGGTAGAATGAACTTTTGAAGGGTCAAAGAGAGAATGACTATTGGAATGGCAGGTATAGAAATGATGTGTTGAGTCATTGTGTCATTAGAGACATGATACGTTTTAAATTTGTTAAAATCGTGGCATTGTTTATAATATAACATTAGAAAAACACCTGATACTGAAATATTTAATATGAATTTATCTTACTAGATGAAACATATGACAACAGCTACCTTGCAACATAACTATTCTTTTTAAATGTATGATTTTTAAATAATAATTATGATAATTCTCTTGACTTTGTTGACAGGATGAGAGTGAGGACTATGTAGCTCTAATGTGGTACAAGGTGGCTAAATGTTCCAAGGATCAGTTTGAGCAGCTCACTGCATACCAGAATGCTATTGAGGCTCTGAGGGTAAGTGACAATATTTCTCTTAGAAATGCTTAAATTAAAACTCAAAGAATTATTTGAATGCAATTTATGAAGCCCTTTTGAAGAAAGAAATTAATATAAATCAAATTTCAATACCATTGAAAGATATGTTCATGCAAGTTCTGAAAATTTGCATTTCAGTCTGCCCTATGTAGGTTTATTGACTTGTGCTGGTGGGAGATACACATTCATTTTTTTTTGTCCATTTCACATTGCAGAGAACTGTTAGGATTTCAATGTTTGGTCACTTTATCGATATGAACAAATTTGTTATGAAGAGATATGCAACTTAGTGTTTTTGCCTGAGCGTAGTTTTTTTCTTCTACAAATTGAATATTCCATCAGTCAGTTCATATCATGATTTTCATTTTACATTTCAATCATCAGAGCTTTTGTGATAAGGCATACATCCATGCAACCATTCAATGAATAATTCCAATAGATCATGTCCTATTTTAGTGGGGATTAATTTGGCATATGTATATGAAAACCTTGTCAAAGGACATTAATGCTGCAGCTGGGATTTGAACCCTCTACCAATTAATTCTGTGTGCCTTATCCAATAGACCCTGATACCCCTTCTTATAATCACCTGTCACTTCACAATCTTCCCCACCTCCTTGCAGTCCCCCTCCAGTGATTGGCAGAAGGTGGAATACTTGATGGAGTTTGCTGAATGGCTCTACCTCAACGAGTTCCCTCTTCAGGATTGCATGGACCAGCTAGAATGGGCCGCTGATATCCTTCTTAATATGAGGATCAGGACTCGCAGCGCAAAGAAAAGTGCAGGTGAGAGATTGGGCTGTAGATCAGATCCCACTTCACAAAACTTGTCATCAGTGACAAATTACAATTTTTGTTATAAGCTATTGAAATCCTTTGCTTCTGATTGGTTATCAGCAGATTTGTCACTGATTTTTGTCATATGTCATTGAAAAGAAGCTTTGTGAAACGGGTCCCAGAGCTCTGTTTTATAAAACTTGTTATCAATAACAACTACCAATCAAATGCAAGGATTTGAGTAGATTATAACAATTATCATCACTCTTAATCGATAACCAGAACTGTGTCTGTTTTTAATTGTAGAGTTGTATTTAAGCTGCAGCATTTTATGTACGTGAGTATCATTAGGCCTTCAGGATTCACTTTTTCTCGAACCACAACTGGAACTTTGACCCTGACTTGTCAGTGCATAATTAATAATCTAATGTATAATAATTATTAACATGGTGTACAGCTTTGTGCTTTGGGAATCTTTGCTGTATGATATTGTCTATATCATTTGTTTCCATTTAGTATTGGTGCGATATTCATTAAGGGATAGCTTATAGTTTAATGACTGTACAATAAACTACCTATTATTTTGACTACCGGTATTATTCCATTATTGCAACTGAAAGGTTGGATTTCAAAGACAAATAAAAAATAAAAGAGATTCATAGCAATGATATAAATAATTAAGACAGTGAAAGTGTTTACTCAGACACATAAATAAATCAATAACTATGTGGTTGCTACAGTCAAATTATCACACAATATCAAATAAATTATAAAATATCAGATAAATTAATAGGTATAGAACATTTTCATTGAATAATACATGTAAAACTATTTTATTCTTTCATTTGGTCTTGATCATAGGATCTGAGAGAGGTATTAAGAGGAAGAAGTCTAAGAGGTCATCTAAGGTCAATACTCCTGTAGAGATCCAGCAGCCTTCCCCAGCCCCTACAGACAACAAGACAGTCGATACAATGGGTAAGTTTGTATTGAGGTTTATGTACAGTCATTTGTCTTTTTAACAAATAAACTCAAAGTTCAAAGTTCAAAGTTCAATTTATTTCTCCACAAATGCAAAACATAGGGAGCTACATAAAACTCATTTGGTATCCGCCATTTAATGTGGTGATAGAGGCATCATGTTTTCAGGTTGTTTGTACTTTATGTGTGCATTTTACTGTTTCTTTTTCTGCAGTGATTTTGGAAAAAATGAAAATGATGAATAGAAAAAAAAAGATCTTTGAACTTTGGTCAAGAAATTTTAGCCTTTGGAGAATAAATGATTAATTTTGAGGTATCCGATATCAAGTTTCATAGGGTCAAAGAAAAATAGAACTTCAGTATCTATTCACTTATGAATGCTAATATTTCTACGTAAAGAGTTCTATGTATGCGGAGCACAAGATTTGTTCAGCGATATGATTTGTTACCATTACAGTGTAACCTGTCTATAAAGACCACCTAAGGAAGACAAGAAAAGTGGTCTTTATAGGCAGGAGGTCTTTATGTACAGGTTCCTTTAGTACATGTTTCAATGAAAAACCATTTTCAAGGGAAACAAAAAATGTGGTCTTTGTAGACAGGTGGTCACTAAAGCAGGTTTAACTGTACATGAATTGTGACTGTATCCTTCATCTCTTCTTGTTTCAATGAGAAACCATTTTCAAGGGAAACAAAAAATGTGGTCTTTGTAGACAGGTGGTCACTGAAGCAGGTTTGACTGTACATGAATTGTAACTGTATCCTCCTTCATCTCTCTTTGTTTTAATAATACAGAGAGTGGTGATGCTGATGGGATGAAGGCCGCTCGCTTTGTACCGGTCCAGAAGACCTTCGTCATCGGTCTCTCCGCATCCAATCTGGACTTGAGCGTGGAGGAGATCACCAGCGCAAAGATCCTAGAGCACCTTGTACGCATCCACACCATGCTGGCTGTGGTTGCCGGGCGTGGCTCCGATGCCCATAGCAACTACTGTACCTTGGCCTGGGGCTTTCTCTCCAGACTCATGCAGGTTTGTTATGTTTTGAATCTGGACTCGAAAGAAAGAATGATTTTGTGGGATATATTTGTGATTTGTTGTGATAGATAGGTGTTGAAGGCTCATTTTGATTCACTCCCTTTTAATCAGGTCTGTCAAGTGTAACTGAAATGTGTGCATACATAAACTTATAGGATTTGTATTTGTAAATGTAAATGGAGTCATATTTGCAATTAATACATATGATATAAACATGATATCCCAGTCCACTAGAAGTTTAATGTGTGCACACCTAAATGATCAAGTGTCCATTTCTTTTGAATATATAATACTTTTTAATAAACATTTATGCAATTCTATATGAGAAATATTTCAGCTTTCTGTTCATTCTGACTGTGCAGGACAAAAATTGGTCACTACTATACTTCAAAGAAATATGGATAAACTATAAAAATGCTCCCCAGGGAGTGGAAAATATGCATACATTGTGTTTGGGTAAGCCTGAATCCGATTACCGGGGTAATATATGTAAAGCGCTTAGGCACATCTTTGTATCGATCGATGTATTGGGCGCTATATAAAAGCGGAATATTATTATTGTTATTATAAAAAGGAAAAGAAGTCCATTTTCTTTGATGCTTGTATATGTGGCACATTGACTGCTCAGCTGTGTTACTGAAGCAAACCTTTACTGCACCATCTCAATTGTGGACAAATTAATTCTGATGTATCTATTAAATTTATTTTGTTTGTACCAGGTGTCCATAACTTCTGCCGGTCAAGTGGCCAAGGAGCTGGCCAAAGCCGCAGCGGCCGGTGATCAGACGGCTGCTAAGGGATCCGCCAAGGGGAAGAAAGGAGGAGACAAGGGTAAAGGAGGCAAGGACCAGGAGCCTGTCAAGGAGAAACCCAAGCGGAAGGGACCCATCGATGCGGTGCCTACTAGTCCTGAAGAATGGGCTGCTTATGATGTCCCTGATGAGGTATTTAATCGTGCATTCTGCTCATATGATAACCTTTTCCTTGTTCTTTTGATAGAGTATACTGTCAAAAATTGCTTCATTACATGAAGCTCTGCCATATATCAAAGGTCCATTAGAATTTTAAAAAAAATTTGTGAGTTGCCTCGACTCTCTGCATGCTATCATTAAGCTTTGGCTAACCTAGAATCCCTTATATGCCGGGCTTTTGCAGAAAAAAATTGAAGGAATGTAAATCTTCCCCTTTCAGTTTAGACAACAAATATTATTGTCTTTCTTCCTCAATAAGAACCAGATATATCCATTTTGAATGTTATTCCCATGGAAGATATCTAATGCAAGATTTTACATTGACAAAATAACTACATTTCCAATTTTGACCTTTTAAGGGCTGATTTTTCTGATGATCCTTCATCATGCTATCGGCAAAGAAAGTTGATAATCCTGATTGTTTCTTACCAATCATTCTCTTTTTTTCATTGAATGATGCAGATCCGAGAAGCCTTCAAGCATGACCCGTCTGGAGAGAGTATTAACAAGGCATCTATTCTCAAACCGGTAAGTTCTACCCATCCTACACTCAGATAGGACAAACTCACTAGTGTTCTATAGACTTGAATCCAAATGGCCGCAAGTTAGAGTTTTGAATTATACTTCAAGAAGCTAGAACCAAAATATGTAATTGAAATTATGACATATATCCTTACGATTGTTGTATTTTGAAAAAAGAATGGCCCTAGTAATATACATGTATTAACTTATCAATACTTCAAATAATAAGTTTTATTACTTGATTATCAATCAGTCCAAAATATGTAATTACGATATTTCCCCCTCACCCTTTCTATGTATTAGCCTGGATTGAATATTATTGATACCATTCACTTGTTCAGCTCTAAAATATTTGATGATCTAATGATCAAGCAAAAAAAAATAAAAATGTTACACCAAAGACATTTCTGCATTGATATATGCTTCTCCATCTATGTATAGCCCTCTACAGGCATTGATCCATATCAACCTTTATAAAAAATCTCTTGACTCTCATCTATGCATTGTTTTGTTTGCAGACATTGACCATGTACTATCTGGAGACCTTAGTGATGGAACTGAGAGCATCTAACTTCACCCATCTTGTCTTCCCTGCACTCAACATGGCTGAGGTCATAGCCAGGGACATTGTCTTCTCTGAGACATCCGCAAAGACCTATCGTCTCATGTAAGAAATACATCACTTTATCCATTTCATACATTTTTATTTATTCATGGTATAATACAAAACGTGTTAAGCAGCCAAAGGATGATTTGTTTACATATTACAAGCAAATTTGGTGAAGATACGAGAATACAGGACTAAAATATACATATATTTATTACAGTGACATGACTTGTTAAATTTAATAGTGAGTTCTAGCATTGCATTTGAGGGATAACTGTCTTTAGAGCAATGAACTGGACTAAAGTAATTCTGGATTGTTTATCATGCATTACATAGATTGTTGGATCTGTTTTTTTCACCTGATGACTACCTTTAGTTCAAGTCCTCTCCGAAGGAATTGTTAATGAGGAGTAAAGCCTTACCAAAGGGCACAAGCGCATTAACTTGGTTACGAACACCAGGACCTTCCGGTTATGAGGCCACTGCTCTACCACTGAGCGATCCCGCCTCCTTTAAAGAATGACTATATTATCAACTTTACTTTCATTTAAATTTACCTTGTAACTTTCTCACAATGGATACTGTTCATTGTACTACTTTTTGTAGGCGTGAATTTGAAAGAATTAGTAGAAGTTTTTATTAAAAGGAAACAAATGAAAAGTTTCACTTCAAATACAGTGTCAATTACTCTCCTTGGTATCATAATGAGTTCTATCAAACTAAGTATTGGTGAACAAATATTATCCTTCCTACCATTTAATCTCTATATATGAATAGCTTCATCTATTTACGTACTGTTTGATTTGTTTACAGTGCTGCTGAGGTATGCTGGGAGATGAACCTGTCTACAGCAGCTAAGTTTCATGAGGCTGTGGTAGGACCAACAAATCTCAGCACAGAGGAACAAGCCAAGTGAGTCACCTTTTCCTTGACAGTATGTTAGTGAGGTGATAATCTTATGACAATCAAACCTGCTTTTGTGTAGAAAGACCACATTTTTTTTTTTTTTCCATTGGAAATGGTTTCTCATTGAACTAAAGGAACCTGTATGTAAAGACCACCTGCCTATGAAGACCATTTTTCTTGTCTCCCTTTCCACATCATTTCACATCTTGTCTGCTTGACACACTATCTCACTCACTTGATTTCTTTCTGTGTAAACATGTCTTATGACAGGCAGAAAGGCAGGAATGGATGGATAATGGATGTCCATCTCAACAAAAATATTTAAAAAAAGTTTTAATCATTCTTTGACTGTGTATCCAAGTCCACACATTGCCCATTCAGATAATAGCAATCAAAATGAACAGCTTCTGAATTATTTTTAAAAAAATGTGTGTTGCCCTTCATATTCAAGCCATGTTCTGTAAGATCATTTCTTCAAACCACCTAGAAACCTTCAAATGTGAAGAATCAGTGGTATCCTGACATATCATTTGAAAGTTTGAGAAAAAGAACTTTATAGGGCTTCTACATTTATAATCACATTGTGGAGCTTCAAATGTGAAGAATCCATGGTTTGCGATCTGCAAGTATTCTGACGTATCATTTGAAAATCTGAAAAACAGAACTTAAAAGGGCTTCTACTTTTTTTTTTTCCTATTATGCTGAGCATTGTAACAAATCATTGATATCATTTAATGACTCCACTCCTCCAGATCCCGAGATGAGATTGCTAAGCTGAAAGAGAAGCAAGCCCAAGTACAGAGAGAGGCCAAGAGGGTGGATGAGCTCAAAAGAAACATATCAGCTGATAAGACCAAGAACCTTAAACTAGCCAGGACTGTTATCCATCCAGACCAAAAGGTGGGCATTATTTTCTGACTTGTTATATCCATGTAGAGTCATACATGAAATAATACTATTTGTTCATGGCAGCTCTATTTGAATTTGTGATTGTATAAGTGTATATCTCGGTATTCTCAAGTATATTTAGTGTCTTGATTAAGTTTTGTTTTATATAATTTATCATTATTTTGCAAGTCATTCATTGTACCAGAGTTCATCAGGAGATTTGTATAGCTTAATTTATCAACACTCTCTGGTGCTATTCAAGAGTTGAGTATTATCGTCTTTTTAATGGAATCTTTTCATTTTAGACCAACACTGTAGAGGCAGTGAACACCCTAAAAAATTGTTAATTTGTTTAGCGAGCATAAAAGTAAAATTTAGCAATTATACTAATGGACCCTTTTCTCCCCTATTGATTGAATCTCTCACATTTCAGACTGATATCGTTGAGGCAGTGAAAGGACTCAAGAAGTCACTGAGTGCTCAGTCTTACAGACAGGCATGGACACAGCAAGCTGAGATACTTATCAAACAGGTGAACATTGAACTAATCTTATACTTATACATTAAACCATTATTCAGATGGTAATTTCTTATTCCTAGTCTTATTTGATACCCCCGTCACACTGCCAGACCAAGCTGATATCGACTGCTTACCTACAAAGTGTCACCCACTCGGGTGTTATAATTTTGTTTTTAATATCTGGCTTTTTGGTTTGACTGGAGTACAACAATGATGAAAAATATGCAAGTATTGCTATTTCCATGGTACAGAACTGTCTTTCTCTTTCCATCCCTCTGTATTCTATCTGTCTTTGTCTCTATCAACCCCCTCTCCCTCCCCTCTCTCTCTCTCTCTCTTTCTCTTTCCCTCCTTCTGTCTGTCCTAGTCTCTCCTCTCCCTCCATCTGTCTCTATCTGCCTCTGTCTGTCTCAACCCCCTATCCCTCCCCTCTTTCTGCTTTATCCATATGTTGCCGCTGAAATATCATTTTTAGTTGATGGGTATTCTGTCATCTCATTTTGTTCCCCCTTATTTTTTCTTGAAAGTACAAATATTGTGGATTTAGCTTGCACAGCCAGTGCAACTATCATTAAATTATATTCATCCTCAATATCTATCTAGGGCTACTACCAATCAGCCAGAGAGCTTCTGAACGAGGCATACCTAGCAGCTCAGGCCTTTGAAGATACTTGGACCCAAGCTTACATCCTCCTCCATCTGGCCAGTCTTGCCATTGGTGATGGAGCCAACTATGGACAGGCAATCAACCTTCTTAAAGAGGCACAGGTAGGTTTAAATCAGAATTAATTCCTCGTAAGTTCCTTAATGCAGGACTGCACAACTTGTAGCTACTTGCGCCCTCTTTATAGCAAACAATGCCTAAGCAGTACCCGTTGGTCCCCTATGATCCCCTTTTTCTTATGTTAAGTGAGAGCTGATTTGATGAGATAACCACCTGCCAGTGACCATACAGGGAGGTCTAATCCCTCCTGGCCAAACTAATGCAGACGGCTTTAAGTTCAGGTCTTTTCTTGTAATACACTACAAATCCTTTTATTGTTGTTACATGATGCTTTGGCATTAGTTTCAAGACGTTAATCTATATTTGCCTCTCTCCACCCAGGTGTAAATGGGTACCTGATATACTTGAGCACTAGATTCCTTGGCGGCTTGGCTTTAACCAGGGTAAATAATGTATCTCATAATAATAATGTCTAAGTGCTGTGCGTGTCACAGGGTGATTGATATGAGCGCTATATGAGAAGTCATTAATATTATTATTAGCAAAGGTCAAGGTATGTCTTTATCTCACCCACCGAGCGAGTATCAGAATCACAGAAACGTAGAGCTGCAGAAGAGAGAGCGAGACGCCCTCTCACACCAAGCCTGGTGGATATCATCAAAATCTATGGACAGTGCCATCAAACTAAACCCAACAACAACAACATTATTATATAATGCTTTTTCCCCTGTTTGTACAAGGCCCTTGAGACTGATGAGATGTTTTGGTTGAAGACGACCCTCCTGATGGTAGATGCTTATCTGGGAAATATAGAGGATAGGGAGAGGAGCAACAAGGCTAGAGCTCTCATCCTCAAGTCTATAGCAACCTTCACTGTACTGGCTGAAAAGAGACCAAACAAAGCAGGCATGATCAACTATATCAAGGCTACACTGGACGCTAAGTAAGAATATTTTCATAGTTATGTTTTTATTTGTTTGTGTGCATGTGTGGGGAGTAAGAAGAGGAAACAATTAAAGGTTACGACATACATGTATGCAGTTTAAAATGAATTAAAGGAATATGAAGAATGAGAAAGATTAGGAAGGAACAGTGGAAAGAGAGATGGGGAGAGGAAGATAAGAGGAGGCGTAAAAGAAATGGTGGTGGAGAAATAGAGAGATAAAGAAAAGAGAAAATTTACTTAAGTTAATCGTGTGCTGAAAATGTGCTTTGAAATGAACACAAATTGTTGTCACTGACTACCATTATATGCATTAGATACTTTAATGCATAATTTATGCATTTATATTGAAGTAAAGCTCTAGAGAAACTGATTCTAAGCCAGAACTCAATGTCACATTTAAAATATCATTTTTCAAACTCGTACATGGCCCTGTAATCATCATGTAGATACGTTAAATTTGTCCAGATCTTTTAAGCTGCACATACAGCTTCATTTTCAGATCTGCTCTTTCATCATCATGAAAAGATTTGCCTTGTTTTCTAAAATGTTTATGTCAGCTTTGTGTCAAATATGACTATAATTTGTTGATTATTTCAGATTTGCTGAGGTGCAGGTAAATCAGATCTGTACTCTAGATCTATTAAGCTACACAAACAGCTACATTTTCAGATAAGCTTTTATATGAAAAGATTTGCCTTGTTTTCTGAAATGATTATGTAAGCCTTCTGTCATCATTGATTGTGTTCAGATTTGCTGAGGTGCAGGTAAACCAGGTTCTACAGGAGTGCCGTGATACCATGCAACCCAAGGCTCATAGAGAGCTACAGACGGCTTGTCAGAAGTTTGAATGCAGCGCCCAGGAGATGTTAGGAGCTGGATACAAGAGAGAAGCAATGCAGATCATGCAAAAACAGGCCAATATCCTAAGGTATCAGTGGTCTTTCAAGTTTGCCTGAAAAATATGTTGTGATAATTTAGGTATGCCTCTCTTAACCCAGGTGAGGTACATTGGTACCAGGTGGGAAGAGATTCCTGGGCCACGTCTTATAAAGAGTTACGATTGATCAATATCAATCGTAAGTCCTTCAATCAATTGCAAGTCTGCAGTCTTCTATCTCTTATGTACAAAGTTGCGATTGATATCAACTCTGTATAAGACTGGGCCCTGGAGTGCTTCTAGTACCCTAGAGCACCTTAGCTTAAAGCCAGGCTCATGGGGGTACATTTAAGTTGCATGCCTTGACCATTTCATGGAATAGATAGGTGTGCTTTATAACTGAAGGCTTCATTTTTGTTATTACATGTATCTCTCTCTCTCTTATTTTATTTAATCTTTCTTTGGATTTGTTCAGGGGAGGGGACAAACTTGCTTCAGTAAATGTTTTATACATTGTAGTGCAAGATAGAGAGTATATCAAGGTAAAAAAATGAAACAAGATGTGGAGATCTAGACATCTTTATGAAGTAATACATCTCAGAAGAAGAGGAGGAGAAATTGAGATATTTTAAAAGGGTGAATTGAAAGTGATAAAGTGAAAGTGGGGAGAGAGGTAACGTCAAAGAAAACAATCAAGAGAAAAGGAAGAAATAAAAGAAGGGGTGAATAGAAGAAGAAAAAGAGGCACAAACTGTTCAGCGATGTCATACTAATCCCTTTTCATTAAATTCCATTTATTTTCATCAGGTTATTTGCCTGCGATAGCCAAGACAAAGAGCTACAGCACAAGTTTCTCTTGGAGGCTTACGGTGTGATGAAGACAGTGGTTTCCATAGCAGATGATCTCATGATTCAGATCCAAACACTGTCTTCTGTTTCTGAGGTAATGATGGAAGCTCATTGAAGAGAGAAACAGTTTAATGATGATAATCATTTTCAACATCTTGTGATTTAAATATTGTATTATTGTCTCTTTAAGAGATAGTGAATAGGCCTGTTTACTAATGATATGCGAGTGACGTCATAATCCCTCGCACCCTAGCGATTGTTACTACGTAGGGCAAGCTTTGCGTGGTGCGGCACGGTCACCACATTGTTTTTCCATGCCCGCTACGCTATACACATACAAAGCCATTGCTAGCGACCGCGACGTTTTTTCACCCTAATTTCTACAATGGCATCGCCTTCGACATCGAGTTGTAGTTCCAGCAAGCCGTTTTCGCAGCGGACAGTGAAGGAGCTCACCGATTATTTAAGAAAGAGAGGAGTTACGACATCAGGGTACAACAAACAGAAACTAGTTCAACTTGCGACTGCTGTGGCCGATATCGCTTTGCCCCAAGACCCGGACCTTGCGAGCTTCGACTCCGCACGGTCGCTGCGGGAGAAGTTGGAGCGTGCGGGGTGCTCGTTCGACGACCCAATGAAAATCACCGGCTACACCGAGAACTTTGAAAGTATACCAGATTTCGGATTATACGACATTTTCAACTACCTGATAGTAAATAGAACTGACTACGACAGAAAGAAACTCAAAGCATATAAATCGTTTGAGGACTATCGTCTATTTGCTGACGGGAATGTGGAGCAAATGAAGTTCAATGAAGTCCATTCATATGGGGTCTGTCTGCGTACCGTGAATCGCTGTTACACGTGCCGTAACAGCAATGCTTACCTCCCATTTTTGCGATATTTCGTCGGATTTCGGAAAATAAAATCGAAGATTTGTCATGTACAACTGAGAAAAACTATATTTATTTTAATTATATACCCTAAGGTTGGAAAACAAACAGTTTTAAACGAAGTTTATTAGGACGATGATCAGCCTTTTTTTCCTCGCATTTCCCACATCGCCGTATACAAAGTGTGTGTAGCAGGGCCGTAGCAGACACTGCGCTCGGTTTGTTTGCCAGAGCTTACAACCGTGTGCAAATTTAAAGGTCCGTGAATACATTAGTAAACAGGCCTATTAAACATTTCCACAGTCAGCTAATACTAAGGAGAGTCTTTTGAAAGATTCTTTTTTTTTTTTTATAATTTTTTTTTTTACTCCACAGACATTTTGTGATGGTTTGTTTGTTTCTCTTTAATGTGCTGTGCTCTCTTTGTAATCTATTTTGCCCTTTGCACTCCTGAAATGAATTGAAATTTCATGGAGTAAAAATAATGCAAAGAATCACGTATGAATCACGATCTTCACTCTGGTTCACGCATTTATATTACCACATGAATTTAGAAATGACCAGCTCTCAATTTTAACCACTTTGTTTGTCCGTAAATGGTACAATCATGCCATGCCATCAGCTCCAAAGGCTATATCCTCCATTATCTTTTGACTCCATTCATGTAACCCTATCAAACTCTATGATTTACTGTTCATCTATTTTATTTTATTTTCTCTAGATGAGAAACGTGAGCCTGCCTGTACAGCGAGAAGCCTGTGCTGCCAAGCTGACGCTGAGTGAGCTCCTCATTGATGTGTTTGCCATCTTTGCTGAAGAGGACAGGAAACACAGGATTGCAGAATCTAGGAAAGGTTCTCTTGAGAAGGTATGAATAATGTTTGATTTGATTTGATTTGATTTATTGATTTCTATTTCATATTTTAAACATACATATTTTAAATAAACATAATGTCCATCAGTGTGATATAATTTACGTTTCAAAGTACAATATATGATTCTCATTCTGTATAGAACATAGACAATACATAGGAGAACATTACTCATTTCAGCTTGAAATGCTTGCAGCCCTCGATTAAACTAAACTATTATTAATTAAACTAAACTATAATTAATTAAACTAAACTATTATTAATTAAACTAAACTATTATTAATTAAACTAAACTATTATTAATTAAACTAAACTATTATTAATTAAACTAAACTAAACTAAAAGCCTATAGTATATATGAAATATAATGAAGAGAGAGAATGACTTGCAATAGAGAGAGAAAAGATAGAGAGAAAGAGGGAGACTGTAGAATTCCAAAATACCAGACACCTGTTCTTACTATTCAGAGAACTGTGGCACTTTATTTCCAACCTTAATGGTTCACATTGACATATTGTAACACAAAGATGACCTGCCCCATAAACAAATCAGACTTTAAACATGTGGGAGTACGGGAAAAATCCTGTCCTGTAATCTACTGCTCATTACCATAAATTCCAGTTTAAATCATTCTGTAATCATTCAGAAATTATTACTGGATAATTTTCTAAAAACAGGCATTGTCTGTTCGTAGTCAAATCATGAATATCGGTGACTATCACAAACAAGCACAGGTTTAATTGTCTTCAAACCCCCTCTCACCTGGTAACACTTGTTTAATTGTATTGTTATTCTCTCTTTCCCTGCAGTTGGTTGAGGAGTTTATTGCAGCCACACCGATAATGAGTGATGTGACCAGGGATTGGAAGGAACTCACTAGGTATTACTTGCTTTAAAATGTCTATTGTCTCTCTGTCAATGTCATAGATGATTTAGACTTCAAGCATTTTGATTTTGTATCTCATGTTTTGAGTAAAGCCTGTCTTCTTGAAATTTAAACCAAGTTCATATATTTTGAAGATAGATATCATGAAACAGTTTTTGTGTCAGGATGCAGATGTGAAGAAGACACTGCGGTTGAAAACTTGTCTTTTGACCGAGCATTTGCGGTATATGCTTGTAAACTTGTTGGTCTCATAAGAAATATTACCATTTGATCTTGCTTGCATCGTCAAACCGGTTTCATAATTCCTTCAACTCGTGAAATCACTGTAAGCCAATTGACAAGACATATTGAAACATTTTTTGGGGGCTGTTAACCCCTTCATGAATCTCGAATGTGAAATCAAATAATACTATTATTGAAAACATGTACCGTAATTAACGTTGTATAAACCGCCCTTGTGTATTAACCGCACCCCTCTTTTTTCGCCCTAAAAAAAAAAAAAAAAAATTTGCCGACTTAAAAAACAGTAGAGGACCTAGGATAGAACCTTGTGGTACGCCGTGTAATAGAAGAAAAATTGGAGGAATTATCAACTACATATTGAAATCTATCAGAAAGACTACTTTCAAACCAAGATGACAGACAAATTTGAGTGTTGTTCTAGTTTCCGAGTGGTGAGTCAACACACCGATTACTGAGCTGGGAGACATTGCCAGGCATAGCGCCAGGTGGAGGGGCATAAATCGAAACTTTAAAAATGTTTTTTGGTGTACCGTGTATAAACCGCACCCCGACTTTGAATTTCTTTCGGCGGCAAAAAGGTGTGGTTAATACACCGTTAATTACGATACTATCTCTTTATCAATCCTTCATAATGATGTTCAATGAAATCAATTTACACAACTATTGAATATTTATAATATCTCTCTCTCTATAGCACTGTAGCATCTTCTGCTCTGAGTCAGCTGACAGGTGCACTGACTCTAGGGGGCTCCATACCACACCTCAAGGCAAAGGTAATCATAAGCAACTTTGTGCTTACTTTCTTGCTTTCTTTCTCTTGGTATTATTTTTTATGCCTCCGCTACAAAGTAGCCGGAGGCATTATGTTTTTGGGTTGTCCGTCCGTCCGTACGTCTGTCCGTACGTCCCGTTCTCGTGATCGCGTTATCTCAAGAACCGATTGGTTGATTCCCACCAAACTTGGGTCATGTATGTATCTCACAGAGCCAATGAACTGAATAGATTTTGGGGTCACGAGATCCAAGGTCAAAGGTCACAGGGCTCATTATTTATGCGACAATGGCTCGTGATCGCGTTATCTCAAGAACCGATTTATGGATTCCTGCCAAACTTGAGTCATGTATGTATCTCACAGAGCCAATGAACTGATTAGATTTTGGGGTCACGAGATCCAAGGTCAAAGGTCACAGGGCTCATTATGTATGCGAAAATGGCTCGTGATCGCGTTATCTCAAGAACTGATTGATGGATTCCTGCCAAACTTAAGTCATGGATGTATCTTGCAGAGCCAGTGAACTGATTAGATTTTGGGGTCACAAGGTCGAAGGTCAAAGGTCACAGGGCTCATTATGTATGCAAAATAGCTTGTGATCGCATTATCTCAAGAACCGATTGATGGATTCCTGCCAAACTCAGGTCATGTATGTATCTTGCAGAGCCAATGAAATGATTCGATTTTGGGGTCACCAGGTCAAAGGTCACAGGGGTCTTTATGTATCCAACAATAGCTTGTGATCGCATTATCATGAGATCAAATAGACAGATTACTATCAAACTCAAGTCATGTATGTATCTTGCAGAGCCAATGAACTGATTAGATTTTGGGGTCACCAGGTCGAAGGTCAAAGGTCACATGGCTCATTATGTATGCCAAAAATAGCTTGTGCATGCATTATCATTAAAACCCACAGATGGATTACAATCAAACTTGAATTTAAAAATTGTTTCTGTTTTGGTTTGTAAAATTGCTCTATGGCGGAGGCATCATTTTTGACTGCGCGCAGTCAAAGTTCCATCTAGTTTTTCATGGTACATTCTTCAGATCTCTATTTGAATTTTCACCTTCTTATTTTGTAATGAAATATAAAAGGATTTTTTTTATTCATTATTTTTAGTTTTATATGAGATAAAAATTGTCCACAAACCAAAAAATTTAGTCAGTCAGTCTTTTTAATACTTTATGATGTTCATTAAAGGAAGGTGTTGTCATTTTGATATCTATTTTGTATATCCCTTCAATTCATTGTCAACTTGTCTTTTATATTTTTGATAATCAACTTCCACCCTGAAGTCCTACGACGTGCTTCACAAAGCCTTTTTTCAATGCCAAATTGCAAAAAACAGTGACAAATCTGCTGATAACCAACCAGGATTTCAGAAGCTTAAACAAAAACTGTCATTCAGTTGTCACTGATGACAAGTTTTGTGAAACGGGGTCCAACTTTGCTTGGTAATGCATCCGATATCTGTGCACTCCTTCTTATTTGTGTTACTCTATGTTTACCTAAAGGCCATGTACAACATTGGTCGCTGCCTGAGGATGCTGGGTATCCAGAGAGGACCAAACCCTCCTAACCAGTGGGACGTACAGTTCATGGTAAGATATTCATACACTTGCTTTCTGCTCGAACATCAGTTTGCACTAAAGTTTCATGCTTTTTACTGGTGTTCTAAAAGAAACACCCATATATTTACAGTGCATTTAAATCTGACATGTTTTAAATCAAGAACACTTGTCTTATTCTTGTCTTGTCTTGATACACCAAACCTGATGCATGCACCCATGCCTGCTGAAACAGCAGCAGTCAACAAGCCCCTCATCCTGCTTTCCGAGGAGGAGACGGCTGTCTATATGGCAACCATTACCATACTTAAACCTTATAATGAATATTTCTTGGATTGATACTACAGCACGTCTGTGTATAATAAGCACAGCCATAATCTCAATCCCTATGGTGGAAGGGATAGACAATTACAATTTCGATACTTGAGGAAAAGATGAACTAGTTCCTCAGTTCATACAGGTACTTATTTGTTGCCATACTTAAATTGCAGCATTTTTTGCATGCTCTATATGTATTCATCCACATATACTTATTCAGGTGCTTATTTGTTGCCATACTAACGTTATACCATTTTTTTGCTTGCTATACTCAAGTTCTACCATTTTCTTGCTCTATTACTGGTTTGTATTTATCCACATTTACATCACCCTACTCTAACAGAACCTGGTACCTGTACCAGCGGCTAGCAAGGCCCCGCCCCAGCCTACCCAGGGAGATGGGGGAGATGGGGAGGAGGAGGAAGCTGAGGCGAAGGTAGAGGAAGAAGAAGAATTGACTCCGGAAGAGAACAGACAAGCTGAGAAGATCAGTAAGATGGTCAACCAGTATAAGGTAATTAATAATAATAATAATATAGAATATTTAGGAGCGCTAAAAACAATGACTACCATAGATAGCGCTTACAAATACATATAAAAAGAGGACATCCATACAAATTTTAATCCCTACCTGCTTCTGCTTTCAAAGTTTATTCTTCTTTTTTTCCTTTTTTTTCTTCAATAGTTTATTTGTACACAAAAGTTTAAATGTCGAAATCCCAAAATGTGATAATCCTGTTCTGTATTTTAAGGACCACTGTGTAAATTATTTTTTAATCCACTCTGAAGGCTTTCTGCATTTTCTATTTGGTGAAGGTGTGTGTAAACATGTCCTATTCTTGCTCCAAAGGTCCAGGCTAGGAAACAGTACAAAACACTCCTGCTCTGAGGAGAGACGTACACAGAACCATATTTTATGGATGTTGAGAACCCACTGTGCTGTTTGTAAACATTGGGGGAGGGGGGAGCCCCTAGTGTTGTGGTGCACCTGCACATCCCAATCAGTTTTACAGGGAGGAGAGACCGGACAGTCATTCTGATGTGCTCTTTCCCCCTTTATCATTAAATGACAAATTTGATGACTGATTTAGAGAAAACTGTACTGAACCTTAGGATCCCTGATGCACATTATATTTACTACAAAGTATGTTTCGTCCCTGAATGTGAACTTATGCTTGTATTACTTGTTATTCCTTGTTACCTGTGTAGGGTGAGCAGACTGCATCTGAGTTATACCTGAGCCAAGCCACTGAAGTCCTTGCACAATGTGTTCAGCTGGCTCTACAGAATAACCTCAAGGTGTGTGATCCTCACTTTTCCATATTCCGTTAATACTGTCAAACACATCATTATTTATTTTAATCAACTCTATCATCCATGTAGCCACAGTGAATGATAAATGATACAAATTCTAAATACTTTTTCATCTTGAAAAGTTTCTATTTTCAGAATATTTTTTTTGTTCAAACATGTACATTTTGTGTAGTACATGTAGGTGCAGAAAGGATTCATTTTGTATATTTTGTTCAGGAATCTGTATTCTCTACTGAAATCTGACAATATTTCATAACCAGGAAATAGTTTGGTCATATGAAATATTATTTCGGAATACTCTTTCTTATAGTCATTGCTCTTTTTGCAAAGCTTTTGCTGAAATTTGGAACAAACTACCTTTACATGTCAAAGACTGTCAGACTGTCAACCAATTCAAAATTAGTCTTCAGACACATTTACCGATATTCAAAATTGCTTTTGATGGTTAACTTGCTCTGTTCACATTGATGAATATTCATATGTATTGTAATTTGTAGATTCATTTGTAATTTTTGTTTTATATGTAAATATTTGTCATTTAATTTTGTTTGTTATAGCACTCAGAGACTTTGGTGGAAAGCGTTTTATAAGGACTGTTTTATTATCATTATTATATTATTATTATGCTATGTTCTATCTATCTCCCTCCCGCAGGACATTGTACGGTCAGCCTGCATGGACATCATCGAGTCCTGCGGCCAGTATGACCAGGCCATGGCCTGTCACTACCTTGCCCTGTACCAGTCCTGCCAGGCCTCTGCCTCCCTGGAGGATGCCCTCACCAGGGCACAGGTGGACCCGACAACCTCCAGACAGGCTAACATCCTGCACCAGAGACAGCAGCTCCTGGGCCAGAACACAGCCACTAACCAGGGCATGGGGACAGTCATGAAGACGGCTTTAGATGCTCTCGATACGGAGTCAGAGGTGAGCTCTAGATCTTTCTTTTTCTTCTATCTTTCTTGATTATCAATGTCATGTTATTAAAGTGTGGAGTAAATTGTGTAAAGTGCTTTGTTACTGCCCCCCCCCAAAAAAAAGGTGCTGTACCGCATACTATATTGATTTGTTCAAAGGTCCTCCTTCACAACTGGGACCCGTTTCACAAAGCCTTTTTTCAATGACAAATGACAAAAATTAGTGACAAATCTGCTGATAACCAATCAGAAGCAAGGATTACAGTAGCTTATCACAAAAACTGTCATTTGTCACTGATGACAAGTTTTGTGAAACGCCCCCCCCCCCCCCGAGTCATAATCCTAATTACCCATGATCACAAGGTCAACCACTTTATGTAGCCAGTTAGAGGGATGAAATGTACAGTACCATTCTCAGTGGAAATCTTACATCTCCTTACATTGTTTACAAGCAAATTTTACCATATCCTATATGTTGGTTCTTAAATCTGTACAAAATTCATTTTCTTATAATAATAATAATTACAGTGCTTATATAGCGCCTAACACTTACTTTATCAGAAGTCTCTAAGCGCTCTACAATAATGCAGCACAATTACCCTGGCTTTAGCAGTGCAGCTGTTACGCGCGCTGCGTTTCAAGGAATAAATTCCTACCAGGTACCCATTTACTTCACCTGGGTGGAGTGTGGCAAATGTAGATCAATGTCTTGCCAAAGGACATTAGTGCAGCGGCGGGACTCGAACCGCGGACCTTGTGATCGGCAGTCCGGCGACGTATCCACTCGACCACAACACCTCTACTACTCTTCTTGTTAGTTTTAGACCAATTTTAGCCATTTGGAGGACTTTTTGCACAACATTTCTGCTAACATGAATTTCAGTAGAGTACCGGTATATCAATTGCTCAAAATTTAACCATGATTGAACTAATTGCACAAAAAGTGTAGCTTGTTTAAAGAGCACTTAATTCAGGACATGTTTTGTTTGTTTGAATTATTGGAGTACATATGTTTATGTGTTGTCTCTTTCAAACATTTGTGTTTATACTATTGAAGATAGATACGAAGCTTGTACATGTAATTACATTTTTTCTCATTACAGGCTTGGAAGCGTTTATCGATTGCAAACAATCATTTGGAGCTGATAAAGGAACTGCCACCAAACTTCAACATTGTCATTCTACAGCACACGGATGACAGGTAAATTTCTAATGTTATCAATCAATATGTGCTTCTGCCTCCTTGATGATAATGATAATACACATGTATTTTGCTTTGTTTATTTCATATCACATTATGATATATTGCCTCTTTGCCTCTATGCGCTTCCAAAATCTGTAGCTCTATGACATGTGCCCCCTTCCCCTGCAATCAAGTAGTGGAAAACAATACAGAAAGAAAGTACAAGTAGCCTTGTAAATTCCCATTTCATTTTTCGAGTAAGACTGTGCTCCCCTTCCACCAAACATTTCAGTGAATTATGAATAAGAAGGTGTGCATCAAATGAAAGAAGAGAGTAGAGCTTTTCATACATGTATATCTCATCAAGGAAATTATTCATTATGATTTTGCTATGAAATCCGGTTTCATTTTTTCTGGGACACTCTATACATTACGCCTTGCCAGTGGTCAAATGTACTCCCTTAAAGCCCCACTGCACTAATTGTAGCTACTTGGTCCCTCTATATAGAAAACAATGCCTAAGCGGTGCCTGTTGGTCCCCCATGACCTTTTTTTCTTATGTTAATTGAGAGCTGAGTTGATGAGATAACCACCTGTCAGTGACCACCCTGGGTGGTCTAATCCCTCGTGGCCAAACTAGTACAGATGGCCTTTAAAAAAATTGGCATGGAATCCGGTTCTTTTTCGTTTTTTCTGGGACACGCTGTTCATTACCCCTTGCCCAAGTGGTCAAATCTACTCCCTTCATATTCCATTCAACCCCTTTAACCACCTGACTATGACACCTCGTCCTTGTTTTCCTACCTTCCTAGGTCCGTGCTGTACGGAGCCATTCTTGACAAGCCCAAGGCCGGTGGTGATAAAGGTGGAAGGTCAAAGGGCGGCGGCTCCTCCCACACCTCTAGGGCAAAGGTCACTCGTAATCTGGTTGACCCATCAGCTCTAGAAAACCTCTGCTATAGGTGAGAATGGAAGATGACTTATGTGAAGAAATAGAGACATTTGATTTCTGTGTCAAATCTTTGTACTGAAATTATTTCTGAAACTTATTGTTTTACATAAGTGGATAAAGACCTGTTGGTAGGTCACAAAATAGAGAAAAGTAGAATATATTCAAAGGAGAGCACTGTATATAGAGGGGAGAAAAGTATTTGTCCTTTTCAGCTCTGTAATTCTAGACATGTGCAGTTAATGTGCTTTTGATCAGAAACCCTCCAATCAATCCAACATTGCACACTGTATTGAACTATTTCTGAAACTGACTTGTTAACAAAAGTGGATAAGTTCCTGTTGGTAGGTCACAGAATAGAGACAAACATTTGAAGAAAATAAAAAAGGAGAGCACTGTATATGAAGGGGAGAAAAGTATTATCCTTCTGAGCCCTGTCTTTTAGAAATTAAGTTAATACAAATCGATCAGAAGCCCTCCAATCAATCACACACTGTACAACATGATCAGCTAATTATTTACAGTCATACATATGAACATTGTATTGCTACATACCTTCATACAGAATCAGTGCAATAAGTAACATGATTTGCTCTCAGAAAGAAAAAAAAATTATTCTAAATCCTATTTCTCCATTTTCAGGTTCCGTCAGCACAAACAGGAAGTGATGCAGACCTTACTGAAGGCCGAGTACAGGAGATCTCAGAAGGCTCAGAGACAGCGTATGCTGGAAAACCTCTCTGATGATATGAAAGAAGCAGTCGCTGTAAGTCTATACCCAATTCATACTTCCCTTTAGTGATTCCCCCTCCCCCCATTTTTTTGAGGGGGGGGGGGTGCAATGTGTGTGTTAATGCAGGACTTGTGTTCATATTACTGTTTTAAATGAAGATGCTTCTGAAGTTATAGTTTCAATGCCAAATGTTGTCTGTGCATCTATTTTAAGTGGAACATCATCAACAATAAAACCTCATGTGCCTCAGGTGTGGCTATATGTGTCACATGCATTAGTCAAGCATTCTTCTTACTATCTCTTTGACAGACCAATGGCAACTACATGTTTGTACATAAGAGATGGGAGACTGCACTTATGATTGATTAGAAGATGATCAATTGCAACTTTTTGTAAGACAGGACCCTGAATCATATTACAAATTTGATATTGATGACATTAAGATGTGAATAGTTAAATTGTAACTTATCTACTATCTTTGTATTTCCATTTGATCTGTAGGAGTTGGTAGATGATCTAGGAGAGACAGAGAACCATCTTCAGGCTCAGTTTATCAACCTTCTCTTGACCCTAGAAGACTATCTCAGACCTATCACCTCTTACTTAGAACCAGCCATAAGGTAAGAACTAATTCATTTTCAGACGCAGTTGATCAAACTACTGTACTATTTCAACCTAAAGCCCACAGCACACTGTACGATGCGACTACGAAAAACGCAAAATTTGGTTTCGATTACCAATCACAAATATCTTGATAATTAGACAGGAGATCGGCTTGTAAAAGTCATGGGGTTCCTGACTGACCTTAAGGTTTTTAATTTTCATTGCAGCATGAGCTAAGTCCAGGATTTGTTTCAGAATCTGAGACAAAGTTACTGGATCCCTTTAACATCACATGTCATCTTCTCTCCCCTTTCTCCTATCAGAGCTCTAGATACATCCAACAACCCTCCAGCAGGGCGAGATGCGGCTAACCAACCCCAGGATGAATGTGTCATCATCTTAGCTGACCAGTGGCTACTTGAGATGCCCCTTGAAGCTCTGGCCATCTTCTCTTCTCCGGCCATTAGTGCGCTGACCAGAGACTTCTCTCTGCAGATGCTCTACAATAGATTCTACAGGGAACCTGAAGGTAGGAACAGGGAAATGTTTCACAAAGACTAAGATCTTCTTTAGGTTGGACTTAACTATGGCAGGCCATTTATGCCACTGGTTGCTCTCACCATCGGTCTCTCAATTATGATCTTTAGATAATATTTTTTCCTCCAATAACATACAATCAAAAATTGTAAATTCTGTAGATGTTTGACCATGATTTGTACGTCCCTTCAGAAACCGATGCCAGTAAATGGAAAGAGCAAACAGTGGCATAAATGGCCTGCCATAGTTAAGTCCAACTTAAAGTTGATCTTAGTCTTTGTGAAACACCCCGCTGACAGCTATACTGGGATGACTACCGTCGAGTGCTTCTTAGTGACTTGTGAGAGTTTCAAATATCAAGATTGCATGCTCAAATTATTTTCACATAGGAATATTTGCAAACCTGTTGAAAAGCAAGTGAAAAATTTGTTGAATTATAGTTATAATAATAATAAATTTTATGAAAACCCATTTATCTGCCAGAACAAAAGCTTTTTGTAAGTCACTCGTTTGTCGGAAACTTAAATTTTGAAAACAGCGTGGAAACAAAGAAATTATATTTTCATTTAGTGCATTTGTTTGACTTGACCTAAAAAATCTTAACCAATAGCAATAAATATGATATATTAGTGACTGTGATGGACTATGAAGCTCTATAATTATGTTTGATTTTATTGTTATTCTTTTACAGATGAGATGTCAGAGGAGAAGAAGAAGAAAGAAGCTGCCAAAGCTAAAGCAGCTAAGGACAAGAACAAAGGGGTCAAGATGGTAAGATTTCTTTTTCTTCCTTTTAATCATTACAATTAAAATGTTGAAGGCATATAACATGGAAATAATGACTTTCTCAGACTGCCGCTGCTTCCAATGGAAAGGTCTTAGATTTGAAGAATGAGAAGTGTTAATATATTTTGTCAAGACCATGATTGTAACATGATTTTATAGTTCCTATCTTTCATTTTGCATAAAGTTCCAGATACACTGTATAATCAAAGCTCAGTATTTGGAGAAATTGTATATACAAACTCAACTACATACATGAGTAATTGTGTATTCATTGAGTTCTTGTTGTGGAAGTTTGTGGGAATTCTAGATAATTTTTGTATCCATTGCTACTTTTCAGTTAATTGTGTAAGTATCATTCTGTCAGTTTCATGTAGGTTTTTCCTCCAGTATTTCACTAATTCCTTTGAAATCTGTTTTTCCTTTGTGCAGGTACCCCTAGACAGACCAGTACCACCAGGTTGTCTCCCTCTAGATACACACAGCTTCAAATGTATCCTTGAAAAGAAATCAACATAGGAAAAGACAATAATGATGATGATGATAATAATAATAATAATAATAATGATAATGATAATAATGATAAAAATATTAATGATGATGCTGATGATGATGCTGATGATGATGATGATGATGATGATGATGATGATGATGACGACGATGACGGTGACGGTGACGATGATGATGACGATGAAGATGACGATCATGATGATAATAACTGGATTATATAGCACCATTTCCAGAGGATACAAGATGCTGTCACTTGGTCTATAAAGGAAAAATTAAGAATTGGAGAGGTATGTTTTTAGATTGATTTAAAAAAAAGTCAAGTATAGATGAGATGGAAATTACTATTTTTTGTTGGTGAATTTATTTACAATTCTTCTATCTACTTATTTTCTATCTACTTATTTTTTATATACTGTCCTGTAGAAGTTTATTATTGTTAATTGTAAGAAATATTACTATGGTTTAGTAGTTGTAAACCAACGAGAGGTCAGAAAGTGTACATTTATATTCCAGGCTAGTTTGGAACTGATAACAGATTTATTTGCATAGAATCATACCCTTCTAATGTAAAAAAAACTGTCATACATGTATATACTATGTCACAATGACTTAGATTGTTCTTTAAGGAAGTCATCTTCCTTAATTCCTACTTTCACCAGATGTCGTGGATCCTCACTATGATTCTCCTGAAACAGGTAAGAATAATGTGTAAAAATAATTTTTATGCTGTAATATCTCCCCCCCCCCAAAAAAAAAGAAAGAAAGAAAGAAAGAAAAATTATAAAATGCTCTATGATTTGCCATAACCGTATTCCCACCACAACAAAGTGAGACCCTGTAGAGGCTTTCATACTGAAAGGCATTTGGAGTACGCCTATGACTTATTACGGTTTTCTTTGGATGCTTATTTTTCAGATGCGAACAGCCCTGTCCATGTGACCAAGGAAGCCCTACAGCTTTACCAGACCCAGTTCACAGCTAGATGGGAGGGGTTGATTGGTGATGATCACATACCAAGGTAGGTCCACCATTCATTCCTAATCCTACTCCATTGGAGCTGCTACTAGAGTTATTGCACTTTATGATAGCCTTTGTATGTGTTAACCCATGTTAACCCTGAATGCTCTTGTTCCCCTTGGCTTTCTGCTGAAACCATCTGATTACCTTGGTCAATGACCTATCGACTATGGAATTCTCTCATTCCCATATATGCTTGATATAGGAGCCAACCACTACTCAGAGGTAAAGGTTTAACTAGAATGCAATTCTAAGAAGACTAGACCCCCCCCCCCCCTCCAAAAATAAATAAATAAATAATTAAATAAATAAATAAAAAATAACAAATAAATAAATAAATAATAATATTTTTTTTTAAATGAATAAATAAATACAAATAAATAGATAAATAAATCAATAAATAAATACAAAATAATAAATAAATTAATAAAAAGCAAAAATATAATATATATATATATATATATATATATATATATATATATATATATATATTTTGTTCCAAAATCATTTTTGTTTGTTTGCACGTTTACCTCACTATAGTATATTGCCATAATATACTGCAAAGGGCTTTGTTTAGTTGTTTGCTACTTGTAAAAGCTGCTATGTCTAGGTATATACGTTTATTTGTATAAAGATAATGGTTTCAGTAATGACAGACGGTTGTTGCTATATATATACGGTATGTTATTTGTAAGCACCTTAATTTTTCTTATCTTGCAGTCTGGGAGAGTTTGAAGAGCAGATGAAGGACTGCAATGCATTCGTCTTCTACGGACTTGAGAAGTTTCTATCCCAACTGCCGCCATTCAAACTAGCCCCCGTCAACCTATCAGGTAAGAATGAATTCATGTTCAAACTTGTGACATGGTCTTGTGGTTTTGAGTCTTTGGTTCTTTGTTATTCAGTACCATACCTTCCGAATAATCCGGAATATTTTGATTTTCTGGGTTCTTAGGACCTTGAAAAGTCAGAATATTCTGATTTTTCGCAATTTCAATTTTTTTTTAATTTTTTAATTTTTTGGTGCTAAAGCCAAATTAAGCTTGTTTTATCATGCGCTTTGCATGCGTTGAATGGCTGCATGATCGAGCAGCGAATTCGTTTTCGCTTTTTGGTACAGATTTACAGCGAACTGCCAGTTACACTGCCGCTGCAAGTGCAAGTTTCTTTTTTTTGAAGGCATACCGTGCTAAAAGTTCCTAAATTATTTTCAAATGTTGGCAGGTATGTAGTACCAGGGCCCTGTTTCATTAAACTTGTTATCAATAAAAAATTCTAAATTTCTATGATAAATTTGCTCTCAGTCAATCAAATGTCACGATTTCAGTAGCTTATTACAGTTATTGTAATTTGTTGTTGATAACAAGTTTTATGAAACAGGACCTAAGGTTCAGGTATTTCAGCCAGATGTTTAGTAGCTTAAAGAAGGTCCAATGGTAAGAAGCATACTGGGTCTTGACGAATAAATAGATGAATAAATAGATGGCTAGACCTATTAATATGTAAATGAGTAATAGATACATTGAATGATTGTCGTGGGATAAATAGATGAGTAAAGTTATATATGAACATGTATATATATATATATAAAAGATTGTTTGATGGATCAATGAACAAAAAGAATGATCGGTAGATGGTTATAAAGAAAAAATTATTGATAGAGACAAAGAAAGAAAGACGAAAATGTTGGACCTAACATGATGAATATCTGTAAGGAGTTGATTTGGGTTCTTACGCTTGACTACCACCATTAATTTGTTATTTACAGAAATCTCTCTAGCAATCATACTGGACCTGGTGCAGACCAACCAGAGTTTCATGCGTCAGTCAAAGATTGATGTAGAAAAGAGGTAAGCTCAATAAGAAAACTTTTCTGATTTCTTTCCAGATTGATTAGGGCATGATAACTATGGCAGTGTGTAATCTGAAAAGTAAATCAAGAAAGAGTGTGTTTAATTTTAACATCTTATGTACATGTACTATGATTAAACCAGTTCAACAAGATGGTGCAGCTAAAAAGCAATGTTATTTTCTTAATAATAAATAATTTTTTGATTGCCTTATCTAATTTCCACTATGATATCGTTCGTAATTTTTGTTAATACAATATTATTGAAAATGAAAGCAGAATAGAGGTTCGTGTATAATAAATTTTATTCTTTGATATGTTCTTCTGAGCTTAAGACATGGTAATAGCAACTGAATCAAGAAGATTCAGAAATTGTTGGAATGAATGAAATGTTTACTAAGAAACAGACACGTATGTCGTCTTTTTCAAAGAAAATTTATATATCCTTGTAAGATTTAACTTTGATTTTCAGTCCTGTATCACAATAATGTTATTTGAAAATATGTATATTGCTATGAATTATGATTGATATACCAGAAGAGCACTAGGTCAAGAGCTTAATCCGCCCAAGGATCTACGAGTTATGGAACGGTAACATCTCAGTTCACACTCACACATGTTGCTATATGACCGTTGTTCATGTATCTATTTTTTATCTCGTTGATGTTCACTTTCTGCTTTGCAGGCAGTTGTTTACATGCGTGTATAAGAGGAAATTAAAATAAATTATCACTTCATATGCTTTTCAGTTAAAACTCAAATCTCACTTTTTAAATTTTAATAAATTTCACAATTTCAAATTAATCATATATCATCTACAAATTCTTTTATTTTGTTTAAGAGAACAAAGAACACTTCGGGAAGAGGTTTTTTGAAAAGGAGAAGAAAAAAAGAAGAAGATAGTTTTAAATTAAAACGTGTCACTGATCAATGACATTGGATCCTAATTTAATCCTTTACTGAGAAAGACTGACTGAGCCTCACTGGACATGCACCTTGCTTTGCTATATGTATTGACTTTGCAATTATATACCAGTTATAGTTCTGTTTTTTTTAATCTGGATTATTTTAATCATTCTGATTTACACCTTCAAGGATTTTTTTATTTAGTTTGCTTTTATGCTGCATTTCTGTATGTGACCGCATATAAATACTCATAGATGAAATGCATTTTTCATGAGAAAAAAAGCATTTTCTCTTTTGAATCACTTCTACATGTAGATTGACATGTAGTTATGTATAGTTTAATTTAGTGTTTAGCTTTGCCATTTTTTTTTTTTTTTTTGTTACAGTTGACAATTCATATATTTAAAACTCTAATAATACATAATCGATCCATGTACAGGATCTACTTCATAAAAAACAAAAAATCAATATGGCACCATACATAGTATTTCAACACATTATACCTCACAGCTACATGTACTTCCACTTCACAGCTTTAGTGCAAATTGAATTAAATGCACTTTTATTAAGAGTCTTTACATATTTTCATACACAAAAGCTATACCAACATCACCAGTGCTTAATGAAATGTATATATCAAATGCTGCTTTAAAACAAAAATACCAATGAATATGAATATAAATTCAACTTTTCATTTAAATGAAGATTTTTTTTTTCTCCAACTATTTCACCTCTTTGTAAAAAATATAAAAAAGCACACACAACCTTCAAGCTTTTAATAGGTTCCTCACATTCTACTTTATCTATTATATGAATTGAGAATCATTGACTTGTGCTCATTTATACTACAATTGTAATGTATAATTTGTTATTCTATATTGTATGTTTGTATTTTGCTTTGCTATATGTATTGACTTTGCAATTATATACCAGTTATAGTTCTGTTTTTTTTAATCTGGATTATTTTAATCATTCTGATTTACACCTTCAAGGATTTTTTTATTTAGTTTGCTTTTATGCTGCATTTCTGTATGTGACCGCATATAAATACTCATAGATGAAATGCATTTTTCATGAGAAAAAAAGCATTTTCTCTTTTGAATCACTTCTACATGTAGATTGACATGTAGTTATGTATAGTTTAATTTAGTGTTTAGCTTTGCCATTTTTTGTTTTTTTTTGTTACAGTTGACAATTCATATATTTAAAACTCTAATAATACATAATCGATCCATGTACAGGATCTACTTCATAAAAAACAAAAAATCAATATGGCACCATACATAGTATTTCAACACATTATATCTCACAGCTACATGTACTTCCACTTCACAGCTTTAGTGCAAATTGAATTAAATGCACTTTTATTAAGAGTCTTTACATATTTTCATACACAAAAGCTATACCAACATCACCAGTGCTTAATGAAATGTATATATCAAATGCTGCTTTAAAACAAAAATACCAATGAATATGAATATAAATTCAACTTTTCATTTAAATGAAGATTTTTTTTTTCTCCAACTATTTCACCTCTTTGTAAAAAATATAAAAAAGCACACACAACCTTCAAGCTTTTAATAGGTTCCTCACATTCTACTTTATCTATTATATGAATTGAGAATCATTGACTTGTGCTCATTTATACTACAATTGTAATGTATAATTTGTTATTCTATATTGTATGTTTGTATTTTCTGTAAAATGTGGATCATTAAACTTGAACTTGAACTGAACTTCATGATTTTCACCCCAAAATCACCAAAGTTCTCTTTGATGGTCAATAAAAAATTCATGAGACCATTCATGAGGCCATTTTTTTTTCTTGTTTGAATTTTTAATTATTAAAAAAGAAATCAGGTAACTTCCTAAATCCAGCAAGACACTGTCTTATAACAATTTGCGATCGATTGAAATTGATAGCATCTTGATACCAACTGCAACTGTCTACCAATGAGATAGGAGTAGGTGTGCGATCAATTGGACTTCTTGCAATCAATCTAGATAGGTCACACCATGTTGTAAGACAGGGTCCTACAGATTTAAAAAGCAATGTTATTATTCTGCTACAACAAATGATCCTCCATATGTTTATTTTTATTCGTTTTACTGCATTTTTATTCTTTACACTTTTGGTGTATTAACCTTTAGCTTTTTTTTCTGTATGATTTTGTTTAAAAGTTGTATTCTATTCTTTATTTTTTTTTGCAAGTTTGGTTTTTAGATGATCAGGTTTATATTATTCTAATTTTGGTTGTTGAGTAAATATGAGTTATTTTACTTTTTCCTATCTAATAGATGCAAAGCTCCATTTCCATGTCAGCAGACATCTTTTCATATGATTTTGTTTCCTATTTATAAATATTTTTATATCAAATTCACTTTATAGGAGAAGCAAAAACAAACAAAAATTGATATTTTATGATTTTATTTGATCTATTCAGACAAATAACATTAGAAAAGATAATCCATTACATAAGCTCACTACCGTGTACGGTACCTTAAATGAGAAAAAATATATAATTGTATTTAATATTTCATGAGTTGAATGTTTTTACTATGATACTGTAGTGGAAAATTATTTTGCACTATGCTCTTTCATTTCTTGTATTATATGAATTTTGATAAGCTTTTACCATACTTTAGTTTTTTACAAGACCATTACAATTCAAGATTCAGGCCCTGCAGAGACTAACAAGATTTTTTTTCTTCTTTCAATTAAAAAACAAAAAAAATTCTTGGTGGATGAGAGGGGTGGGCAGGTGTTACATTTCTGTTCTTCTCATCTCTATAAACAGGGATTAGACAAAGATTGTTTCTCATTTTGTTCACTACTTTAATACTCCTTAAAACAGCAACACTGACCTATCCCTTGAGAAGCCAGTGGAGACAGCCATGCTGCTGAGCTTAGCTGGAGCTGGGTGTGTGATGGCTAACCAGTGGCACTGCAAGCTAGGGGACAATGCTTCAACCTTCAACACACTCATGAAAGGTAAGGAACAGTCTTGATTTGCAGTGCCCCTGAAACGGTGGGCTGGCAAATGCTTTCTTGTGACAGTTGCTCCATGTCAGTTTACTACATTAACTAATTTCCTAACTTCAACCGTTGACCAAACACTAAACCTAACCCTAACATCAAACCTAACTTACAGGGAGGTGAGTAGGCCCAGTTGATAAAGCATCTGCCTGTCGAACCAAAGATCGTAGATTCGAATCCAACCCAGGCAGATGCCTTAAGCCTGCATTGTGTGTTGACGTGCCCCTCCCATTTCATAGATGCAGGTCATGTTTACAGTGGAAAACACTCTGTCCCTCGGAAAGGAAAATATATGGAGGCCCCCCTGTAGAGGAGTGTCACCACCTTTGCACATTAAGAACCCACTGCACTATTTGTTTAAGAGTAGGTGTCGCCACATATTTAATAATGAATATTAATGAATCGTTGATAAATAATCAATAATAAACAACAGTGTAGTTGTCCACATCATGCCCACCCCAATCAGTTTAACCAGGAGGATTTTATTTTTGTAGTTTTTTTTTTTGTAGTAAAAAGCTACTTTTTAATGCTTCTGTGACATCCCTTCTTTCCCAGAAATGTGATTCTAGCAAAGTAGCATCAATAGATTTATGGCCAATAGTCATCCCAGTAAGTAGTTTGTGCAGTGAACTTGAAAATGTGGAGGTTCCAAGTTAAATGCCAAGTCCTTAATAGGTAGTGCATTAAACTGGAAGATGACTGACAGTGAAAGGTTACCTGGGAAGTGTACCACAAAGAGTAAGATCAATTTTAAGTTGGACTTAACTATGGCAGGCTGTTCATGTCACTGTTTGTCCTCACCATTATGATATTTAGATATTATTTCCTTCTATTATGAATTATCGAAAAATATAAATTCTGTAGATTTGTGACCATGATTTGTATGTCCCTTGAAAGACCAATGCCAGTAAATGGTGAGAGCAAACAGTGGCATGAACAGCCTGCCATAGTTGAGTCCAACTTAAAGTCGATCTTAGTCTTTGTGAAACACTTCTCAGATTGCTTACCCTTCATTCATGTTCTTGCTGTCGGAATATTACAGGACTGCATTTCTTGAATATCTTTTCTATCTGTCTCTGTTTCTCTCTTTATCTCATCTTTCCATCTCACTCCACCAGCCACTTTCTCTGTTTCTGTTCTCCCCCTCCCCTCCCCTTCTCTCCCTCCCTCCCTCTTTGTATCTTGTTCTCATTATATAACTACATCAATTTGTTTTGGCTTTTCTCTTTTAACTCTATCTCGTTTCTTCAGGTCTTCTGGAGACCGGCCGCACCACCGGTCAGACAGTCCGTCGCATGTTCATCCCGTACTACAAGGCTCCAGGAGAGGAGGAGGAAGAGGACGAAGGAGAGGGTGAGGGGGAAGATGCCACTCCCGATAAGGAGAAAGATGGCAAGGCAGGGGGCAAGGCCAAGGCTAGTGCTAAGGGGGGCAAGGGAGGCAAACAAGAGGAGCAAAAGAAGGAGAAGGATACAGGTAGGAAGAAGAGTGGGTCAATGTCGGGTCGACCCCAAGGTCAGGGGTCAGCAGCATCCAGTGGCAAGGGTCAAGAGGGCAAAGGGGATGGCGACCAGCTTCAGCTGGACTTGTTGAATCGAGGATGGTTCAACTTTGTCTGTTATGGTCTGCCCAATCTCATTGTCACTCAAGTCTAAGAAATTATTGAAATTGAATACAAAAACTGTTTGCTATGTGTCTTTCAAATAGGCCCACGAATAAGACATTTCTATGTAAATATAGAATAAGGAATTTTGCTGTCCATGGATTACCCTCTGTTTTTTAAAATAAGAAAAGTAAGGTAATATCCTTTGTTATTTCTGACTTGCATGCATGAATATATTATGCAAATTTCAGTAAGTGTTAAACAAGACGGTTTAACAGACATGAAAGTTCAAGAAGTCAGTTATTTTGTTCAACAGGATAACCATCCCATCCTACGATTGTTATTTTAATGAATGATTGCAAAAACAGGTTTTATCCTTGCAAGAACAGTTTTTGAATATATATATATATATACATACACATGTGTTTAACAATTCAAACTCAACAATGCTATTAATCACCTTTCATATAGGGTTCGATTTCATATTTGAAGTTTTGAAATTGCCTTGCTGTTTTCACATTGGTTTAAAATGGAAAGGAAGACTGAATTAAAAAAAATTAAATATGAGTTTTAGCAAATGAATTCAACTGTATAAAAAGTTAAACTTCACCATTTGTAAATCTGATCACCCTGGTCTTTCAAAATGTGCTCATTGATATAGTTGATATGTTTCTCCTGCTCCATAATTAAGGTACCAGCACATTTCTTGTGATGAAACCGTTTGATTCACATGTTACACATTTATTCATATTATCAGTGGTTGTTATCCAGGTTGTTGCTTTATAGGAGAACCTTAAGCAAAGTCTTAAATCTTGAAGGGGATGTTTTATGACAAAAATATGTAAATATTTGGTCTCTTGTACATTGATGCGAGATGATTTAAGTGAATTAACTTAATCTAATAATTTCCCTGCTTAAGCAGAATTACTTGTAGTAATTGTTTATTAACTGTAATTTTGTAAATGCATCCAACATGTATGTGTGTCTCTATAAAAACATAAATGTATGATGCTCCACAAAAATCATATGTGTATTCTGCACAACTTGTACTTGTTTTTCATATTTCAGATCCGTCCAATTCATTATGCCTTGATTACTTTTCATTCTGTTCGATGTTTTATTCAAAATGATTGATTTTTGCATTTTTGCTGTGATTTTTTTTGTGAAATATGAATTTTCAGAATATATATCAAATCCAATCTTTATATCTTTCATCAATGAAATTGAATGCATAATTTTGTCATACTTTGTGAATGTACCTTGGAGGCATGTGTAGGTGTTTGTGTGTAATTGGGTTTTTACAGACGTGTACCAATCAGATCTGAATTTGTATGACACCGATATTTAATGTCACAACAAAAAGACACAGCTTGATATAAAACTGTGAGGATAAACATATCAGTACTTTTACAAAAAGTTCAAAGATACCATAACGTGTAATGAATAACCCTTTTTTCAATTTATCACACTGTAATTACATTTCCTGACTGTGTTAATTTGTTTGCAACAATTCATTTCGTTATCAATACATTATAGGTAATGCAAAGTTTTGGGAAATTTTGAAAATTGGATAGATAGTAATTCTTTAAAATGTTGATATATTTGGATGCCCCTGTGGATGTATTATAAGCACTAGAAAATTAAGCACCTAAAACACTTCTGCTTTCGAGAAATTGAATAATTAAAAATTTACCAGTGCTCCTGGTAAATTTCAAATATTTCAAATAGCACCTAAAGCCATTCCATGGTAGCTGCGACCATGAAAAATCTCAGAATATGCAGTTCTGATACATAATTTCCAAACAGGAATAGCGAATTGGTCGATTGTAGTCAAGAAATATTGTTTTAAAGTAATTTCAGTCTGAGAGGGCTCTATACAACATAAAGAGTTTATTATTTACAATTTCATGACTTTAGACTCAATTTCAACCGCGACAACGATCATTGAATATTGTAAAATTGCATATACTGTATGCTTCCAATATGTTCATTTGAACCAAATTCATAACCCCATACCAAAACTTTGTATTACTCCCTTTAAGTAAAAAAAGATTCAGATTATTATCTCCAACATTGATTCTTGTAATGCCACTGAAATATAGTACTTCAACCGAGATGTAAAGTGGTTATTATTTACATACTTCCATTTACATGTAATGATGTTTATATATTATCGTAAGATATACAATACTATTTATATAGTTAGAAAAAATAATGGACCCAACATAGATCCCTGTGGTACGCCCATTAATATGATTTAGGGTTCATGCTTTAGCGCTCTCTTGAATGAAGATCTTGCTCGCAATCCGAGCCAGGGTTACGTAGGATCTAAACCATGTTAAGCAATAACTACAACCCCCACTTGCAGCCAATCTCTGATGAAATATTGTGATCGATGGTATAATCCTTTTTGAATTTCTTTCATCTTATTCTTATCAATAATGTTACCATCATCTCAACCATTATCGTTATAATCACATATACTTTACTGCGTACTATGAACCATCTGGTATAGTCTCCTGACTAGTTTAGGCATTGCCATGGAGATGAAAGTAAATATGTCGACTACGGCCAGCAACTTGAAACTCGCGTCATATGATGATACCCTGTCCGCTATCAGTCCTGTGTATAGAAGAGAAAAGTCAAAACGGTGGGAGATCTTGGGACGGAACATAAGAATTTACATGTACCTCAAGCATGAGGAAAACAAAATCACCCCCTCGGCCTTCCCCTAAAGCCAGTTTGTAAAAAATATTTGTGGCAAATTTACTTTGTGTGATAATAATGCAATCATGTCATGAATTTATTTCAAACAATTAGTTGAATTAGATCATTGACCGCATTTTTAATAATAAAAATATATTGTACATCCACTTTTTTCTTTCTTCATGAATGATGCAATGGAAATTAGTTGATGGGTTTTAAAGATAACTTAGTTCGAAGACGTGAACCAATATCAGTTTGATATACATTATCAGGAACAACAAATCAAACTGCTGACAGTGCAATATAAATGGGCTTAGGGGCAATCAATGCTACAATTCACCAGGCTTAATATGTATTGAAGTTAAACAAATAACAAGCTATCATAAGCCAAACTAGTTATAAGTACATACCTGCTGCGTATCCACCCAATAAAGCTCCACAGCCCGAAACTACATAAAGCGCGGCTATGACCATTGGCAGGTTCTCACCAGAGACAATAGCCTTAACCCCCAGTGGGCCTAGCACAGCCCTTCCCGCAATGGCGTGACCTGAAGAACACGATGTCAACAGCATGACAAAGAAGTAAGGAAGAAATCCATCACATAACAGTGCAGATATGTTCACGACTGTCAATGCTAGGTACATATTGATGGGGTCCACGAGCTTGTGCGTCAAAACACCGACAGAGATGCGTCCTGATAGATTCCCAACAGCTGCACTTAAGGCAATGATAATTGTGTTTCTGGCTGAGGTTCCTCTTTGGAGGGCATGGGGTAAAAGAAACGCGTGCCATCCAGTGTACACAAATTCATGCAGGGCATAAGAAAGAATGAAGAAAAATAACAACGGATTTGTATAAAGTTCTGTGCTTCTCCACCACACTGCTATTCTTCTCAAGAAACCACCGATGGCAAGAGGGTCATGCTTGCCAGATGGTTCATCATCAAAAGACAAATTTTCAGAATCGCTTTTCACCAGACCTTGGTTCGCAGGAGAGGAAGAGAGAGTTTCCACATGACTGTCCTGGTCTACATAATCACTGTCACTGTCGTTATTAAAATCTTGACAGTAGCCACTTTCTGCACTCTGGACTCTTTTGTACAATGTCGAGTGCGTCGCATCGTCCGATGAAGTAACCTCTTGCAATGCAGTATCACCTCTGGACGCATGCTCTACCAGGTCTGAGGGTGCCTTGACGGTCATGGCACACGGTATTAGGTTTAAATATAATCCACCCAGGATTAATAGGACGTCCCGCCAACTGTATACAGTAAGCAACTCCTCTGCTAGGAAAGGGAGAAAGACCATTCCTACTGGATATCCACAGGTTGCTAAACTAAATAGAAGGTTGAAGTTCTCACCAGCTAGTCTAGTTAACACTATGAAGCAAGTCATCCACATAATGCTATTCCCGATTCCTGCAAAGTTGAAAATCAGTAAGAACAAGCAATGAAAATTGGCATGGATGGGTGTGCGTGTAGTGGGGTAGCTCACTACGGGAGGGGGGGGGGGGGGGGCACGTACAGTACACAACACGGCAATGGATAGGGCTTACTTATGTGGTAACAATTTTAACATTTTGTCTCCCCACTGCCACGCAGATGCCGTGATCTTACACTGTCGCTCATAAAGTTGGAAATAATTTTTTTTTTACCCCAATTTATGGAATTATTTTGACAATGATTTATTCCTAATAGATCTAGATAATAGTATACATTCTCAGATTTTGTTGAATAATAATTTGCCAGTGTTTGTTTTGCGTGACTGCTAAAGCATGTGTATGCTTCTATGCTTATCAACTAGGGACCTCAAAAATATTTAAAAATGCAATAAATTATCAATAATTCATTGCATTTTACCCCGGTCCCCAACATAGAAAAAAATCCTATGTACGGCCATGCATTATGGCTCAAGGCATGGGCACACAGAAGATTTTTTTCTGTTGGGGACTGGGGGGAAATTCAATGAATTGTTGATAAAATATTTCTTTTCATCTCTACCCTAGCCCCTGCTGCGTACAGTCATGGTTCAGTGGCAATTAAGCAATGGCCTCGTAACTGTGAGGCCCCAGGATCAAAACCGTGTTGATGTGCTATAATAGTGCCCTTTTGTGGGGCATTAATCCTCATTACTGTCATTTATGACTTAAGGGCGTAGGTCCCCTAGCTGATAAGCATAGAAGCATACACATGCTTTAGCAGTCACGCAAAACAAACACTGGCAAATTATTATTCAATAAAATCTGAGAATGTATATTATTATCTAGATCTATTAGGAATAAATCATTGTCAAAATAATTCCATAAATTGGGGTAATAAAAAAATATTCCAACTTTATTAGCGACAGTGTATATGACGGCTAGGTTCCAAGGCTACCCCGTATCACAAAAACAAATGCTCATTTATCAAAAGGTGAAATCTTTTCAAGGATTCAAAGCATTATTCAAATAACGCACCAAAAGAAAAGAATTAATTATAATTAATGTGAAATCCTTCACTAAGTAAATATCAGTCTTATCTGAGCTTCACCTTTTGAGTCATAAACAATCTATTACAAAGTGTCATTTTATTTGCACTGCACATACAGTTTCTTTGACAACCTACCCACAAAAGCAAATAAGATGAATACTACTAAGTTAGTAGTGACAAACGGCATAAGCATCATAGCACCGGACTCCAAGGTGGCGCCTACCAATAAAAAGACGCGGGTTCGACCACAACGGCTATAAAGGGCTCCAATAATGGGGGCTGAAAAGATCAAATGTATATATATTCTTTTCGTTAATGAAAATAATGAAAATATAGTTTGAGTCAGAGAAATAGGAAATTCACAATTAACCTTAAACAACTAAATTATTCGTAGCCCTTGTAAATTTAATTTTTGTTTTTGTTTTTCCTAACTCAAGAATGAATGGTGGCTAGTTGCATTAGGGCTTTTTTTTAATACTTTTAGATGTAAGCTTAATATGTCACATTCTGAAGAAACATAAATTGGGACATATCAATTTTTCACATACTTGACAAATTACAAAACAAGGTAATATTAAGGGTATGAATAATTGAGTTGTCAACTGTATTGTAAGGTTTTATGTGAGAAATTTCAAAAGACAGAATGAGATGAGTGTCTGTGCAGCTTCATTACTAAGGTCAAGACAGAGAGAGGAGGAGGAGGAGGAGAAGAGAGAATAATATTGAAACGAAAAAGGGAAAGAAAAAAAAAAGCAGAGGAAGCACATGAAGAGTGCTGAACATGAGATGAAAACTTTTAGTTCTACCCAATTTTTAAAAAATTAATAAATAGTTCCCTTTTGCACATAACTTTACATTTATAGTAGACCAGCCACAGATAAATAAAAGAGGGTCTCGAAAAAGATTCCATTGTATTTTGGCAAAATGCATGATATCCATGCAAAAACTATTGCATCAATACTAAGTAATAACGTAGGGGTGGATGCCAACCGCATTTTTATTTATTCAAAAAAACTGCATGTGCATTTTTTCGGTCAAAGTATGAAAGAATATCATATATCATAGTTTTTAATTTTTCTGACCAAATATGCATCATAAATTATGAGTTTTAAGTATTTAACCTCTTGGTTCACTGAAACACAAAACTGATACTTAAAAAGGACCCCAAAGTTTGTTTTTTTTACATGGGGAAAAGTGCCCCCTTTTAATTCGAATAAGTGCCTCTTTTTTGTATTTTCAATAGATGCCCGTTCCATATTGTTATAAGTGCCCCCCCCCTTTACCTCTGATAATTTGCCCTTTTTAAGTGCTCCTTTCCATCTTCCACGAGTGTTCATTTTATTTGTACACATGTCCCCTCTTCATTTGGAATAAGTGTCCCTTTCTATTCTCCTAAGTGCCCCTTTGCGCCTGATAATTGCCCCTATTAAATGCCGATTGGTGCCCCTTTTTGGATGCTAGAAGTGCTCTTTTTTACATCTGATAATTGCTTTTTCTTCTTTGACTTTGATAGGGAAAATTAAACTAATTAAGACTTTTGTTCTATTGAAATTAGTAGTATCCTCACTCAAACCAAGCGGACACTTTTTTTTTTTTTTTTTTTTGTCTCAAAATTTGAAAAATTGACATTTTGCTCCGTTGGGGGGGGGGGGGGGGGTAAGGTCACCTTTCTTAGGTCAGCCACGGGGGTGATTTTTTTTTTTTTTTTTTTTTTTTTAAATAATTAAAAAAAAAAAAAAATCAAAGGGGGGGGGGGGGTTTAGGGATTTTTTTAGGGGGGTTTACATACATAAAAATACCAAGGGGGGGGGGGTTTTACCCCCCAAACACCCCCCCCCCCCCCCTGCGTACGCGCCTGTATACGAGCAACAAACGTTCTATGTCCGTTATCGTCCGTTAAACGTCCGCTGTATCCTCTCTGCATCCTCTGGGCATCCTCGCAACTCACATCCGCTGCAGCTGAAAACGGAAAGAGGGAGGAAAGATAAAGTACGTGGAACGTCTATACATCGTTAGTAGCGCGGAAATAGAAAGGATGTAAGCGTATGCATCTCGTATATAAAGTATTCAAAGCTGTCATCCACTCCCATCCGCTTTCATCCGCTAGGCTTCCGACGAACATCAGTTTAACATCCCCGCTACATACTACCCAGTACCCACGTCCGTTATTTTCAGTGGCGGATCCAGGGGGGGTTGGGGGGGTTGCAACCCCCCCCCCTAGGGCGGCCCAAAAAAAAAAAAAAAAAAAAAAAGGGAAAAAAAAGAAAAAAAGAAAGAAAAAAAGAAAGAAAAAAGAACGCACGCTGGAGAGAAACCCTTTCAAGTGCAAATATTGTGAGAAGATATTCAACTCATCTGGTAACTTAACCAAACACATGATAACTCTGGATATAACTATGTATTAAACTGTTACTTGATTTAAAAAGACGTTATCATGCACTGCTTTTTATGGTCTCCATTGTGTTAATAGATGCCAGGAAAACATCACTTACGGGGTTCAAATAAACACCCCCAAAAAAATCGGCTCGCCGCTTCGCGGCTCGTGGACGATGCTCCGCATCGTCATTATTTTGGTCAACCCCCCCCCTTAGCAAAAAGCTAGATCCGCCCCTGATTTTCCGTTCCGTTTTCGCAAATTTTCGCAAATTTTGTCCATTTCTGGAGCGGATGAAAACGGATGGAGCCAACCCCGAAATTTTGCTCGTCCGCTGTGTCCTTTATGCATACGTTTTGTGTCCATCGGCCAGTGGGACCGGGCCATAACTCTTCATTACGTCACAAGTATTCGTGCGCGCTTACAGTGTAGCTGCTCCTAATGAATATACATATTCTTGCAGATGCCCCCCCCCCTTGCAATTTTTTTTTGATTGCTCAAAAGGAGGGGGGGGGGGTTGGATGTTGAAAAAAGTAGTGTTCACTCCCTCCCCCCCCCCCACCCCGTTTAACCACAAAACCACCCCCGAAAAATTAATGCTGTCCCCCAACCCCCTCCCCCCCCCCCCCAACCGAGCAAAATATCGGTCAGCGCAATTTTCAAATTTCGGCCCCCTCCCCCCTCTTGGAAAATCTTGGATCCGCCACTGTGCATCAACAGGAATCAACTTACATTTGGATGTCACGCGACCTTTGATTGTAGCTAGGATCTAGGCAGCTTGTATACTAACACCGCGGGATGTTTGAAATTCGTATTCTGACTATTGGAAATCATTCACTCGTAACAGGTGAATAAAACAATTTGTAACGAGGCATTTAACAAGATTTGTTGACTCAATTTATTTATTTTACGACAATGGTTTATTGCCTGGATATGCCACCGCCTTCTGCATTGGATATTTTCCCCTGTCAACACCGATCACCTTGCAAAACCTTCTTTGTTTGGCCGACCTAATCAGTCTGCTTTTAGGAATATTGATTTGAAGCGAATAGTACATTGCTGTAACCTCACAAATTAGGCCTAAACTGCTCAACATGTTCACGTCCCCGGAGACTTGTTTGTT